ATGGAAGGTGAACTCTCTATCATCTGTGTCATAAAACTCTAGCCTTTATTGTTACTCCCATATTTAATGAGTATAACTGATTCCTAAATTTTGTTTCATATATTTTTATATATGTGCGATATTTTTGCTGCTTTAATCAATTTTTTTTTTCTTCTAAAAGCCAAATGAACTCTTTATGCAAGTTTTTGAATTAATTAACCTTCATGAATGATTCTTTATTTGACACTAAACTCCATCTCATGACATTATAACTGTCTATGGTTAATCTGATTGAAAATGTAGTCTAGGTTCAAATTAAACACTCGTCTGCACAGCTATAGCACTATTAAAATTTAAAAGTTCAGAACTTCTAATGATTGTTATGATTTTTATAACATTGACAAGAAAAAATATTTCAAGTAGTGTCTCTGCGTAATTTTATTTTTTCTTTTCAAAAGTGTTTGTGACACAACTTAGTACATTAAGACACACATTAATAGCTTCAAATTACAGCAATAAATGAATTTCGTACTGTAACCAGTTTGACATTATTTTACATTATTGAAATGATTTCCGCTGTCACCCTTTAAAACTTTGCATTATGCTGTATTATTTCTAATTCATGCTCAAATTAATATCTAGTAATTTTTTTTTTCAGTCTGTCAGTCTGCTAATAAGAGACTTTCCACTTAATCGCAATATGTACCGTTATGCCCATGTCTTTTTTACAGAAGGTAAGTCTGATTTATTTTAAAAGCTATATTATTTCATATGTGTGTTAATTATTTTTTGTCTTATATTTTTCAATTTTTTTATTAACATATTTTTGCAAATATGAAAATTAGTAAGTAAATAAGTTGTGGTCAGTAAGATTACGTTATTTTTGTTACTACAACCCCATTTCAGAATTTATGGAGAGAATCTGCAGCACTATCTTTATACATCTGCATACCTGCCAACTTTTAATCCCTTCCATCATGATTTTTCACAGTGGTATTGAAATGGAATTAAAATTTCAATGTTAAGCAAAAAAAAAAATATGTTGTATTTGAAAAAGCTTAAGCTGACGACCGTGGTAGTAACACATATTAATATATATGCTTAATTATTTTAAGAATAGTGGTGATCAAAATCATTTTAAAATTAAGTTTATAAAAGTAAAGAAAATATATATTTACTACCACTTTAAATATAAAAATAAAATGTTACGCCAAATGCGTAAAAGTTGGCAGGTATGCATCTGAATTTGTCTGCAACTTCAAAAGTAATCAGGCAGAGTTTAATATTATAAAAATTAAGCTTTATCTAACACACCTGTAGCAAACTTTGCAAATATAAGATCCCCATATTGCTTTATGTTGCTTAAATAATTTTATAAATTATAATAAATGAATGGCATAAATTCCTATACAATTAAGTCTGTAAATAGGTAGCAGAATTTTATTTTATTTATTTATTTTTTTATTTTTTTTTCTTAACAGTCTTATCTCAATTCAGCTTTTTAATTTTTATTAGAAACAAGTTAACAGAAGAAAACTAAGATGAAAAATAATCTGCAGATGCTGTAATAATCTGCAGATTGTTACAGCAGATTAGGAGGGTTTCTTATATAATGACTACAACTGAAACTAATTTATTACAAATGTAGTTAACAACAACTACATTTTTTAAATGTATTGACTATGAATTACTTTTGAAATGCTATATTATTAAGTTCAATAGTTGCTAGAGAACTTAATTTACATTCATATTCAAAATGGTTTTGAATTTTAAAAAAAAGAAATTGACTTATTTAAACATGAGGAAATATTAAGAAATATTTCTTCATGTTTACATAAGCCAGTTTATTAGTTCAAGCCATTTTTTATGGATTAGTTATTTTACATTACATTAGTTCTGGAAATAAGTAATAAAACTAATAAATTTTCGCTTATATTTATGTTAATAGTACAGTAATAGATAAAGGAAGACTAATAGTAAATACACAAGAAACTAATGGTTTTCTGATAATTTATTGCTTTAATTTTGGTATGCAGTAGCATTAGTCTGAAAACATTGTACTAGAAATATAGTTTGTTAAAAAAGTTTTTTATAATCTTTCAAAATGTCTTGAAAGTTGATGTGTTACTGGAATAAAAGTCCAGTATTTCTAATATTCTTAAATTGTTTACTAGCCTGTGGTGAAGAATTATTCAATGAGCTGTGTAAGTCTCCTGCTGCAAAATACATAAAAACGTTGAAGGAGATCAACATCGCATTCTTGCCGTACGAATCTCAGGTACTATGGTTTTTATTTTTCAAAATAAGTATTTTTGATATAGTTGTATTGAACTCTTTATAGCTAACTGTTTATAAATAAAAATTATGAGTTATATATTGTTAGAAAAATTCACAACGTTTACCGAATCTTAAGATTTGTTATTTATTTTTTTGTAAATAAGGTTTATCACCCTTAAGTACATATTAGAAAGCAAAGTGATTTTAGCAGCATTAATGTTTTAAAATATGGTTGTTAATCATTCGTATATATATATTGTACATTTTTTGTAACAGTCATTGAACAGCCGACCCAATTTCAGGTTTACGACTACTAATGTTTATTTAATTTTATAACTGTCATTGAACAGCCGTCCCAATTTTGGGTCTAAAACTACCAAGGTTCAACTCCGCTGCCTTGTAATTTTGAACCCAATACAGAAGACAAGGGAACTGCTGGATCAAGTATTAGGAGATATTTGCCTTCGTGAAGAACTTTTTGGTGGAACTACCCCGCAAGGAGAACCACGAAAGCCTCCCACAGTTAGTCTGACCACAAGGGGGCTCTTACCCATAATCTGTAACATTTTGTGTAGTCTGTGCAAGCCAGGTGCGGAATTTGTAATGACCCGCCATCGCTGGGATTAAAACCCGGCTCACCTCAATGGAAGGTGAACTCTCTATCACTTGAGCCACCACAGCTCTACTAATGTTCATTATAAAAATCTCTAAATATTCAGGTTTTGTGAGTATTTTCAAGTGCTTTGATTAGATCTCTTTACTTTGATATTATAAATTAAAGTAGCCCATCAACTACAGTGGCTAAAAATTAATCTTAAAATATTGAAGTTGATATTCATTATTAACTATTTTTTATATATTATTTAGGTTTTCTCTCTCGACCTCCCTGAAACATTTGCTCTCTATTATAATCCAGCAAAAGCGTCTCACTCAGTAAATTTAGAGCGTATTGCTGAACAGATCGCAACAGTTTGTGCTACGCTTGGAGAGTATCCCAATTTAAGATACAGATTGTAAGTACAATTTTAAAGCTTCTATCAGTGTAATATATCTTTTATTACATTAAAGTTTCTGAACTTAAATTCTTTTCTCACTCCTGACACCAATGTAACTGGTGTCATAATCTTTCTGTCTTAGCAATTTCTAATTTATTATGTTAGAAATGAATAATTTATGCTAAAATATTTTTAAAAAATATTTAATTTGATAGATGAACAATACAATTTATTTTGATAAAACTTTTATTCAAAATTTCAATGACAATCTCATTCTATGCAACTCAAAACTTTTTCTCTTCAACTGTCAGCAACTACTATTTCAAAATTTCACCTTATTTTTTAAAAGCCAATCTTGTTCCGCTTCAAGATACAGAATAGTCTTTCCCATCCAATAGAAATTAAAAATGGTGTACGACAGATGCCTTGGCATGTCTCCTCTTTAATCTAGCATTAGAAAAAATAGTAAGGGACTCAAACATCAACACCCGAGGAAATATCTTCAACAAATCAGTTCAAATATTGGCTTTTGCTGATGATTTAGATATTATCGCTAAAACGCAGACAGCGCTATCACAATCCATTTTATGTCTGGAGAAGGAAGCCATTAAGATGGGATTAAGAATTAATGAAAGAAAAAGTAAATATATGCCCTGTACAAAAGCTGGCTATGAAGAAACACAGTTTGAAATTAGACCATACAGATTCGAAGCCATTGATAGCTTTACCTATTTGGGGTCTAAGATTAACAACAAAAAATACACACGAGAATCACGATGGCCAATAAGTGTTTTTATGGTCTAAGAAAATACCTTAAGTCAAGCCTAATAAAAAGAAAAACAAAATTTACTCCATAAATGTCTTATACGATCAGTGCTTACATACGCATTTGAGACCTGGACAATGGCCCATGGAGATGAAAATATGATTGCTAGATTTGAGAGAAAAATACTGCGAAGCATTTTTGGTGGAATAAGTAAAAACGGTACCTGGTTTAGAAGATCAAACACGGAACTTTACAAAGCATATAAAGAACCTGACGTCATTAAATTTATCTAAATTCAAAAGATTAAATGGGCAGGCCACATTGTGAGAATGGAGGATAGCAGGACAACCAAAAAAGTTTTCAGTGCCAGGCCAACAGGGACAAGAAAAAGAGGACGACCTAAGATTTTTAGACTGCCTTGAAAAACCTAAGATTTTTAGACTGCCTTGAAACGGACCTACAAGTTTTAAAGATAATAAACTGGAGAACCTTGGCTAAGGGAAGAATGTCTTGGCATAGGCTTGTTGAGAAGGCCAGGGCCCATCCTGGGCTGTTGTGCCAAGGAGAAGAAGAATCATCTTGTTCCGCTATCTTGAATCATTTACTGTTTGATCCATGTCAAATAGCATAAACTGTAGCAAATCCTTATATAATTCTTTTTTCTCTTTTTTTTTAATTTTCTTTGTTTCTTTAGTTTACTTGTGTTTAACTTCATTTTATAAAGCAAAAGGATTTTGAGAATTGAAAAACACTAATTCAAAACTGCCCTAAATTACTATGCTATTATTTTTTGCCAACATTTTAAGGATCAGATTTTACTAAAAATTTGACTGACAAAATTTATATATTTAAGCTTGCATTGGTATTTTTATGGGGTATAGAAATGTTTAAGAATCAATAGAAGTGCATTCATTGAATTTTTTTTTATATATAAAATATTGTTAAAAAAAGTTTTTGTTAATAATTTTAAAAAAGTCTGTTAAAAGTGTTTTTTTTTTTTTTTTTTTTTTTTTTTTTTTTTTTTTTTTTTTTTTTNTTTTTTTTTTTTTTTTTTTTTTTTTTTTTTTTTTTTTTTTTGTAAATTGGATTTCTATCTGATATCACCGTTGCTTACTCTAATATAATTGCAAGAGATTTTTATCCTTAAGTATGTTCATTGGTTCTTAAAAATAAAGTAACTAATTCCTATTTTAGTGATTTTGATAGAAATGTTGAGCTTGCACAACTGATTCAACAAAAGCTAGATGCTTATAAAGCTGATGAACCAACCATGGGAGAAGTATGTGAATTGCTTTTTTTTTTTTCATATAAAAACTGTTGATTTATCATTTCAACATTAATGAATTTTATAAAGTCACATAAAAATCTAAACAAAGTAATACAAATTCAGACTATTTCAATGTGTATAATCTAAGTAATAACTTGGGGAAATTATTTTACAATGATTGCAGGTCTAAATGTGACTAAGTATATGATTTTAAAGAATTAAAGCTTTATATCTAAAGAATGTTCATTGTCATTCTAATTCAAACTGTAATAATTTTCTAACATTGATTTAATTTACATTTGATTTAAATTTTCTTATTTGATAAATTTCATCTTCACTCAATGCATGATTAATACTATTTGTGCAGCATATTTTAGTCAATTTTTACAATAATTGATATTTATTTCTCTATTCATTTGAATCATTATTTGTATGATTAATATTGACAAAAAGAAATCTTTTATTTTCTCAGTTCCTTCACTGTTTTAAAAATCATTAATTGCACAAAAAATGTTTTCAAACTTTAAAAAAAAATTAAAAAGTTAATTCTTTTAACTTAAAAAGGAAACAAATTAATGAAATCCTGTGTTTATTTAAAAACAAATCGAGCACAATCCAGAGGTTACTTTTCTCCTGGTATTTGAATAATAAATGCAAAATTTAAACATATCAATAACCATAATTAACATATATCATACTTACTGATGTCTATAATTAATTAAATTATGATCAAAATACTCAATTAACTAGAGATTTAGAACCATGGAAAACTACCAATGATAAAATGTAATAATAAAAGAAAATTCTACCTTCTGTTTGAATAGCAAAATTAAATAATTTTATCATTATAAACCAAATATTTTTAATTTCAAAATGAATGTTTAATAGCCCAAAATGATTTTTAAATGGCACATAATAATAGTAAAAAATGGATTGATTAAAATATAAAGCAAATATTTCAATTTTAAGTTTTTTTTAGTAAAGTTATTTTGTTAAAATCATAAAATTCCTGAAAATTAGTCTTTCATGCAATGCTATTATAAATAATTAGTATTTTCCGTAACAAATAAATTGCATTTTTCAGAATTTAAAAAAATCTGTTGAGACTTGCCCAAAAATGTTACACTTTTGTGATTTACTTTTGTTCTCATAAGTTATTTTCCATTGTGTTTAAGTTGCCTTTTATTAATGTTTGAGCAATTATAGGTGAAATTAAACAAAATGAAAGGATTTTGTATATATAAATAAATGATTATGAGGAATGAGATATATGCTTCATTATGTGAGAAACATTGATAGTGAACCTGTTATAGTTCAACTAATAAATTTCTATCTTATATTGCAGGGTCCAGAAAAAATGAGATCTCAACTTTTAATATTAGATAGAGGCTTTGATTGTGTTTCACCTCTATTACATGAATTGACTTTTCAAGCTATGTCATATGATCTTCTCCCTATTCACAATGATGTTTACAAATTTGAAACATCAACTGGTCCTGATGTTAATGTTAAAGAAAAAGAAGTCTTACTAGATGAAAATGATGAACTTTGGGTAGAATTGAGACATCAACATATTGCTATAGTATCAACGTATGTGAAGCTACATTTTTTCAACTTGCATTTTGTTAATTCGGTAAAATCCCTGATTATCCAATGCCTAATTATCCTACCCTTCGGGTATCTGACAGTCATTTCAATGCTCTTGAAATCGTCTTGACGCATATTTCATTATAGATACAGCCCATGTTATTCAATTACTATTTCTTTTCTTGATTTGTGCCTTTAAACTGCACTTTCAATCATTGTGGGTGATGGTAAGTTTATTATTAATACTCAATAGTTAAATTTCTCGACAAAATTCCCCTTAATATTGCAGAGAAATTTAAGAAAATTCGTGAAGTAGTGTCGATCTAAATTCCTTAATGTTAAAAACAAAAACAAAGAAGATAAAATTATTTAGCTCATTTAAAAAAAAAATTTCTTATTTGAAATTTAGAGATCCGTTGTGAGTGTGCAGTTTAATTCCATCCTTCTGAAAAATTGGGCCCCTACATTGCCCATGCATTCAATTCAGCTCAATCCACTTACTGGTGTGACAATGATTCCAATGTTTAAGTGCTGCAAAACAACAATTAAGCTGAGTATGAAAATTTATCAATGATTTTTGTTTCCTGATATTGTATCATTCTTTATGGTAGAAAAGTAAAAGAAACGAAATGGTTTTTATTAATCTTTATTGTAGTTACTAAATGTCTTAAGTAATAATATTGATATACTGAATTTAATGTTGATATGCTTATAAAATTTTGTAAAAAAAGCTCTTGTTTATTCGCTGATTCAGGCATACTCCTGGTCTTGTGGGTGTTGGATAATCAGGGTTCTACTGTATTTGCTTATAAATAGGGAAGGGAAATATCATGAATTACCAAAGTAACTTTTTTCTAAATCTGTACTTTTTACTTTTGTTTAATAATAATGGTATTAAAATTTTGAATGTGCATCAGCTTGCTAAGTTAAAAAAAATTGTCTTATTCATTCAACTTTATTGCAATCTAATATCTAAATTTTTCTCTTACTTTTTATTTCCATATTTATAATTTTCGTCTCTGTTATTAATTGTGTTTATCACTACTTTAATATATAAAGATAGGGTGGAGCAAAATTATGTTTCTAATTTTAATGAAATAAAATTATGGTTGTATCCTTTTGCTGGTACTGTTGTACATATCTCAGTAATAAATATTAATTATGCAGCTTTAATGTTATTCACATATGAAAAAATTTAAACAGTACTCCAAATCTATATAGAAACACTCCAACATACCTAAGGAAAAACTTGGTAGTTCATCTGAGATTTTTATTTTCACCATTCAACTAGAAAAAGAAGAAAGAAAAAAATTTGTTGATTCTTATTTAACTAAGGATCTCATTGGTTTTAAGTAAATTGCTTATAGATAAAATCAAAAAGTTTGTTTCTTAGGAAAAGTTTTTTTTTTTCATGAAGTAAAAGCAAGTTAATTTGCAAGCAACAAAAATTATCTTTCTTATGGATATTCAATGTTATTGTAGCTTAAGTTAAGGTAGTTTTTGTTCAACCTATATAATTAAGACCTAAAGTTGAATTTGGGTTTTCTAAAAAAACATTTCTAGATGTATATTTATATCAGAAAATTCGAGTTAATTGTTGTATATGTTGACTATATAAAAAAAAATACTAAATAGAGTAGGCTTGATTACTATAAAGGCTGTATTTATTTTTATACAACAGTTATTCTGAAAATAGTAATCTTTTTATGCTAATAAGCATTTCTTTAAGTGAACATGCATCAACTTATAATTTTGTGGTACCTGCTTATATTTTTTTAAAAAAAATGTGAATCAGTCTAAAAAGTTAAGATTGAATTAAGTAAAAATTTTCTAACAGAAAAATTCTTTGCTTCAAAAAGATAATAAGCTTTATTTTTCTTTTTTTTTTTGAGGGCTTAGGGAACCTAATTATGTGCTTTAAATGCTGTTTTTAGACATCAGTTTTGATGTATTTCTGTGCAAATATTTAAATTTTTCATTGTATCAATGAATTAATAGGACAGATTAAAACCTTTTCTTTATATTTATTACTGTGATAAAGTTAAAAATAATAAGTCCAGACTTCAAAGATGTGAAAACCTTATATAAAGCTGGTAAAATTTTAAAATTGTTGCTTGATAAAATTTTGTTATATCCATTTTATAGTTTATAAATATATTTAGTTTGTAAATATGTTATTTTTTTATATATTATATTTTTTTAGTTTATAAATATCTATAAGGACAGTTAATTAAATGTCAACAATTCTTTGGTCAACCACCTCTCTCAAGCAATAATTTTTGTAGTGTAGTTTCTCCACAAAAATTTTACCATAAATATATATATGTAACATAAAAAGCTTCAACTAATCTTTTTATGTTATTCCTTTATCCAAATCTTTTTCTTAATTCATTATTTTAAACTAAAAGCTTTTTCTCACACTTTGATATTCACATCCTGTCTTTTAATCTATTTTTGGCTTCAAGTTATGCGTTATTTAACATTTTTGATTTCTCCCTTTACTTGAACTGTGAGAAAGACTTTTTCCCTCGATCTATTTAACATACCAATTGTAATTGTTCAGATTTCCTTTATTCCCTAAGACGAAACATATTTCTGGTTTATTTTACAAGATTTTCCCTAATTTTTATCGGGGAGCACTTGGTGTCACTTGGATATTTGTTCTCTAATTATGTTGGTTAAATGAAATTAATTTGATATTTTTAAGTCCTGTGCCTGTTTGTCCTGCTCGTACGACTGTCATCCTTAAATGTATGTATATATAATTTTAAATTGTACTCATTTTTACTTTTGGATATTCAACAGGAGTGTTACGAAACAACTCAAAACATTTATTGAAAGTAAACGAATGTCGGCTTCTGCTGATAAAGCCAGCTTTAAAGATTTGTCAGTTATGATTAAGAAAATGCCGCAATATCAGAAAGAACTGAGCAAATATTCTGTTTATCTGCACTTGGCGGAAGACTGTATGAAATGCTATCAAGGAAATGTTGACAAATTGTGCAAAGTCGAACAGGTAATGCTCTTAATTTATATACTATATATAATGTAAAATTGTTATCTTTACTTTACTTATTCCTACATGGGTGCCACTCTTCAGTCCTGGGGACTAAAATCAATCTCCGGGAAAATTTAGTGGACTGAATACTGTCTCTTAATTTATATCTCTCTGCCTAATTTTTTTTTAATTAATTTTTTTAAAAATTAAATTTCTGCATTTTTTTTTCTTAAATATTTTCTGTTAAATCCTCCCATGGGTCAGGGAGAACAAGGAAAACCTGGGATTGTCGGGGAATTTTATTTTAACACCAAAAATCACGAAAATTTTTAATTTTTGCAACAACCTGGAAAATTCCTACATCTTGCCTGGAAAATAACCAGCCTTTGAATCGTCTATGATAGTAATCAGTTGGAGTTAAATAATTCTAACATTGATTACAATTATTTATTGTTAAAATTTCTCATTTTAGTCAAACTGACATGTTCCTATCCTCATTCAATGATTTATTTTTTATTTATCTTTTTTTTGCGAAATCTAATATTTGGTGTTGCAAATATAAAACGAAATCAAAATTCTCTGTTAAAGCAAATTGCATTGTATAGATAAAATATGGACTTAATTTTCATTGCAATTTACTTCGTATATCTGGAAAAGTCGGGGAATTTTTTTTTCTTTCTGAAGTTTAGTAAGAACACTGTTAAAAATAGTCAATTAAAATTACTTTTTCATGAAAACATTGTTGTTATTCAGAATCCTAGTGAAATGATTAAGTACTGATGTCACAATCCATTTAAGGAATGGGATTGACTGAACTAAAAAAAAAAAAAATTTCTTGGTATTTTGAAATGCTAGTAAAAATTACTTTAAGATTATTTTTTAAAAATGAAATTTATAGAGCTAGAACATTAAACATTACTGATGGAGGGAAAAATAAAGATATAAATAGTTCCAAGAGAAAGTTAGTAAAGTATTATTCTGTGATTAGTAAAAAATATACAACAATAGATGTTAGTTTTGTTTCCTGTGAAAAATAAACTAAAAAAAATGAAGAAGAATATATATATATATATATATATATATATTTAATAGAAAAAGTAATCAAGTCATTTTTATTATATGTAAGTTATTCTGAGGAAAAGAGAAGTTTTGAAGTCAGAGAGCTACAAGTTTCTGTAAATTCTAGTTAAGAACACTATATATTAATTGGTCAAAAAATAAATTCAGTCTTGAATTTTTTTTAGAGTGGCACCCATGTTCCTACTATGCCATCATACCACTAATGAAAATATAAAATATTTTGGATAAAATCTCATTATAAGATCTAAGAGTGCTTGCAGACTTAAAGTGAATGCAGGTTCAACTAGTGATCCTACTTAATTGCTTACCACTTATAATACTTAATTTGCTTTTTTATATTTGTGGCATCCAGATCATAAACACATCTGCCAATTTTGCTACAATGGATCTAAGATAAAGTCAAAATGCATTTAGAAATAAATATAGTAGTATTAATACAAGTATTTTTTATTATATATTACTTTATTGATTTTTTTTCATTTAATTTATTTTTATTAATTTATAAAAGATGGCAAAGCAAAATATAACTCATGGGTATTGTGAAAGTAATCATGATGGGTGTGAGAGTAATAATTTTTTATAATGATTTTGAAAATTTTTCTGGTAATTATATATTTTGCAAGTATGAAATAATTATTGAAAAATAGGGGCCAGCTTACTAAGTATAATATATTGAAGACATCTATTACTACTCAATAATTCACTTCATGGAAAAGGTACAACTATATTTATTGAATATAAATCTTTAAATATAAAGTAAGAAAAACTACATCAAATAAACTAAACATAACTCTTTAACATCACATAGCTCTTTCTAAACATAACATAAGAGAAGAAACATCCTCTAACCAAAGCAAAGATATATCTAACTAAAACCAGAAACACCCACTTCCTTCTAGCTGAGATAACAGGAAGTGACCCAACTTCCCCTAGGAAGTGACCCAACTTACCACAGGAAGTGACACAGCCAAGAGGAAAATACTGTTTACATTTCTATTTGTTTACCTTTTCCCCAACAATAATTAGAGAAAAATGCCCCCCCCCCAAAAAAAAACACTCATTGTTTCAAATATAGCATTAAAGCAATCTGGATAAGTAATATATCTCTCAAAATTTGTGATTAAATTTAAAAGAAATTTTTCATTGTTTGACTTAAATGACTATATATTGTTAGATCTATAGCCCTATTATAAAATAAGATCTGGGTAATAAATTTTTTCATTTTATTTTGCTCAGTCCTAATTGTTTAAGTGTTTAATAATAAATTTCTAAATTTAGAATAATTGTTCATTCTAGATTTTGGTTAGAAAACTGAGTTGATTGCAACCTGAAATGTTTTCCACCTGTCACTCTTACCACTAAAGTTTTTCTGAAGAAATTATTTTATTTCAAGAAATTGCTTAGCCACAAGGGCTCAGTAGTTAAAGACACTGTGCAGTCATAGCAAAGGACTGGGGTTTAATCCCCAGTGATGGCAACCCCAGCTTCCAATTTATAGGGTACTAGCTTGTCTGAAAAGTAAAGGTAGCTTGTGCACAATGCTGTACACATTGCCACAATCATGCTATTAGTCACTAAATTTTGGAGCTTAAACCTCCATGAGCATCCTGGCCTGCAATCATCTATTGCAAGAAAGCTTGATTTTTTTTACCATTTTTTTCACCTTAACAATTTTTAAAATCATATGTTAGACAAAACCTTGTCAACAAAAATGTAGAAATCGCCCTCTAAATACTTATATAATATTTGAATGATATTGTTGAACTGATATTAATAAAAAAATAAAAATGTAGAAAATATCATCTTCTACTTGCATTGAATAAAAGTGAAAATTAACTGCCTATTGATATTTTTTAATTTTTTGACTGCATGTTTATTTCCTATTTTTCTTTCAAATTTATTGTATTGAATTTTATTTTAAAATATGGTTTTATCTATTTCTTCTCACTTTTTTTTTAAACTACCTAGGACTTAGCAATGGGAACAGATGCTGAAGGTGAAAAAATTAAAGATCCTATGAGAAATATTGTTCCTATTTTGCTTGATGGAGCAGTCAGCACGTTTGATAAGATACGGATAATTCTTTTATACATATTATCCAAAAATGGTATGCTTCTTATTTATTTCATAATCTCCTTCCCATCCCATAAAAGAATACATTGTACTGTTGCATTATATTATTTACAAAAGTTGCCACCAGATTAGATAGGATGTAGAAACTGAAATAGCAGTATTTGAGTCCATACAACATTTTGAAGCCTAGATTTAAAAAAAATTGCCATTTTAAATATATAAAGAGGTTATGTCCTGAAGTATTTTGTGAAATAATGTGCACTTTGTTTTCGTGGAATATCACTGGTTAGATCACAGCCTATGACAACAAGACGCAGTTTTCAAACTTGATTTAACATTAAGTTTAGTTGGAATCTGTTGGCAGTATTTGTAACTAATTTTGAAAATCATGGGGAAAAAAAGATTACCGTATATCCCGGTGTATAAGTCTACTTTCAAAGCCCAAAATTGTTCAAAAAACGGAAGGTTGACTTATAAACAACTGGTAATAAAGTTTGTTATTCATTGATTTGAAATATCAGTGTATTTTAAATAATGAGAAAGATATGAATATTCAATTCACCTTTTTCAAAAACTACTTTCAATATGTTGTATACTATTAATTTTTCATTTTCTCTCATATTTTCTTTAAATATAAAAGGGTTTTTTTAGAAATGATTCTTTAAATCACATTTAGAAAAAATAACAAATTAAGAAAGTTGATTTATTCAAAAATATTTCAAAAAATGTAACACGGTGAAGACTCTTAGAACATACACAAAGCTACAAATCTAAAGATTCCAGAATGTCATATGTGTCAGATACAAGAATGCTAACAGTGTCGTCATACAGATCCCACTATGCAATAGATTCTACTTCACCCTTATCTGCTGAGTCCCATTCAAAATAGTCTTCAGCTGATCTAAAGGATTCGAAATTCCTCACTGTTTAAAAGATTTTACTATAACATTTGAATGAACATAATGTCTTGTGTCTAGTACCATTTGGTACACAAGTCGTCTATTAGAATAACCATTGACTTATCAACAGTGCTCAACTTATACACCCATCATACCAGAAATTTTCAATCAAAATAGAAAGTCAACTTGTACACTGGGATATAAGGTATGTCCTGATGTATTTTGTGAAACAATGTGCGCTTTTGTTACTGAAATATCACTGGTTAAAAATTATGTATGAAATTTATATAGTATACCCTAGTGTGCAATGAAAAAATTGAACATCATTAGGGTATACTGGTAGTCCATAAATGCTACTCCCCAAGCTTTTTTTTATATTGCCAATATAACTTATGGTCAGATATTTTTTTAACAAACATCCTGTTTAAGCTTTTTTGAAATATTTCATTGTATTAGGTGTTTTTAAATCTTATATTTGTTTGTGTAGGCATAACTGAAGAAAATCTTGCTAAACTAATACAGCATGCCCAGATCCCACCTTCAGAAAAAGCAATGATAACCAATATGGCTATGCTAGGTGTAAACATAGTAACTGATGTAAGTATTTGAACTTATATTTAATATCACATTTGTGATGCATAGTTATAAGGTTTGATTTTTCTCATTTTTCTACTTATTTCTAAATTGTTCAATATTTTTTACTGTCATTCATAGATAGCTTGTTTAATTGTTATGTTGTGCTGTTATTTTCTATTTACTTTCTGTTTTTCTCACAACATGACTTTATGGCGTATAGTTCTTTCTTTTTTCCCCAATGGATATTACAATTTGTTTCCAATTCTGATCATTTGTAGAATCATAACAGTTTTCTGGTAAATGGTAACTTAAGTTCTTTGAATTCACAAAAATTTTATGACATGATTTATTCTCTTCTTACAGAACTATGCAGAATTATAGCAAAGAGTTTGTTTTTTTCTTTTGGTACTCTTCAAATCTGTACCTGTTGTTTTTAATAGAAAATTAATATATTCACCTGTGTAGAATAAGTGAATGTATTTGTTTTCCTTATAAACAATATAAAAATTTGACCAGTACCAAAATAAATCCTCGGTAAAATCTTTTATAGTTAATCTTTACAAATTTATACAAGAAGCTTGCATTAAAATTTTATTCCTTTGTGTCCTTTATTGTTATTTTTAAGCTTGTAACTCACGAATATATATTAACACAATATTCATATATTTAGAACATAGCGAATAGTTTCAGCTTTAAAACCTTCAAACTCATTTTTTTTATCTGCTGTAATTTAATAATTTCACTGGTGAGCTTTTTGGCTAAAATAAGTAGCAGTTCAATTCTGTATCTCTTTTATACCTTCAACTTATTTATGTTAGTACATGTGAATTTTTAGTAGGAATTGATAACTATGCTAATTTATGAATTTTCAGAACTGAATCTTATTCTTAATATTAAATTAGCTGATTTTCACATTCTTTTAGGGTGGCAGAAAGAAGCCTTATCAAGTACCCAGAAAAGAAAGAATTACTGAACAAACTTACCAGATGTCCAGGTGGACACCAGTAATCAAGGATGTTATGGAAGTATGTTAGTTAGTGATAATTTTATTTTTAGTATATTCTTAAATTGATATTCTAAGCATTTATTTTTTTTTTTCTTGTCTCTACACTTTCTTATTTAACTACTAATGATTTTTATGTTTTACTGCTAATTGTTAATGATTTCTTAGTGTTTCCAACTTTTGTTACTATGAGTTTATTATTATTAAATATTCTTCTTGGGAAAAATTAAACGATTAAGTCCTGATACGTGGTTTATCATTTCTATATAACTTTTTAGGTTGACTTACACTGTTTGAAAAGCCTGGCATAATTTATTTAAAAACTAGTTTAAATAGAAATGTAATTAAAATAGTTCTCATGTTTAGTTTCCTTAAACATAATTTATATAAAAAATTGAAATTTCCTCATTTGCAGAAAAAAGGCATCTTGCTAGGAGTTTAGCAGCTTCCCAATATGTTATCTTGTTCAATTTTCATTTTTGATATCCCATAAAAAATGGCATGGCTATTTTAAATAGTGTGTTATATTTTACATTTAACACTGATTTTATATTTAAATCATTTATAATAATTGATTTTTATGGTAAGTGTAATAAATTGAACTCTGTTTAATACTTAAAAATAATTTAAGCATCAGAGAATAATTAAATTTTTTTGAATGAAATGCTTACATGCATGTATAAGTAATCTAAATGTACAATATTTGTACAAGATCTAAATATATAAATATACTTTTTATGATAAATAACTATTACTGCTGTTTTTATTATAAATACATTCATTCTCTTTGGTTACAAACTCTTAAGTGCGGTTCCATTTCATACTTCCTTTCCCCAGTGGCAAAAAGAGCCCCTCAAAAGACCTCGATGTCTTCTTTTCGAGCCCATGTGAAAAGGTTAAGAAAGTATTAAGCTCAATCACAAATATTAACTAATTTATATTGATTACTTTATAATGAAACATTAAAAAAAATTTATTTATTGATTTGAATGTATTATGAGTTGTTAAGTATTGGTTAAATTATACTGGAAACTGTTAAGCATTTCTGAAATTAAAAATAGTATATTTTATTATTTGCTTGCCGTAAAATTTGCTTTTATTATGCTTAGTTTCAAGTAAATTATGCTTGTTTTTTTTTTGCTTTTTTTTTTAATTTTTTTTTTTAAAGTTTGCTTTTAAAAAGTAATCTGTTGTATGTATTCTAAGCTAAAAAATGTCCTGATTTATTTATTTTTTTTGTAAAACGTTGTTGGGATTTTTTTCTTCAACCCACATGAAGCATAGTTAATATTATTTGATTATGTATCGTTTCATTTATGAATTTTATGCCAGTCTCTAGAGAAATGTAAATATTGTTTCCCTTTGTTATTTTTTTGTATGTTTTACATTTTTATCAAATATTATTTTTTCCTTTAATTGCAGGATGCTATTGACGATAAATTAGATGCCAAACACTTCCCATTTTTAGCAGGCCGTGTTGCACAGAGCAATTATGGACGGCCAACACCTACAAGGTATACATTTTGGACATTTATTTATAAATGACAGAATGCATCAATTCTTTACTGTCTTGCAATGAAACAATCTGTTTAAACTCTTTCATATTAATCTCATTCTCACTTAAAAAAAAGTTTTATATTTTATGCTACTTTAAAAAATGACTTAATTGTCACTGTTGGTGGAATAACATAAACTTACTTATTTTTTAAATTAAAATTAAAGTTTTTAAATTTATTAATTTAACATAAATACGCTGGTGTGCAACAATTGAGGACAAAATGGAAAAACTAGCATAACAACAAAACAGTTCCAAAGTAAGGAAAGGTCATTAAGAAGACCAATCACTGTAAGGTAAAGTGAAAAATTTGCATACATGCACTATGACGTTTCGGGGGGGACGTTTTGTAAGGAAGTAAAACAAACTGGCAGTGGAAGCTCAGTTTTTATGTGAGTGGTATTGCACAGTACATAACAGTTTAAACAAAGTGAATTTGTTGTCACGATGTGATATGCCTATTCAATAACGTAGAAGACGACATCTGGATGAGTTACGGGAGGTTGAATCATTGGGAAGTTGAAGAAGATCGAAGTGTGACCAGTGTGGCTGTGGAGTTCAGGATCTCACACAGCATTGTTTCACGAGCTTGAAACACATATCAGAGAATAGGAACTGAAGTTCATTGGATTCGTCCTCGCACAACCACGGCAGCGAATGACCAGTATATAGTCCTACAGGCTAGAAAGAGCAGACGTCAGACATCAGGAGAAATCGCTAGGCACACACAACAAATGCACACAAAACGTATTGTATTCTGAAATTACTTATTTTTGAATTAATTGATGTATACCAATTTATTCCCCTGTAGTTTGAGAATTTATAAATCTTAATTATAAACATTTCTCTCAGTTTAAGGCTTAGATACTATCAAAAGATATAATTTCACCAAATCTTGAAAAGTTACATTTTTTGTTGATTATTTCTTTTATTTCTCATTTTCGAAAAGTGAGTTGCAAATTGAACTAATTGTTTCTTTAATTAATTAACATGCAAAAAAATACTGCTTAACTTATAATATTTCTTTCCGTGTAAGGTTTGGACGCTTGCACAAAGATATAATTTTCACTGAATCTAAGAAGATTCCATTTTTTAAAAATGTGTTGTAAACTGAATTATTTTTTTAATCAATAAACATAGAGAAAAGTACTGCATTAACTTATAAATATTTTTTTTCAGTGTAAGATATGGACACTGGCACAAAGATAAAAATGCACCAAATATAAAAAATTTACCTCGTATGATTGTATTTATTGTTGGAGGTTGCTGTTATTCAGAGCTCAGAGCTGCTTATGAAGTAACAAAAGAATACAAAAACTGGGAAGTAATTATAGGTAAGTGTCTAGCATTTGATTTAAAACAATATAGTTTTTATAACTATATTGTTCTAGTACTATATAGTAAAATATAGTTTTTGGTACTATATAGTTTTAGTACTATATAGTAATATATATTTTTTAATACTATTTAATTTTATCATTCTGGCGGAGTATTCGGTGAATTTTTTTTTACCTTGAATTTGGCATAGGATACTCATACCTGATTCTTATGCCATCAAACTTAACATCCATTCTAATTCAAAAACTTTTTCATAATTGAAAAGCTTAAAGGCCCTGTTCTGACAGAAAAATTTTTCTACTTTCTCCATGTTTTCCTTAGGAATATTATATGAACACAATTTACTAATTTATCTATTGACAAGGCATCAATAATAAAATTATACAAAAGTCATTCCTATCATATTTAGTTATTAAATAACTAAAGAAATTGATCTTCCTCATTAGGCTAACATGGATCCTTTCTAGCCTAAAAAGAACCAGCAACAAATATTTTTCTATTCCTAATAATTTTTAAAAGTGTATTAAGCCGATTTTAAAACTAAATAGTCAACCATTGCTTATAGATTTTTCAACAGACTAATATAAATAGAATATAATAGGAAAATAAATGAAAAGACATGTTTGCAAATGAATAGAAATTCATTAAAAAATAATAATTTTATAAGCATAACTTCTACTATTATCTATGGGAATAGCCCTATTCACTTGTAGCAGTGGTGGGGACTATGATCTAGAGATTTAGCTATTTCAAATAGGGGTGTTGGGTCAATATTTAAGATAGATTTGGACTCGGGTCGGCGAGAGAATGGGAAATGAGGGAGTAAGAAGCCCCTCTTAAATGTGCTATTTCTTGTTTCCATAATAAAAGGTGACTTAAGACTTAGTGGAAAAGAATGTTCTTTCTATTGTAGCGTGTCTACCACTACAATTATTCATTTCTGATTCACTCGTATAAAGACATGTTAACTCAATTCTATCTGGAGGTGCCTTTAGATAGATAATGGTTTACATTGTCAATAGCCTAGCATCAGATTAGTTACTTTCGGAACTGATCTAACCACCCCTACCTTGACAGAAATGCCCACTTCGATTTGACTATGCCTACTTTGATAGATGGCCCACAATGACTTGATACTTGTGACTGCGACATTTACCTACTCCTTGTACCGTTGCTACTCAGTCTCGATCACACACGGCGCTAGCCTGTATACAGTTGAGCGACCATGAACTTAATACAACTCTCACATCAACGCTAAAAAATCAGGTGATCTTAATACAGCTCTCCAGAATTCTCACAAAAACAGCAGTGAATCAACTAGTGATATCCGTTCACCAAATTCTATCACAGATAAAATTCTGGTGGGTGAGTACTGTAACATGTCTACCACTACAATTATTCAATTCCAATTAGCTTGTATCTTAAACATATTAACTAGATTCTATGTTTGGTTACCTTTTCATAGATGAAGGTTGACATTGTTGGTAACACACTCTTCCATTATAGACAAACTTACAGCATTGTATGCAAGGATAAGGCATACTTCGTGCTAACATATAAGTAAAAGGAAATGAATAAATCACAGCATTTTTATTGACTGGAAAATTTTTATCAGTTTTTTTTTCCATTTCTAATCTTTGTTTGTGCTTTATTCATATTATTTTGCTATATTCACAATAGCCTTGTTTATTTATGCACATAATATTGATATAGAAATCAATAGAGGCTATTGACTATCAGTCTTAGTGACCCTGAAATGATCATCCTTTCTTAACTATTTTTATGATCATCATTCAGCTTTAATTTAAAATAAAAATTCCTTTTTAAAACCTCACTTAGAGTTTCTTGGATCCAGGCCAAATGTTTATGTACTTAAATAAAGTAGCAGAATTAATGCATTTTCCGTCATCTAAATTACAAACTACAGTGAAACCTATCTGGAGCGACCACTCTCTGTTCTGCAGTAAAATGATCGTTAGTGAAGGTATGTCATTCTTAGAGGTTACCTCCATTGACTTCAAAATGTTATAGAAGGTACAGGACTTTTCACAAATGATTTTAAATTTTAGTTTTTGTCATTTTCTCAGTGAGGAAATGCGACTTGTGTTGGCATCATGAAAACCAGATGGGTGAATGAAATTGAGCGGTAATAAACATTATAAATACTGATGTAATTATGCGCAAAAGCAGATTTACCAATTATGAATTATAAAACTATTTTAAATAAATAAACAATTATATTTTTGTTTAAATTTGCATTCAATTTTATATCATAAAAATTAGTTAGCTTTAGAAGATAAGAAGAGGGTTTTTTTGTTTAAGATGCTTAGTTTTTCTAAAATAACTTTCTTTTTCTAATTTAACTTTGAACTCTAAAAATAAATCATTGGTAGTATCGTCTTTAGTGCTCTCTGACTGCAACATGAGATGGTAGATTTCTCTAAGAGATCGTCAATGTCTATGGAAAAAATTCTGTGCCTCCCAAAAAGTGGTCGTAAGTAGAGGTGGTCTTTACTATAGGTTTCACTATATTTTTAAAATTGCATATTTGGAATAAACTGGGAATGCAATGAAACAATGTACAAATGAAAAAGGCATATAAATAAAAAAAAATGTGTAAACGGTGCTTTACTGTAATTTATCAATGGTTATTTTCGTTATTGAAGAGATTTTTTTATTTCAGGAAGTGATCACCTTCTTACCCCAGAGGGATTCCTCAGCGATCTACGTGATCTCACAAGCTAAACTTTGGTGTGTTTTTAAAACATCCTATTCATATATGCATGTTTCTTCTAGACCAGTTTTATGTACAGTATTCAGCTAGTCATTCTCATTCCTTTGTTTCTATCCTATCAAATTATCTACGTAACATATGCACATATGTATGTCCTTCATACTTGTGTACATATTTACACCCACATAAAGGATGTTTTTACTTCGGTAGCTTTTTAAGCTTTTGGGGGCAAATTTTTTAACAGCTGGCAACTTGAGTAATGTGATAATTAGCCACTGATAGATTGTTAGTGCAGCACACTACTTTTTCCACTCTGACTGTTGGGATATGTAATCAATGCATTTATAATAGTCAAGAAATATATAGTAATTTATAACATGTTTTGTAAAATAGATTTCGATTAAACTGAAAACACTTTTTCATAGATTCCTTATATTTCCTTTACACGAAAATTGTGCTTTAAATATCAGGGTTCCCACGGTTCTTAAAAGTCCTTAAAAACTGCTGAATTTTTATTTTGGAAAATAAGGGCCCTTAAAATACTTAATTTTAGTTTGAGATCTTTAAAAGTCCTTAACTTATAGTTGATTTAAACAATTTGATCTTACAAATATATTTTGAAACAAAAAGTCTGTCTTTCTTTAACTTAAGATTGAGACTTTGCACAGATGGTAGAGCCTTTTAAGAGACAAAAAGGGATGTGTGTGAGGGGGACTACATTCAAGGGGAAAAAGGCCTATCTTTTCTAGTTCTAATAATGTTAAAAAAAAATATTCATCCTTTCTCCTAAAATGAGAAATTCTGCAAGAAAAAAAAAATGGGTGTGGGAGAGAGGAAGATCGTACAATTATATCAGTAACTACAATATAAATTTTTTTTTAGAAAAATAAATGGGACTGTTATTTGAGGGATAAACAAAAACTACTATTTTAAGGTTCATTATTTTTATAAAAAAGTCCTTAAAAAACCTTAATTTTTGCTTTGATAAAAAAGTGGGAACCCTGTATAGTTAATTTTAAAAAGCTTTTTGTGAAAATTATTTATTTTTTTTCTATTGTGGTGCTTAACCTATTTGCGTTACACGGGAGAGCGAAAACCATGAGTTCGCATATATGTGCTTAAGATGCAAATGGGTTAATATAACCCTTGTGTAACTGATTCGATCTCTTTTTAAAGTGGTGCTTAACCCCTTTGCATCCCACGAAGGAGCGAAATACGTGAGTTCGCATATGTGTGCTTATGATGCAAATAAGTTAATGTTGTATTTTACTGAATCATGAAAATAATTACTTTCAAAATTACTGTGAAAAATGTCTAGAATTTGTCTAGTATCTAAAAATGTATTTGGGTCTGTTGAATAATTGTATTTACATGCTCAGTGGTTTAAAGATTATTCATTAGAGTTGATATAACAGAGTAGCAGGGATGCCACATTTTATAAATTTTAATTCTCACAAATAAATTTGAGTTTGAAAAAGGCTTGAAAACTACTGGAAAGTTCAGTTTCATGAATTTTTTTTTGTATGTTTTTTATTTGTGAGTTATTATTGTTTTTTAAATTTTTAGCCATTTCTTTATTTTTCTGTCTGCGGGAAATGTTTCATTTGTCCCGCAATTAAGTTCTAAACAATGTTTTCGATAATACTATTAATCTGATTATTTTTTTAAACTTATTTTTATTTAGGAAACTATAGCTGTGTCGTATCTCACAGTTTAATAGTACAATTGTAAGTACTACTAAAAATTATTTCTCTCACTACAAAAAAAAATAAATTAATAAAATAATGGAAAAATATATTTGTTACTGCAAAAACTATGGAACTCTAGGCCTGTGGCTGCAAAAAAATCTTCCTATTAAAAAAAAATTGAAAATAGTCCTGTTACTGCCGAAAAACACTGCAGTAGATTGGCATCCCTGCAATAGTTTCTTTAACGTTAAAACAGCTTCAATACAATTACAAATGAGTTGAAGTTAGTTTGATGTTGTAAAGTCTTAAAGTAAGACTTAAATTGAGCTAGATAGTAAACAACTCCATTTTCTTTCAAGAAAATGAGTCAGATTCTTAAGTTATTCACGTAATGAAGCAAATTCTAGTTTAGCTAATTGAACACCCTTTAAGATATCTGCAAAAGGATTCATTCTAAAAATTAAACCGAATGAATCCAAGCAAAAAAATAAATACACATTAAATAGAAGTTTGTTTAGTTTGTACCTAAACTAAATGTATTTGCAGGGATTTGAATTAGTAATTTAAAAATGCTTGATCATACCTTAAAAATACTGCACTTTAACATTCATTTCACATTTTCAGTGCTAACTATTAGTGTCAAATTAATTCTAGTTTAATCATTTTTCTAGATTTTAAACAATGTGATATTAGCTGCCTATTTTGTTTTAAGAAAAAAAATAGTTAGTGGTTTAACTTGTATTAATTAGATTAATTTAAATTTTTCTTTGCATGGCAACACGCAATTTTCATTGCGCTGTTAATGCTTCAGGTCATGTAGTTTTATTTAGAACTCAACTTTAATTGTATAATTAATGCTAGGCATGCAATAATTGCAAACTTTGTTTGAGTTTTTGTCATGTTTATAATTGTTGTTATAAACCCGAAACGGTGGTTGCTTTTTGCCACAAACATAGTAAATAAAAAGTGGAACTATTATGTCATTCATTTATAAATGTAATTGTCAGTATAAATCTTAAGTAATAAGTTTGTTTATAAGTGTAAAAATCTTTTGAAATAAAATTTTCCATTTCGGTATAAATTTTAAAGAAGTGAAGAATACTGTGCATCAATGATAACATATTTCAACTTCCATATCAGAAAAATCAATAATGCTCAAATAAAAATCAAATTTCCCCTACTCTGGGATTTTTTTTTTTAATTTTAATAATTGTTCTTTTGTCACTCTTGGAATTGTCCATCTTTTGGAATCTTGTTTTAGGATTTGTTGACCTGTACTCAAATACAAAGTTTTCTAACATTAATTTATCACTGACATTAATTATCTTACATTATTACCATAAATTTGTGTATACATTAAGAAAAATAATTTTAATATTGATCTGTTGCAAGGAAAAAAACTTTATTACATTTGTTATTTCATTCTCTTGTTTTTATGTTTTGGTATTATATAAAATAAAAAAAAGTTGTTTGTTAATGATAATATAAATATCAAGGAATCTTACCTTGAGACTCGATGTATCTAAAAGAAAGAAACTTTGTTATCAATTACAAATTTTATCAAATCAAGAGCACAATATGGTATCTTATTAAACTTATTATTTTCATTCTTTCTTAATAATTTGTACTAGTACTATTATCTATAATAATAATAACCTGGTTTAAAGTAAATTTCAATAAGCAATGATTTTCGAGGAAGTAAAACTCTAGTAATTCTTAGTTTTCATATTTTGATATACAGGCGTGGAAAAAAAACTTTATTTTATATCTTTGAATGTAACAAATTATACACAAAACTGTAAAAATGAGTACTAGGGTTAGTGTTGATTGAATAATCTACATTTTAGCTTTTTTGTAGTTTTGTCTATTGGTCTACGTTGTTAAAAACACTATTTACATCTATGTCATTTGTATTGCTTTTGAATGCTTGTGACTTCAAAGAATATATCTAGGTGTTTAAAAAAATTAATTAGACTTTAATTATCATTGTGTTTACTTCCGGTTTTTATATTCATATATATAATGAAAATTTTAATATTTTCGTATAAAAAAAATTGGATGTTTTAAAGTCATTTCCTCTTTGCTAAGACTTATTAATTTTCTTAGAGGTGAGTAAAGGAGGATTTTATTTGGTTGTTTGTTAGGTTATTAAAAATTCTAAAATATATTTTATGCGAAAATTACATTATACATTGCATCAAATGTGAAACTGTAGCATTGAATCTGCAGGAGATGCTAGAGGCAAAGGAGAAAACTATGTAAAGTTTGTACATTTAGATAAATGTATTATACCAATTATATTTCATAGAAAAGGAAACACAATTATTTACAAGTTTGCATTGTGAAAACAAACTTCTGACAAACATTTTTTTAAATGTAATTTTTCCTTATAATTACTAACAATGAATGTTAAAAGAAAATCTAGAATGTCTTGAACTTTTACATTCCTACTTGAATTTTTAATTATGTATCTTGCAAAGCCTTAAAAAAATTTATTTTACATTCAATAATATTAATATTTTTTTGCTTTTATAATAAATCCAAATATTGTTTAATAAAATCTGTACCATGTGTGCCTGATCAAAATTTTTGAGTTAAGTTTATAATCATAGCTATGGTTTTCACCTTTCATACATTCATTAATGGAGTATATGTTTGTAACAAATAGTTCAAGAATTGAATGATGTCTAGTTTAAATCTAGTTAAATTTTTGTACTGTGGATGTGAAATTGCTATCTTTTTTATGTTATCAAATTGTATTCTTTTCATGTTAAAAAGCTTAATTTTATCAATATTATGCCTAGACAATAGTTAAATGTCTAGATTTATTAATTCAGCGTCTAGATTTTCAGCAATTATTATAGAGATGTTTTTTACATAAATATTTTTTTATATCAAATGTATAGCTAGCATTTAAAATTACAATTTTTCCTAGTTTAATTGAATACTTATGAGGGAAAATATACATAGGCATGTGCATCTGAAGATGTTGTCATAAATGTTGATAAAATATTTTATTATAAAAATTAGCGTAAAAATTAATTCTAAAATTATGGAATTTATCCCAAAACTTTAGATGACTTTTTTATCATCAGGATTGATGTCACAGCCCTTTGTGGGCCCGGCCTCCTTTAAAAGTATTTTTTTCCTTTAAATAAAATTAATAATAAAATTAATATTTTGTTATGAACACGGCAAAATCTTGGCAGTTTTTCCATCTTATTTTTTTGTTTAAAATAGTGATGTTTATTCTCCAACGATTTACTGTTGATATTTTTATTACATAGTGAAACAGGAATTCCAATGACAAAAACTTTTATCGGAAAAAAGCTTCTCGAAGCTGAGCATTGTGAAATTAGAGCTCATTCTAATTATTTTTAAAACAGGATTCTTTTAAGTGCCCATTCCGGGGTAAACAGGACTCACCTTTTATCCATCTGGTCCTCCACACTTTTTTTACTTAAATTTAGAACATACATTTTACAAAATAATAATCAAAGAAATCATATAACTGATTGGCTTAGTGAGATTAATCTCATAAATTTTGTCCTGAAATCTTACTGCAAGTAACGTACTCTCGAACTTGGCGCCATAGATCTGGCTAATTCCAAAATGTAAACGTTGACATATTTTATATAACTACAGTGTGCTGTTAGGATGGGCTAACTGGTGAATGAATAAAAAAAATAATTAAATTGCTTTACTGGGGAGGAAACTAAAGAATAAGAAGAAATTAATCCTTCCCCTGGACTTGGTGAAAATGTCGGTGTGGCTTTAACCCACTGGCGATTAAGCGAACGGGCAAAATTGAAAGAATGTTTCTCCCCAATACACTATTTCCCTATCTAATAACATGGAAAAACCAGGCTTGCTATGCAGAAAAGACTACAGGTTAAAATAAGACTTTTTACGTGCAGAACCATCAACGGGTTAAGTCTTAAAGAGAGCCTTGATTTAAATAAGTTTTTTTTTCCTTTTAAACAAAAAAAATTTATGTCAATAAAAAATTTAAAAACATAGTGTGACATAATAATTTTGTTTGAAGTCTAGTCTCAATTAATAAAATAATATTTTGGTTTTTAAACCCGTATTTGGAGGCAGCGTCGTTTGTGTAGATCTAAATAAAAGATGCAGTTTCTGCCTATGAAAATATACATTATAAATATATTGTATTAATATTACTAACTTTAAAAGTAGTAGTGTCAAAAACCCTATTTAGCATTTAATAATACTCAGTGTCTAAAAATATAAGTAGATATTTTATCATAAATCATGTTTATGCTCAATTAGAAATCAGTATTTTGAAAAGTGCTTTTTTTTTCATGTATATGGACAGATTACTATTAATCTGGAATTATACCAGTACTTAAGTTGAGAAGATAAGAACACATGAGAAATTTTACTTTCATATTAAGCACTAGGAAGCTGAACATGATCACTTTAATCAATTTGCCTTGCGTTAACTCCATTAAAAACTGGGACTAACTTAGAGGATAAATTGAGTGATTTTATTTATAGTATAACTTATTTCTATATTATAGAAATTTATTTGTGATCCATATTTTATTTTACTGAAATTCTTTTATAAGGCAATATTTTTAGAGAGCTGTTGTTTTATTTTAAGATCATATTTTTATAAGATTTCACTATCCTTAATGAATTATTATTTCTATAATTTTTTTGGTCGTTTTCAGCTTTCCAATGAAATAAATTAAACTGCTTTCTGGTGTCAGTAAGCCTAGCTGATATGATCGAATTAACTTTTTAAAAACATACTTAGATTTTTCATTATGTTTTATAAGAATAATTTTTTTATTTTTTATAAACACACATTAAATTTTTCTATTTAATTTTTTTACTTAAAAAAGTAAACTTTTTTTCTTTTTTGAATTGAAGTAAAAGGAAATTTTCTTACTGAAATTTTTCAAATAATTAGTAAAAAGTGGGTGTAAAACAATTTTATTACCTGTCTTTCAAGGGCAATTAAACACAATAAACTAAGTGTGACAGCCACTATATATTAAGAATTATTTAAACTTAAACTGTGTTGTATTTGAGATTAAAGTGATAGTCAGAAAGAGGAATAATTTCTTGCCCTAATTGCATCGCTGCCACTCTTTGCTTATTATTAGAAAATTTTCAGCCCTGAATTCTAATGTAAACCAAAAGTATATACTGTTGATATTGGATTGTCATTCATTAATTTGACAAGGTTAAAACATTACATACTTAATTATATAGTTACTTAAAAGAACTCTCAAACTGTTAGAGAATTTGTACAGAATTATTTACTTGCATACTTTCCCCATACCTGAAAATCTCTGTATATAACATTTTATTCTATACACAATAATCATTTTACCTTCTTTTTTTTTTGTGATTACTTACAGTATTTATCATTTGATTTGTTTTTTGTAAAATTGTTTACTTCCATGATATATGTATAAAAGTTCTTTATAAAAAAAATGTTGTAGAATTGTTAGTATGTGTGTAAAATGTTTGGTATAACCATGTCTTTTTCTTGTTATTAATAATGCAGTGCTCAGAATTGGGATTTTAAAAAAGTATTTATGCAATTTTATTTTCCTTTATTTAAACAACTTTAAGTTGTTTTATTTTAAATAAATGGGGTTTTATTTCAAGGGAGAGCAACTACTGTGAGTTTGGATTCGAACAACAGAAGTAGTGAAAGCTATTTAAAAAACTGTAAAATTATCATTTTCCACTTCTTTTTTTTAACAATCTGGAAAAAGGGATTTAATTTGTGAATGACTCCTTACTTGAAATAGGTTTTTTTATTTTTTATTTGGTGACTAACACTTACTTTATCCCTCGTAAACAAAGATATTTGTTTGATAATTAAAATTAAATCTTCAGACACTTTTGTTAACTCTAAGAGTTGTTCTTTATATTAATAAATTTATGTAAACTTATTTTATTGCTTAGAATAATTTTAATCTTTGGAACGACTATTAAATTTTTTGCTTTATATTTTATTGCAGAAAATTATATCAGTTACAGTAGAACAAAAAACTTCTACAATTTACCCTTCCTGTTATTCAACTTAATTATCATTTTTATTTAACATTGAAGTGTCTTTTTGTTTGTTTGTTTTTTTTAACATTTTCCTGTAAATTAACACATTACTGATTGCAGATTCTTTGCTAAAATGTGCTGTGAGACTGACCAAAAAAGCCTTAAATGAGAATTTTTGTTTTCATAAACTGGATAGAGTAGAAGATAGCAAAATATTTTAAACATTTTGTTGAAATTCGCAATTCAGTGTTTAAACATTTTTCAAGCCATCTCAAATTATTATTATTATAACCAAAACCATAACAAAATCCAAAGGTTACGAAAATAAATTTACCCAGTGAAATATTTAAAACTAAAAATATGTTATTTGCAAAAAATAAGTTCAAAAGGAGAGTATAATTTCATCAAGTACGTTGCACAGGTAATTGTGAAAAAACTTATCTGTAACCATAAGGAATAACAACAAAAACGGGAAAATTTGCTTTCATTCAATTACATTTGTAATATGAAAACAAGAATTCTCGTGTTGGCAATGGATAAATTATTATTTCTATGTTATTTGTTTTATGTAATCTGAAAATTAGTGTTCCACTTTCTCATTTTTGATTTAATTTTTTTTCCTTTCAATATTATTGGAGCACTGCTAAACTGTATTGTTCTAGTTAAATATATGTATATTTTGATGAAAGAATTTATCCAGTAATAAATACACCAGTAAATATATAGGATCATGTTTTCTGTGATAATTACATATAGCTCATAAAAAGTAAAATACAGCTATTTAACCCTAATTAGTTAAGTGTTTAAACATTAAAAGTACATTTTATTTCCTTTTTTATCAGTACTCTTATTATATATGAGCTTAGCAAAAAGATTCATGCTTTTTAAACTTAAATTAAGCATTCAAGCTAAGATGACTATGAATTTATTATTGTCATAGATAGTGTGCATAGTACTTTGATCACTACTGAAATTACTTACATTTCATCTCTAGTCATCCTAATTCAACATGTTGTTTCTATTAGCTCTGTAATATGTATCAGCAAAATAAAGCAAGAATATCATAGTGTTTGATTTTTTTTTATTGAAAACTAACATGATTATCAGATTAAAAATTGCTAAGCAAAAAAAAAAANAAAAAAAAAAAAAAAAAAAAAAAAAAAAAAAAAAAAAAAAATATTAAAATCCAAATTATGTTAGATTCTAAAAAAAAGAAACATTTCTACAATAGTATTTAGTAAGATATTTCTTGAAAGAATATAATTGATAAATGATTTAACAAAATTAGTTTTTTATACATTACGAAAATATACTTTCAAATTAAATTTGAAAGTAAAAAAGGCTATATTAATTAACAATTCAACCTTTGACATGTTGTCATTGTTAAAGTATTTTATAATTTTTAAAGGCAGTATTATCAACTGAATGCTTTATCTGCTGTGATAAATTTTAATTAAAAATGGTAACATTATCAACTGAATGGTTTATATACATTGATAAATTGTAATTTTAAATGGCGACGTTAGCGACAGAATGCTTGATATGTGCTGCCATGGATAAAAAGAAACATTGTGTCGATACTGAAATTTTTAAAAAAAGGGAGTTCTTAATAATTGGTGAGAAAATAATTTCTAGGTTATTAATCATCTACAAAGAGCATTATATGTGTTAATAACAAAAATTATTCTGGTTCATTAGGTGTCAAAAATTTCACTTCCGTAAAAATCCTACTTTTAGTTTCTGAACTTGAGTAGTTTTAAATACCTTTTCTTCTCTTTTTTTGAAAATTTTTGTAATAGGTATGTGATTTCTTTGACAATTTAAATAGATGGTTTCATTTAATAACTACATAAATCTAAGCTATATATATAATTTAGAAAATAAACAACTTTAGCTCATTGTCGGTGTACTTTTTCTCTGTCAACATTTATTTTTGACCATTAATTATAAATCCAGAATAAGTACTAGAAAATTACTGATGTGTGCTATTTTGTGAAGATGAATTTTGAGAAGTTTTACTTGGATATGAGAGAAGATGTGTGTAACTAAAGCTTAAAATCTTTAAATTGATCCTTATTTGACAAATAATCATAACTTACGAACAAAATCTTATCTCTACAAAAACACATTTAAATTTTGCAATGCCTTATTCCAGTTACGTACATATTGATATACAGCATACTATTCCATTTAAATACATTTTAATTTAAAAGGAGGCTCAAAAATTGATGTGTAAAGAAATCAAAATAAAGCAGTCAATCACACAAGCGATAAAAATATAAATTTATTAAATGTTGCCAATGCCTTAAAAGAAGGCCATGCCATACTTTCTTTATGTATGACAACTCAGTTCTTTTGAAAATAATTTCATGTTTTTTTAAAAGTGCATCCCGTCAGCCTATCCTTTCAATTATAATTTTTAATATTTTCTACAATTCCAATGTCCTCATAATCTTAGCATCAAAAAATCACATACAATTTGATTGGGTTTGGTAAGAAAAAAAATATTAAACCTATTGAAGGTCATTAATTTAGAATTTTAAGTGTCATTATCTTTACAAATATGTTCAGAGCGACAAAAAAGAACCTTCCTGAATAACTTTTGATCAAATGATCGGATCTTCACGTTCTAGGACTCCATCAATATTTTAAGGGAGTGACCTCAAGTAAGCAAATTAATTAGTGCAGACGATATTTTAAGCTACGTAATAAGACACAAAAACGTTAATTAATTAGCATTTATGTCCCCTCAAATCATTAAGTTTAAGTCTTAGAATGTGAAGATCCGATCATTAGATCAAAAGTTATTCAAGATGGTCTCTTTTTTTTTTTGCACTGTACGTAACCTACTACTTTTTTTTTACAAATGAATGTTTTTTGTTTTTTTTTTTTACAGCTAAAAGAAACATTTCAGCAAAATTTTTTTCATTTATGTACATGACCATTATTACTTTTAAAAATATTTCTATAAAAAATTTATATACACAGGACATTGTAATCAAACAATAGAAATGTATTTGCTTTAATAAATTTCTGAACCATTAGTAAAATGTTCATTCATGTAATTATACCATCTTAATTGATTTAATAAAAATATAATTAATCCCTAAAAATTTAAATATTTAGAACTAAAGAAGTGGGAAAAGTTAAGATATATAAAAAAAAAAACTAATTTGTTAGATGATGTATAATTTCAAAGCCAAAGTGAACGAAGTTGTCTTAAATCATCTAAGGATGTAACTAGTGTTAATAAATTCAAACCATTTTAATAAAAATTTAGTCATGCACATTTAAATAGAATCAAAATTTTATTTATTAATTCTTTAAAAAAGGTATAAATTGTACAATGAAACTCAGAATTATTTAAAAAATATATCTATATACGTATATAATACAATGTTCTGAACAATTTAAAAAAATTAAGTAAAGTAATTGTGCATTTAGATATTATTTGAATTTAAGAAAATATCACTGGTTAAAATAGCATCCAGCTTGTTTCTTAGAATTATGATGTGCATTTAAACAATGTTTAAAATTGAGCAAAATCATGTCCATCTAGGTTCTTTGGTAAAGCTATGAAGGAGTTTTCCAGATGTAAGATAAAATGATATATTCACAGTTGAAGGAGTTGCATCGATGTAAGTAAATGCTCCTAAAGAGAAAGGATCTCCCCAATGAAACTGTAAACTATTGGGTGGGATTTTATGCAGATTCTTTCTGGAGGGATCGATGAAGTTAGCACTTCCAGTTACGACGTAATCCATCACTTTTCCACCATTTTTTACTTGAATGTGCTTAAAATTAACAAACACAAAATCATTGAATGCAACAATGTTATATACTTGTAAATTATTTTTATAAAAGGAAGAAATTATTCAAGAATAGAATAACTTAGACTTTGAAACCCATATGTTTGAAATCTCATACTCAGATAAGCTGTTACTTTGTATGGGCTCCTAACCCTGGTTCAAATAGAGCTAGTATAACAAGAAATACAAATATTAAAATGAAAAAAAGATAAAATTATTCCAAATGATCAATAAAAACATAGGCACAATACTAATAATTTCTCTTTTTTTTAGTTTATGTTATTGCGAATTCAACATTTTTGTCTGCCTCATTTTCTTATGATGGGAAAGGAAAAATTTCACATTTCTTGATAGAGCTATAAGCTAAACGTCACTCATGTTATCTTTAAAATATTTTACAAAACTGGCTCGTCTATAGTTTTTTTTAAAAAAAACAACGGCTTCCACTAAGCCAATGAGAAAATATCATTCTTTATATGTCTCTAAATAAAAAAAAGCAGGCTTCATAATTTGTTTAAAATTGCACTAAATTAGTTTCATGTTGAATGTTGCATTTTTAGAGCTTATGGTATATCCCCAATCTGGTATATAGACACACAAATTATTTATTTTATTATATGTATTTTACTTGTGCAGTTTTAGTTTAGCAATAAGGTTGGGTGGGAGATGCACATTTACCATACAAAAATCGTTGTTCAGAATGAAGATATTAACGATATATTTTTTAATGTTCCCATCGATTTTTTCTGAAAGAAAAAAATTCATAAATTTTTTTTTATAAGCTTCGAAAATTTCGGCTATTTGAGCTTTCTGGGAATTTGACAAACCTGAAAGTTCAAGTAATTGAAATTTTCTAACTTTATAAAAAAAATTCATTTCAAAAAAAAAAAATTTTTAGGGATAGGAACATTCAAAAGTCCAATATAAACAACCATTCTAAAATGGAAAATACAAATCCACCAACCGACCTTACAGCTAAACTAAAACTTACAAGTATAAACATGCAATTGTGTTTCCTTTCCCCTCGTAAGAAAATGAGGCAGAGTATAGTAGTTGAATCCTCAATAACTTAAACTAAAAAAAAAGAAATTAGGTATTTATTATGTAGAACTATTTTTATTCAGTTTAATTGCCAAAATAAACATATTTTATTGCAATTTAGCTTTAAAATACTACAACTCAGAACGAAATTTAAACTATTACAGTAAAATTAGATTGAGCTGAATTGAGTCAAGAATTATAGATCAAAATAAATTTTAAAAAAACACTTTAAAGCTGCAACAGTTTTATTATACATTATCAAAAATGAAGGTCATTTGTGGGAATGTTGGTTATCATTTGCAGGAAAAAGTGATAAATTTGGAAACAAAAATTAATGTTTTGAACTCTAGAACTTGTTCTAGTGTTGCAATACCAACTTCCATAAAATTGTAATTGTTTTATAAGTGTTGCTGTTTCTAATGCCACTTGCCAAATACCAGCAAGCTTACTTTTTTTTCTTTTCTTCCAGACATGGACACGTTTCTAGGTTTGCAAAACCCTTAACCGTATAGTCCACGTCTGGCCACAGGTCTAGCTCACATAATACATAGCTGCATCACATTAGTTAAAAAAAAAAAAAAGAATAAAGAAAGTGTAAATGAAAAACAAAATTTTGAAGAAAGTTACAATAGATGACAGTAATTNCAGAACAAAAGTACCCGTGCGCTGCATCACATTAGTTAAAAAAAAATGAATAAAGAAAATGTAAATGAAAAACAAAATTTTGAAGAAAATTACAATAGATGACAGTAATTAAAAACTTAATGGATAAGTAACATTGAAAGGTGAAAAGATCAGAGTTGCTACATGCATGGTATGAAGCGCTCTCTAAGAGGCTGTAAAATTCAACTCGGAGGCTGTGTCAGAACAAGCTTACTTGGTGTAACCGAGTGAATTTAAGGCAAAGAGTGTATTTCTTGTTTTTCAGTGGTGCCAGCTATAACCAAGAATATGACTTTCACAGCCTGTTAATAGAGTGGACCCACTTATTCATCCACAGATCACAATTTTGTCCTGAACCAGAGACAGGGTATCTGCTAAATTTTAGATTTTTAAATTCATGATGAATTCCTAGAATTTTTCATGACTTAACGAAGTTAACACAACAAGAAATTCAAAAACGCATTATAACATCATAAATTGAAATGATAGGTATAACCAGAACTGTTATACTTTGCATATTCATATTTAAAGATTTTAAATTTAAAAAAACAGAGTAAATAAAGAGTTGAAGCAATAAAATAGCTGAAAAAATACAAAAGCAAAAAAAAATTTTTTTTTTGCAGAATTGTATTCTAAAGATAGAATTGTATATAAAGATAAAGATACTTGTAAAGATAGGAATTGTATTTTAAAGATACTATTTAAATATAAAGAACAAGAAGATACTATTCTTGTTCATCCGAAAGGAAAGAAATACTTCTGATTTTTCTGTTCTCATTTCAGAATAAAAAAAATTTGCCAATGACTGGCTTGCTTTAGCTAGAATTTTAAATTGATAAAATAAAAAAATAATAACAAAAATTCTGAAATCACAGAAATTTAAAAGATAATTTGCTCTAGAAATGATGTTTTTTCTTTCATTTTTTGAAAGAACACCATAACTTTTAAAGACCATGATAAAAACATTTTATATTTTAATAAAATATGACTGTGAGTGGGGATTTTATTACAAATTCAGATATTCAGAACACCATGAAATGGAGGGTTATTTTTAGATTCCATTTTAAAAATTAGATTTTTCAGGGACCTAAATCCATGACTTTCCATGATTTTCTTAAAAAAATAGTTAAAATCATGACATTTCATGACAAATTTTGTTCAATACCGAAATTCATGATTTTTCATGACTTTCCACGTGCGCGGATACCCTGCAGAGAGCTATCACTTCCCAATTCAGTACCCCTAGAGGTATTGGTTTATTATAGGAACATGGAGGACCGGACAGATTTAATGTGCACCAGTCACCATATATTACATGGAGAGTCTACAGCTGGCAGGGCTCGAACTCACAACCTGTTGGACATGGGCCCAACACCCTACCAACCAAGCTATCCAAGCCTGTTTTGTGTCTTTATAGATAGTGAAGTCCAAACTCCTGAGATTTAAAACAAAATATGATAATTGAAAATATAGAAAAATTACGAAAAGCCAGCTGTGAAAATTTATCAAAAATGTTCCTGTTGAAGGATACTTTAAATTAAATGTAAACTTCATTTTCTTTTCTTAGAAGAATAAGAAATAAAGTTAAGAAATAGTTAGAAATTAAGAAATCTAGAAGTTAAGAAATTTCCATTTAAAAAATCGAATGCAATTATTAAAAAAAATTAAAAAAATCAGTTTTATTCTTTAACATTTCCAGGATCTGATACTGTTAGCCTCTCTTTAATACAACCCTGAGTTAATGTTATATAGTTAAATAAGACTAAAATAAGATCTTCAATTTTTCAAAAATTATCACTCAGAACTTTCTTCTGGTGAATTCTTTAACTATGATAATTACCAAAATATTAACCAAATTATTTTAACCAATTTAGCTTATACTCTCTTAGAAAATAGACTAAAAATGTTTCTTCCAAAGAAACACCTTCAGTCAAGGTTACAACACTTTTGCTCAAGATTATGTCCATTGGTTAAGGCAAAAAATTTAATGTGAAATTATTATATACAATGTTAATAACTTACTTGGATATTATGATCATGACCACTCAAATAAACTGTAACATTGTATTTTTCAAGAAGAGGTTTAAGATTACTAACTAAACAATCGGTTGGCCCATGTGTCCCAATGGAATAAACAGGATAGTGGCCAGCAACAAGAAGATAGTTTGATCTACAAAAATTTTAACACAAAATTAGTTTTTCGTATTAATATATAGTACAGTCAAATTTTATAATTCTACACAGTAGAGGGCTGGCTAAGATCCTTTAATGATCTATGTACAGCCCCTGCTTCCTAGCTTAGAAAATAATTTGAAATCTAGTAATTTGCATCATAAAATATTACAAACATTTTTAAATCTATTTCATTAAAATCTTAAAAATCCTATACATTATAACAACATTAATTGTGGAAGTACCAATTTGAAAGAAAGAAAAAAATCTTTCAAGAAAAACGATATCTCAAGGATTTATGAAAAAATATAAATAAATTATTTGAATAGAGCAAAAAATACAAATAAATAGTTTTTTTTTTCAAGATATAAGCTACAATTATATTTTATTAAGGAAAAAAACCAGGAAAAATCGTTAATTTTTTTTTATTTGCTAATATGTAGAATTTGCACTGAGTCGTTTGATTTTAATTATTAAACTTGGCAAAAAATATTGGTTTTAATTGATATCAATGATTTGTATTTTCTTTAACAAAAGTATAATAATTTAGATTTAATAAAACAACAAAAACTTATATAGTATTAAACTTTAAAATATTTAATGAGATATTATAAAGCAAGGTGCGTAGCCAAATCTTTGAATCAAAAATAAGCACTTTTTAAAAACTTTTCAAGCACTTTACAAAAATTTTCAAGCACTCAAAAAATTCATATTCAATGCGTGATATCATTGAAAAACAAAAACTTTTTATAAACAGTTTTAGCGTTAAAAAAAACCCAAAAAGAAACAGACATAAATCGAAACAATCAGTACTTTCCCACATCATCGAGTGAATTCAACTTGACCCTGAACTCAGAACAAAAGTACCCGTGCCCCCTAAGTGAAAAAAGTGTTAGAAGTAAAATAAAATAAACAATAATATAATTAAAATTAATTAAAAAGAAAAACATTTCATAAGGATCTGATATTCTCCATCCGAATTGGAGCACTCGGGTTTCGGTTTCAAGTGTGCGTGCATGCGCAAATCATAACGTGGGTACGACATGAAGTCCGCGTGAATGATTATGTAGCAAACACCCCATTTTTCGTGAAATGCATGGGATCCACCAGATATTACTGAAGGGGGAAAAAATTATTTGGGAAAAAAAAGCACTTTTTAAAAACGAAATCCCCAAAAAAGCACCTTTAAGTACCTATTACAAACGCTACGCACCCTGTAAAGTGTTATGTAAAACCATATGATTTCTGCAACACAAAGTCACTGTGTATCATCACTGACAAAAAAAAATTTCAGAGCAAAATAATATTTATACTGCATAAAATCACTCTATTAACACAATGACATTTTCCCCCTACTGAATTGGGAATTCTTTTTAAAAAAATTGCGAAAACGAAAAGTTATTACTAAAATCAACAAATGATTTCTTATGCATCAGTTTACTAACAGATTTGAAAACAGCTTAGCCTTTAGAACTATGACCTCTTTGAACAAAACGACTTATCACTCTGCTAGTAAAAATACTTAGTCATTGCTTCAAAAGCAATAGTTGTAGTGGGTTTCTTCAAAGTAAGAATAGAATTTCTGAGATTTTTTTAAAAAATTAAAATTTTATGCAAGATTTTGGGTTTTCCCGTGCATAGAATCTACATTTTACAAATTTGATTATAAATATACCTCTTACACAATATCAGCATTTTAACTAAGGTATTCTACCTCAATCCTTTTCCTTATTTTTGTTAATATGAGAGTTTTACCACTGACTGAAATGTTTTTTCAGCCATATAGTAGTAATATATTTTGTCTATAGAAAAAACTGCTATGGAAACAAGAAAAAGCACATTTCAAAAGTGGGAGCTTCTTTCTTCCCCAATTCCCTTTCTCTTACCGACCAGAGTAAAAACCTGCCTTAAATAATGACCCAACACCCTGACTTGAAATGGTTAAACCTCATAACTATAGAAACTGCAACCACTCCAAACGAATGGCAAGGGGAGTTCTTAAAGTAGACAAAATACATACCCAGATAAGAAAATATGCTTAAAATATCACTAATAATTAGCTTAAAAAATTATTATGAGAAACCGGGTTAAAATGATTTAACAATGAGAAAAATATTAATGAATGAAATAAGTACTTTGATGTTTTTAAAGTCTCCTCTAACCACAGCCAATGCTTATTTCTTTCATAGCCAAATGAATCAAGAACAGGTTGTTTCTCTGGATACTCTGGATCTGTGTTTCCACACAAAATAACTGTGTCAATCATGATTAACTCCATGGTAATATTAGAGTATGGTATAAGAAATCTCTTCATATAATATAAATGAGGAAAATACCTACAACAGAACAAAAAGAATTTCCTTAAGGGCAACAAATGTAACAAATTTTAACAAAAACATCACGATATTCATTATCATTATCGCAAATGAGAACAAACGTTATCCGATTTATAGTTACAAACCATAAAAACTATGCTAAGCATTATATTATTTATAATAAGATCTTAAAAAAATTTCGAAAATTTTAGAAATAAAAAATATTTTTCTGCGTGCATAACTAAACATGTTGAGGAAACCAATGGAATCATATTTATGTTAAATGAAAAAGTATTATTCATGGACATGATATATAAAATAAAATAATATTAATGAATGTGTTTGAACATTGAAGGCTTTATGAAGTAAAGAAATTTAGACTTAGTTATGATATTTTTGACAAGTAAGCAAACAATATTAAGCAATAGAGAAGATAGAAAAGGTTAATTATTTGATTCTATTATATTAAATTGAAGTTTGAAAATCTCTTCTAGCATCAAAATTAAGAAAAGATTACCTAATGTAGGAAACATCTCACATAAAATGACCATCCTACAATTCAATGAGCAAGTTTGAATCAACTGCTTCTGAACAAAAAATTCAAGATACAATAGCACAATCATTTATTTTCATTTAACCCTCATTTCTTTCTTTTCTATATACATATAACTGCATTTCCAGTTGGTCATTAAATCACTTTGTAATCTGAACAGATACTGGTTTCATTTAGCAGAGTTTTACTGTACCAATCATAGGGACATATTCAATAATTATAAATCATAAAAATGTACCTGGAATTCCAAAAATGACCAAACATTTGAAAAATCAACTTTTTTAAAAAAAATGAAGATAAAAATCTATGGTTTGCTGCATTCTGTTTACAACCAGGTTATAAAATGCAAAATACTGCAAACTTTGAAACAGAACAAACTAAATCAGCAAATCGTTTCTCTTTTACTTTCTTTTATTCAAATTTTCAAATCATTGGTCATTTTGGGGCATATAGTCTGTTATTCAATAATAATAAATGATAAGAACATATACTTCTGTGAAACCTATGTGAGTTTACCAATTATGGTGCATTGTTTCAAAAACTAACCTAATTAGATGGTCAACTTATCGAGGAAAGTGAGTAATTTTTTTTTCTTTTCTCAACATGTTATTCTAACATATATTATATGGATAATGTACATAATATAAGAATAATGTATTTTTTATGAATGTTAATAGTTGTCAACTTATAAAGTGTTTTGAAACAATCAAAATAAAACAGAGACAGGTTGTGAGGTTACAAAGCTTCTGCTCTCTTTTTGTACAGTTTTATGGTATTGTTTAGTATATAGCATAGTTTAGTGCATAGTATATGTTCAGCTCCTAGCAAAAATGTAAACTTTGACAGGTGGTGGATAGGTTTCACTGCACTCAGAAACTGAAAATAAGAGGTTTTGCAAGATATTTGCAATAACGTAAGACCATGCAATTATCATAACATAAATGCAATTACCATCGATCGGACAGAGCAGAATAAGCTATTTGTGCTGAAACATTTCCGTAATGATCATGATTACCCGCAATTACTAGCCAAGGCATGTGAAGAGACTTATAGTTGAATGCTAATTCAAATGTTTCCTGTAAAAGATGNATATAATTTTTAATTTTTCACAAATTATGTCTAAATTTTCACAAAATAGGTACCTCTCAGAAAAACCTAGACAGACCCCTGCATAAGACCATGCAATTCCCATAATATAAATGCAATTACCATCGATCGGACAGAGCAGAATAAGCTAATTGTGCTGAAACATTTCCGTAATGATCATGATTACCCGCAATTACTAGCCAAGGAATGTGAAGAGACTTATAGTTGAATGCTAATTCAAATGTTTCCTGTAAAAGATGCATTTAAAAGGTCAGAATTAAAAATTAAAAAATTTATTAATCACTCTAAAATTTTCGGAAATTAAAAAATTTGTGGAAATGATTTTTCCTTGTATACTCTACACAATAAAATGGAAAAAAAAAACTGGTTTGCATTGCTTCAAAACCTATAGAGTTAGGCAGGCCACTGAGGAGTCAAGAAATAAAAAAAGAGGCATACATGTGGCAAATTCTTATATTTTTGCATTAAAATGTGCACAGGGGATGTGTGCAAGCTAATGCAAATGTATGGGAATATGCCTCACTTATGTCTCTTACTTACTGCCTGCATCTTCAGTATGTGGTCTGCCTTAATTATAGCACTTTAATTCATGAAATATCCATCAAAAATAAATTACATTCAATGCTAGTATATAACATTAATATGCTATACATTTTGAACAGTTTGTGCCATTCTAAATTATTAAAATATATTCTTTTATAAGGTGTGCTAATTTATTCTGTAAAAATTGAAGCTAAGAAACAGTTTTGAGATTTTAACAATTTTCTTTTTATATTGTGTATAAACAACTAAACTTATTTATCTCGGTAGTCAGTACAATGTGATTTCTACGTCTTTAAAAGTTCAGTAAAAAAATAGCAACTAGCTCAATGATAACAATTCTTAATGATTTCTAAATAATTCTTTCCTTCATCATTTGCACCGCAGCAGATTTCAGTTTTATCGGTACACAGTCAGGTCAATAGACCGTAATATCCATTAGTACGCAAAAAGCAATGTCATAAAATTTCAGTAGTTTTAATACTTTCTTATATTTCAAAAATGACTGATGAGATGAAAAATCATTTTTAAAAAAAAAAAGGAAATAAAAATCTACTGTTTGCTGTGCTCTGCAAGAGAAACTAGAAACCTTATTTTACTAACTCTCAGAATTAGTTACGAAGTTCATCAACAGATGACACTACTAACTGAGAAAATAAAACAATGTGTTCCAACAGCATAATTTGAGGGAAAAAGCCCTTACAAATAATTTAGTAAGACGATCTGAAAAGCAGCAGAAAAAATTATTTTATAGATGTTTTAAGTTAGCATTGATGTCTGCTGACAAACTTTGTACATTCAAAGTACTGTATTCTTACAGTCATTTTTGATGCATGCATTAAGGTCTCATTTTTTATAGGAAATATTTCCAAGGACATATTACCTTAAATCTTGGATCAGCAACATCTTTCACTCCATCAAAATAAAAATTATCTCCTAAAGCTAATATAGCATCCATTCCAAATATACTGGCAAAGTAATCCATTTCTCGTCCAACAGACAATTCAACAAATGTTTTGTAAGGGAATATTGGCAGTCCACCCCAATCAGCCAGTACTCCAAATTTTAGAGAGGCAAGTGAAGCACCTACAAAAAAAAAATTTATAAATATTCAACAAGTGTTGGGTAAATAAAATAAAATCTCAATTTTCAGTAAAATTAAATAATTTAAAAAATTTAATATCTTAATAAAAGAAAACAGGTGAAGAGAAATTTTAGAGAAAACTGAGCCTTAGATTCTATAGAAAAAAATAGAGTAAGCTTTTAAAAATATTCAATTAAAAACAGTTTTATTAAAAAGACTCGGGGAAATAAATATAGTTAAACGCAATAACTTAAACTTGGAAAGATAAGTATTAACAAAGTGATGCTTAACATTTTCTTCCACTAAGCTCTTCAGCTAAAAAATAGTTATTCTGAATTTATCCATTTTAATGGAATGTAAATAGATGGTAAATAGAAAATTTTTAAATAGGTGCTGAGACTCGTAAAGTAGATTAGCGATCCTGGGAATTGTTGGAGACTATATTATACCATATGATTCTAAAAATAAAAGTTCAAATACTCTAGATGTAGAACCTTTTACCAAGGAGGACCAAGGAAAAATATTTTTCAGATTTTTGGGGGTCCACAGTGAGTAAAAATTTTATATCAATTTATATTGATAACAATGTAATTATGTGATAAGAACAATATCAAATTGTCTTAAATTAAAGTACAGCAAACTAGGTTTAATATTTAAAACGTATTGTATGATATTTCCAAATAAAAAAAGAAAAAGAGAGAATGAAAGAAATTGATATTTTGGCAGCTTCTATAGTTTTAATAAAATTAAACTATAACAAGTTTTCAAGTATCTCAAATATATATATATAATTAATTTTGGAATGAAATAATATATATATATATATAAATATATGGAAATCTTCTAAAATTAAATTTAAAAAAAACTATTAAGCATTGCAATAAATGAAGGCCACTCGTACGACACTTCTAAAGATTACCTAGATATTGCAATGTTTAAATTAGATATAAATCAAAATATAGCTTGCAAACTGTTGAAAGCTTGTTTAATCAACTGAAATTAAAATCATTTTCTAAATTTATAAAAAGAGAAGATAAAAAGTGATTATTATGTTTACAATTATCAATATGTTTTTACCATAAATAACAAATCACTTCAAAAATTAAAATAAGTAAAAAAATATAAAAATAGCTGGTAAATTATTGATATTCATAAATCAATAAAAAAAATCAACCAGTACTCGTCTACTTCTTTTAGCCATTATAAATAAATATTACTCAATATGAAACAAATAAAAATATTTCTTAGCAAATAAATAAAGAGAATAATACTTACACTTGTAAACCCCAACGATACTTATCAGTGTCAGTATCAAAATTAGTTTCATCTTAATAGGGATATTACAGAAAAATAACACAATTTTTCTTTTTTTAAATGATAATAGTAATTAATTAGAAGTAATGCTGGCTAAGTAATATGACTGAGAATCACATTTCAGTAAATAAAATAAATAAAACTTCTATTTCTTTACTATATAATTATTCATTTTTTGTAGTATTTTTATTTAAGGGTGCTTTCAGGTAGGATTTTTCAAAATATTCTAAGACATCTTGATGTTCCTGATCAGTGAGATCACCAATTTTTTTATAAACTATCTCAAACCCAGTTAAATCAACTGAGCTTTGAGATTGAAGAATTAATTTCTGAGTAGCATTGCATAATACATAAGCTGTAAATGATATTCCATTTTTGTCCACGCCTTTTATTAATTCTAAAGATAAAAGATTTTCATTTTCAGCCTTTGAAGACATTTGTAAAGGCAAATAATTTAAGTTAAATTGATGTGGAATTAAGTAAATCTAATCTCAAAACAAATGAAATGCATTAGAACTCGAAATTAAACAGAACAATTCTTTTCGCATTCAATTAACTATCCACCTACATAATCTTATCTGCTAGATTACATATCATTTTATCACAAACCTAGAGCTCATAATGCAATTGTAATCAAAAGTAAAAATAAACAAACATAAGATAAAGCCTCAACATTTTCTGACAATAGTTACTAACAATAAATCAGTTTTAAAAACTTTTTAAAAAAAAGTTTTTTTTTAAAGGTATAAAATTAATACATTGTTTTAGTAAAACTAATCAATTTACATATACAATTTACAGTATTTTTTGTAATTTTTCAATCCCAACAATTTACTGATTCTTCGAGTTTTCTTTCTTAAGACACATATTAATCATTTTATAATTCGCCATTTTAAGTATTTTGAGCGCAATGTCAAGGCGAATTTTATCTTCTGTCATTTGATTTCCTCACGTCCTTATTTGTTTACAAACAGAATTGCTATTCCTATCGAAATAAGAGTCGCGTGCGAAATGCACAACTTGATCTTGAAACTTTTGATCAGAGTAATACGTTGAAACTGATTTTTCCGATTAAATTCGTAAAAATGAAATTAAATACAGATATTTCATATGTTTAAACGTTTTAAACTGAAACATTTTAAACGGTTTTAATCTATCTACAGTACGATTTCGCGTTTGATTGCTCTTGAGCTAGAATGTTTTTGAAAAACGACGAAAACTTGAATATTATTTAAATTTAAGCGTTTAATCAAAATTGTTTGCATCCCCTCACCTGTTATGAAGAACTCATTACATTTGCAATGGTGTTAAGAATAAAGCTTCCTACTTATTGTTACAATGTGCAATATTTGGCATTTTATTCAGTGAGTGATATTAGAATTAAAGAGCAACATCATTATTGATTTAAGAGCTTAATTGTCTAGGAACTAATAAATTATTTTTACAGTTATATTGAAAAATTGTTAAATATCATTTACGTTAAATAAATTACAATACCTTCATCATTAATGACAGAAAATATCCAATTAATAAAATAAGTAAAAACTATATTGTAATTTTTGCATTCAAAAAATTGGCTGTGAATTTTATTTCCTTACAAATGTTTATATAAAGCAAATCCCCTATTGGGGGCCTCTATTGTTATTTTAAATTAATTAGTTCCTAAAAAAACTAATTAGTTAGAAATTGAAAAAAAACTAACAATATATAATTTTATTATAGCCTTTTAAACTGACAATTTAAATTTTAAAGGGACTCAGACATTTTCTTAACTATTTTCCCATTTATTTTTAAACTAACTAAATCTTAAAACATAAATTATGATTTTTTATCAAGTTTATTAATAATTTATTTATTTTTTATGCATGTACATTCTGCTTATATAGTTTGGTCTTAAAAAATTACATTTATTTAAGTTAAAGTCTTATTTTAATGAAATGGTAGGAGTTAACATCACATTAAGTAGGAACTCTGAACTTTTATGTTTTTTTATACATAATTAGTATAATTTAAATTATAATAATTTGCATTTTAGAATATTTAAAAGTTTTCTTTTTTATGTGTGTTTTAATTCTATACTTTCTTTTTCTTTGCTATACATATAATAATCTTCTACATGCACATAATTTAGTTCAGCTTTTTTTTCTATAACATATTTAAAAAATTACTCCAGAATGATTTATGTGGGTTTCAACAATTGAGTAAAAGTTTAAATATAAGCATAACCTATATTTTATAAATATGCCTGTTCCTAACAACAAAAATAAAAATGTCATAAACTTTTCTCTAAAATTGATAAAAACAACCTGATAATAAATGCTTTCAATTATCTTGAGTCTATATTTACTATAAGAATATCTTCGTATAAAATGTTTTTTTTTTCATTCTTGATAGTAAAAATGATGTAAATTTTAAGAATTTTTAAGTTAATTTATTACTCTAAGTTAAGTAAAATATTTTTTAGCCTTGGAATACCAATTAAAACCTTATAATTCTTTGTGTGCAATTCATAAAGAATTTTTCAGAATTGTTTAAAAATTAATTGAAATGAATTAAACTAATTGAACATTTTACAGACAAATTCAACACCTCAAGCAAAAGGGGCATTTAAAAAGTTTCCAGTTGCTGGCGTGAAAGATATAATTACTGTTGCTTCTGGTAAGGGAGGTGTTGGCAAATCAACAACTGCTGGTAAACTTTTTCTCTAATTTTGTTGTCCTGATAATTTATTATTTTATTTACTGTTTATTTTTAAGTATCTGACTTTTTTAAAATTCAATTTTTCAGAAACTATTCAACTAATTTCGCTCAAATTTTGTATTTTGCTATAAAAAATTACATTATTTTTAATGATGCAAAAAATTGTATACCTTACAGTTAAAAAAATTTTTTACCATTCTTAAATAAAAATAATTAATATTTACTAATAGTTATTTTGTGCGTGGAATTATCTTTCATTAAACAGACTTTATAATTGCGTGTAAAAATTTTTCAATTTACAAGAATTCGCTTGAAAATTTCTCAAAGTATAGCGAAATACGCAAAAAGTAAAATTAACATTAACAGGTTCAAAATTTGGATTGCTCCCCTGAATGAACTATATGTCCCATATTTCCTAGATTACGGCTTTGTACTTTGGAGGTTAATAATCCAAATCCATCACCAAAAAAAATTTATGTTTATTCAGAGAAAGTAAGTTTTTGTGCCTGATTTCCTAACTTAAAATATCGTCTGCACTTATTGATTAGCATATTTGAGGTCACCCTCTTGAGCCATTAAGATTGAGTCCTAGTATGTGAAAATCTAAATATTAGATCAAAAGTAATTAAAAAATTAAGGATGAGAGAAAAAAAATCTTATGAGAGTTAAAAGTCATATTAAAACTGGTTATTTGATCTCCGAAAAACTGCAAATTAAACACAATTCAGTCTTCAATATCATCAGGTTATTGTTGTATTCACTCTGACCTATTAATCGTAATTCTATGACTTATTAAATATCTCATATATTTAATAAAAAACAATATTTTTTTTAAAAATGTAAAGCAGTATTTTAGAACTTACTTCTTATTTTAAGAAACACTAAAATATTTAGGTAGTAAGCAACACTAAATATATGATAGCAGCTAATGATTATGATAACACATTTACTCAATAGTTTTAAATACAGTAGAACATCAATCGATCGTTTCTCAAAAAACCATTCATTACGAGCGATACATACAAGAAAAGGACAGATGTCTGCATGAAATATGATCTTGAAATTAATAACTGTACAATAGGTATGAAGAAGTTAAATTGAAAAATTTATGCGGAAACATTTAGGATGTAATAGAAAAATCAAAAAAGACATTTATTTATTTAAAATTTATTTATTTGAATGCTCTCTTTTCTTAACAGAAGCAATAAGTTTTTGACATTTGTAACAAATTGCTGTTTATTTTCTGTAAGTTTGAGACAATGCAAAGCGTTTCTCATTGTTCCAAAGGCAATGTTGGAATTGGTTGTGATCTTATCACTTCTTCTGCTTCTGCAACCTCTACATTAAACAACAAAGTTTTTTCCTTTTCATCAACCGATACACGAACATAAAAAGTTTTCCTCAAACTGTAACAAATCATCATTTTCTTCATTTTAGCATTCAGGAGATACAGCTTTTCAACTCAAAATGAAATAATTTCAATTTTTTTTTTTTTTTTTAATGTAGTAAGACTTTCTGAACAATACAATAGACATGGACAATAGATCAAAGTTCAACTGTATAAAAAATCTTACTTTATATAAATAATTTTCTTGAATATGTGTTAGAGTGTATAATTTTCTTTGGAAATAATTCTTTTTTAAACATAATACTTAATAATGTTCCAATAGCAATGTTTTAAAATACTTTTTCTTTATTTGTTTTATTCTTTTAATTATTTTTCTTTAATTTCAGTAAACTTAGCTCTTGCTATTAGTATCAATCAAAAGGTAATTTGTTTTGCCTCTTTATCTAATATATATGTTATAGATAAAGTAAGAATGGAAGAAAAATCTATGTTTAATCTCAGGGTTGGCCCAAGTGCAAAAGGTCCAAGGCATTGGCTTTCACCTTGTGCCTCTTGAGGCCCTGTACTTGTATTTGGAAATTGTGAGCTTTTTCAATATTTTTTTTCAGTTGTGTTTTAAAAATAGTTAGTTTTTTCAATGAAATTTCTAGGTTGAAATATCTTTTCTGTAATTTATGAGTAAAATATGCCCGTGAAATAATTTAAAGGGATTCAATACCATACTGCTGCCTTAAAGCATGTACAATTTTTGTAACTAAAATAGAAATAAAGCACCATTTTCAATGCTGTCACAGGATAACACATTTGATGTGGGTCCTGCACCATACCTATATGGTCTCTTCTCAATCAGTGATGTTGTTTAGAAAAAAATGGATAAATAATTTTAAAAATTTAGCTTGAAATAATAATTTTAGGTCATATATATGTATACAGGGTGTCCCAAAACTCATGGTACATACGATACAGGGAATATAAATGACAACTAGACAAGATCAAATCACCATACAATCCATGGTTCTAATGCAATTTGTAACACACTTAAGAACGCTGACTTTTCTTCTGGGGTCGTCATATAAAGAGCCTAATCTACGACGATGGTTTTATAGATTCTGCTGAAGACCTTACTGCCTTGATTTCCACAGCTGCTGACACCATAAGAGAGATGCCTCATGTTTTGCCAATGTACGGCGGTCACACCTTTGACTGTGTGAAGTCTGTGTTAATGTTGGCTGCCCCGATTTTGAGCAGTTCCCGTGATGGGGAACTTGGAGTTCAATTTCATTTTGTTAAATAAAAGGTATTTCTTCATTTTATTTGTTTCTTTTTATTAAATCTCTATTTGTTTTGTTTCCCATCATGTCGTGATACAACATGTTTCGTGCTCTAATGCTTTACGACTTGTGTTCCAACCATGGCTTGTATGGGGATTTGTGCATGTCTAGTTGTCTTCGATCACCCCCTAAGGCATGTACCATGAGTTTTGGCATACCATATATATATATTGTGGCATCGGGGGCGGCATAGGATGGACAAAATTTACATATGTTATTCATTTTATTACTTCTCATTAGATAAAGAACAGACATATCACTCTGAAAATAACATGCATCATTTTTGTGTTAAAGTTTTTTTATGTTACCACTCAGGCAAATGCTTTGCCTTATCCCCACTTTTGTTGGGCTGGTGCTGTTTATTATATTAAATTGGGGAATGCCTGTCCTAATCAGTTAAAGTCAAAAGAACTTTCTGCGCTTCTATTTTTGATGACCAAAACTAGGTTTAACCAATATTAGTTTATCAAAACCACAAGTCACATCAAAGCTCTATAGTTCTCCAGTGTGTAAAAAGAAACTAAATGAGTAAATTGTATATGTGTTAAGATGACATTCTCATTCCCTCATTTAAGTTTATGAAGTTAATTTATTTTCTAAAATTGTATTAATAAGTCTTTTAATTTCCTCTAATAGAATAATTAAAGAATATACATTGTTATTTTCATTTTTAGCAATAAACTTCAGATGCAAATAATGCTTATTTTCTCATTCATAACTTATTCCCTCATTCTGAGAGAATGGCACATTTGTAATTTATACATTAATAAGTGTTCTAATTTCCTTTTATGGGATAGTTTAAGAATATTGTTATTTTAATTTTATTTTTAGTTATGAATTCCTTCACTGTGAGAAAATTAATTCATTCATTAAAATTATCATTTTAAACATTAAGTTATTACTAGATGCTTACTTGCTAACTGAAGTTATTGTTCCATCACCATGTTATCATTTCTTCACTTTAATAAAAAATATTAAAAAAATTATCATTTTAGTATTGGCCGTGTTTGCTATGTTTTTCTTGTCTAGCACCTTCCCCATATCTTATTCCAAAAAAAATTTACAAATACTGCAGAATTTTTTTTCTTGTTGTTGTCAATACCTGAAAACAGCCTATTTGTGGAGAATAACCCATTACCTACAATGATGGGTTTTTTTTATTATTTAAAAAAAGAAAAAAACTTAATGATCTCTTAAACTTTCACCTTATTTTTCATTCTTGCTTTATCTGTGATTTATAAAACAATTAAAATAGCTTTGTTTTGTCTCTTTAGTTAATGTTTTATATTGTAATGCAATTTTCTCCCTGTTATTTGTTTACATATATTATAGTGCCATTTCTTTCCTCAGGACAAACTTGTTGGATTACTTGATGCAGATGTATATGGTCCATCCATTCCACTTATGATGAATTTAAATGGACTCCCGGAATTAACAAAAAGTATACTTTAAACCTGAACTACAATTAGTTATTTAAATGTTCAATACGATTTCATATTTAGCGTTTAAAAAAAATTCTCGTAAAACATATTTTTAGAATTTAGGTAATGTTTATTTCTTAGGACCCTGAAGTAATAAAATAGCAATGATTTTTAATATTTACTTCATAATTGCTAGTTAATTTAAATTGTTTGTTCTTGTCCGAATGTAACATAAAAGTATAGTTACTTTAAACATGAATTAAGATAACTTTGCTTTTTTTAGATAACTTGATGAAGCCTCTAATAAACTATGGAATAAAATGGTAAAAAATCATTTCGTAATTCGATCTGTTACCTAGTTTTATCGACTCTGTTATATTTAATTATTTGTTTTAATGTTGTGATAAATCATTTTGTCTAAATGAATCAGTAATTTGATTTTAATGATTTTTAATGGAGTAATTGTTTTTGTTGATGTTTTCTAATAATGTAATCTAATGGTGTAATAGCTGTTGGCCATGGTATTTGTAGATCTTTACTCATTCAAGTCAGCTGAGGTCTGAGAAATTCCTCCATCCTTGAAAAAATTTTCAATTTCCTTGTACACTTAACAGTATTGGTGCCAAAGTGTTGAGGCATGAATTTCCCTGTAACTGTTAATTTCTCTTCTTTTAACTTTTATATACTTTAAAATAAAAAAAAATCCAGACATTTTTCCTTTTTTTTAAAGCTGTGTGTGGGTATCTTGCTTCTTTCTATTAAATTTATTTTTTAAAATTTATTATTATATTTTCATCAGATGTTTAAGATTTAATTCTTTTCAAATTTTATATCCTTGGCCCCACATATATTAGCATTTTAACTAAAATGTGTTGTTTTTTTAACTTTCCAATATCTTTTACAAATTATTAGTGTTTTCAATCCAAAAATAGTCATCAATAGATAAAGAAATATGATCTTGTATATCTCCTTTTAGCTTATTATCCTATAAAGCAATATTTTTAAGCAATTTATTTTTTTATTAAACTAAAGTAAAGAGAGGTAAGAAATTAAATTAATTTTCATCTAATAATTGTTTGTTCCTTCATTCGGTTCTTACAAATTCCAAGTGAAAATTCCTTTAAATATATAACTTTTCAAAATAAATAAATTTGGTAACTTTATTTAAATAGTGTTGCTTGTGGTATTCTTGCTTTAGCTTTATTGTCACACGTGTGTTCCTTTTAGGAATGTTAATCAAAATAAAATTTATTTTATGTTACAGATTAGTCTACAACTGAAATGAAATTGGAATAAATGTCTATGCTATATATATTATTATGCTATTATCAGTTATTATTATTAAACCTTTATTTGAAATACAATTTGTGTTTTTCCTCATTAAATTTTTAGGATTTGTTTCTTATGACATTGTAGCATTTTTTTTTCGTAATAATCTGTACAGGTTCACATTCAGTTATCAGGCTTAAATGTATAATCATACAGTTCTCCTACACCCTGTTCTATTACAAAAAAGAGACAGAATGTTTTCAGCTCTTTAATGTAAAATATAAATGTTGAGCTATGTCAGTTTTATAATACCCCTTTAATTTTCAAAATTTTATTGAATTATTATATAAACAATCATTTCCTTCTTAATTGATTATTCATAGCTGCCAACTCTACCGGATTTTGCCAGATTCTCCTTGTCTACTGGTTTATTAAAAATTCTCCTTGTTTTTTTTGCATTTCAGAAAATTTCCTAAACTAGAGTAGATTTCCTTAAAAAATCCCTATTGAAATAAAATTTGTGCATCTTGCTTGAATATTTAAATAAGTGTTACTAATACGTAATGAAGTGAGCCTCATTTATAAAAATCTTTGATGAATTAAATGCCTATTACTATTCAAAATTACAAATAAACATAATTCATAACATTTCAAGTTCATTTAATGTTAATCATAACTGGAAACTATTGCAGTATTTCTATTTTGATTGCTATCAAATTCCCTATGTGTAAAATATTTAGTACATTTTGCAACAATTATCATGAAATTTATATTGTTTCGTAAAATCTACTGGATTTTTTCCTATCATTGTTGGCAGCTATGATTATTACTAAAACTTAATTTTTATGTGCAATCCTGATTCTTTTATCTTTATCTTCATGTTGATTTTTCTTGATTTTTAACCCCATAAACTGAATTTTTTCAAGTATAACTCAATTTTTACTTGATAAACTTGATTACTCAATTTTAAAAAGCAAAAGAAATTAACTGAAACTATAAAGGATTTCACATAGAAATTCACAACAAAGATGATTTCTCACAATCAGATGTATATCTTTCTCCAACTGAGATCCACTTTGTTTGTATAGATTTTTTATTAGCTGTTACAAAAGTTTTTGAAAAAAATCTGTAATTAATAAGTATTTATTATAATACCCAATAATAATTTTGAAGATAAAAGCAAAAAATAACAGTAGGTCAAACTTTTGAATAAATTCCTTATTCAGGGTTGCCACAGGCGACTAAAATGCAACTATTTTTGGCATGAGGCGACTATGGCAACTTTTTTTTGCCTGAAAAGGCTAAAAAAGCAACTATTTTCAAGAAAAGGAGACTATTGGGAGACTTTTCTGTACTCCTAGAGATGTTTTTTTTTTCCAAGCATAAATTGATGAAAAATCTGCACCCAGCTAGATAGTTCCTGAACACACTGAACCTTTTTTTTCTTAAAAAATTTTAAAAATTTTGAATTGCAAATTTCAGTCTTCACTTTTTAATTCGTTCAATCTGCACAAATTCCATTGTAAGTCTATTTCATTTCTCGATCACCCTTTTCAATGATTATTGCTAAAAAATTCTGCATAATTTTTTTTATTTTTTTTAAAAAAAAAAATACGGTATTACAATGCATGAATTTTGAATTTCAGTAATCACTTTTCATATATATATATATATAAACATTTATATGAAAATTATCATATTTGCCACCAACTTGACTGAATGGATGATGGTATATGACAATTAAGTCATTAACAAAATTTTAGTCATATTTTTAATGAATTTCTGTTCTTATTAGGCAACTATTTTCATGCTTTAGGCTACTAAAAGCAACTATTTTGTTCATTTTTTTCTGTGGCAACCCTGCTTATTGTATTTGAATATATAGTAAAATCTCCCTTCAGCAAATTTCTCTTTATAGTGAAATTTTTAATCTAAATATTAAATAACATTCAGAATATTTTCCTTATAACAAAGTAATTCTCCCTCAATAATGCGATTTTCAAAGTTGCAATAAAAGTTATAATTATGGAATTCTGTGAATTATTAAAAGGGATCAGAAAATTAACAGATTATGTAACTCTGTCCAATCTTTTAGAAGCAAATGAAGTGTTAACTGCTTCCTATCTTAAAACACACTTTAAAATTTAAATTATTACTTAGTAGCTAGTGGCCAATTGACTCTAATAATCTAATTGCCACTTTTTCCTCAAACCTAATGAGTTGATGACTGATATTAGTAGATCCTTTTAATTTAATAACCACTTTAACTCATAATAGAAATGATTTATGGCTATGGAAAGTTAATTCAACAATAAAAATAATATAAATATGTGACAAAATTTAGTTAAACATACTGACTTTAAAAAATACTTGGGGAGGCAAAATACATTTAATGTATTCCTTACAATTTTTAAATATGTAAATTGTTAATTAATCTTTCCATCACAAATTGATGGATTCTGAAGGATCAACATTTTAAATGAAGCAATTGGGCATTTAATGAAAATTTAGCTTTCCTGGGTCTCTTTCTGCATTGATGTATTTTTATCATTAAACAATTTTCAGAAAAAGAAAGAAAATGATGGGGAAAATTGGCGGGTTTCTTATTTAATTTAAATCGCCACTCTTTTTTGTTGACTTGCCATGTAGCAATTGGTTATTTTCAGATCTATCTTGCAGATGGAGATATTTTGAATAGAGTAATAGATAATGATAAAGGCTTAGAAAATGAATGCATAAGATAGTTTAAAAAAAAAAAATTGTGCTAAAGTACTATAATCATTCAAAACCATTAAAAGAGGTTTCTAAGCTAACCTATTTTCAGACTTATTTCTCTCCTAAAATGTGTAAAATTAGCATAAATGCAAAACAATTTAAAATTTAGGAATTTTCAAGTAAAATAAATAGAAGAACATATAAAAATTAATGATTTTAATAAATGTATAATGTTTATTGCTTTTAATTTAAAGTCTTAACTATATGGTTTTGTACTTATCACTCTGATTTTACTGCAACATTTACTTACTTGCCGAAATCAACCAGTAATGAAATTTTCTCTAAACCAAATTTTCTAATGTAATGCATTCTTTTTGTTATATAATGTTTTTGTTATTTTTTGATAAATCTTATGGATTTAAATGTAAATAATTATGGCTCATTTATCTTGATTAAAAACGGTTTTGTCCTTTTTAGTATGAGTATGGGATTTTTGGTGGAGGAGAAGTCACCTATTGTTTGGAGAGGACCTATGGTCATGTCAGCAATTCAGAAACTTTTTCGTCAGGCAAGAATATATTTTTTTTCATGAATTACTAAAAATTATACTTTAGAAGAGCACCTTAATTATCAAAAATCAGCTACACTTATCTTTGTGTATGTTTATCATACAATAGCTGTTAATAGTTGCTATTATCAATTGACTTCCAATTAACCAATGCTTATTGCAATGCAATGTGTGCCCCATTATTTAACCACCCTCAGTAAAAGTTTGAAATCTCAGCAAAAATAAATTACGAATTTGTAAAATAAATTGTAAGTTTTATATTACTGATTTTACTCAAAAAAGGTCTCAGATAACTCTTGCAAAAAGAATAAAAATGTGAAATATTTTAGAAATTTTAATTTCTTTTCTGAATTTCTCTCATCTACCTATAGCATTTAATAGATCTGTAAGCATACAACTAATGCAAGTATAAACTTCAGAACGTCAAAACTTTAAACTAATAAACCATTAAGTTGTTGCTATTCAATAATTTTGTAATTTTATTTTTAGTTTCTCATAAACCTAACATCAATTGAAAATTTTATTTTACTATTCGGTATTTTCTAATAATTATTCACAACACGCTTTTAAAAATTGGTGTCTCCTGACTCAAAGAAGCTCAAAATGAATTCCTATTACTTAATTGTAAAATATTTTAAATTTTGTTGCTTTCTTTTATTTCAAATGATCTGTCCTATTGATAATGATATTCCAAAAATATAGGTTTCTTGGGGTCCTCTAGATTATTTAATAGTTGATATGCCTCCTGGTACTGGTGACACCCAAATCTCTATTGCTCAAACAGTTCCAGTATCAGGTATAAAAAAAACTTTCAGCTCTTTATCTTTATGCAGGAAATTAATTTTATTATCCTCTGCTTTCAGTAATTTTTTTTTTCAAGTTAGGAGACAATTTCTTTGTTTTCACCTCTAGACAAACCTATTAAATTTTAAGTCATTATTTAATTTTCTTAAAATCTCCAATTCTTAATAGTTATACAAATAATATGCAATCTCATTTCATTCTTTGGGGAAAATATAATGTATAATATATCAGCAAAATGTTTCCATTTTGCTTTTTATTTCATTAATAAAAAAATTTTGTCGTTGCTGTGAAAAAAATTCACTGAAGGTGGGCATCTGTTGAATTTTTATGTTAATTAAATATTTAACTTGTAATAGCTTATAATTCAACGTATAAATATTGATATTTACTTGAAACTAATTATGCATGCATTAACAAGATTTATTTTGATTACAAAAAAGCAAGTTAATAAATATTCTAAAGTAAACAAAAAAGAAAACTTTACCCACTACCTGACAGCAATTTGATTTTTCTATATTTATTAATTAACGTAAAAGTCACTTTCTATTTTCTATTTCATATCATTAAAGGAAAATATATTAAACTCTTATTCTAATAAGTAATAACAGAAATAGATCTACAAATATACAACAAAAGTATAGTTTCAGAATTTCTGTGTGGTGGCTATATGTTTGGAGTTAATTAAAATTCCAAGCAATTTTTTTGCATTTTTGTTTAAATGTGTTTGTTCTCAAAAGTAAAAATTAAAAGCTTTTTCTATAAAAACTTTTATTGCACTTTAAAAAGAAATGATTATTAGATTTCTTATGATGTTTTAAAAACAAAATCTACTTATTTCTAACATTTTGTAGTCATTTTTAAATTAAATAAAAAAAAATTATTAATTTTCATTTCTCTTTTAATATATTATTAATGTATTAAAAAATACTGTTCTATTTAAATTCTTCTTCAAAATTTTACTCTCTTATTAGAAATGCATTTGCTCTTAGCAAAAGTTAAAAACTTTTTCTTTAAAAACTTTTATTGTACTTAATAAAATGTTTGGTTACATTTATGACAATTATAAATTTAATTTCTTTGAATATTTTTTCATATTGCATTGCATTATTGTTAGGTGCCGTGATTGTTACAACACCTCAAGATATAGCTTTACTGGATGCTAGAAAGGGTGCTGCCATGTTTCAGAAAGTGGATATTCCTGTTCTTGGAATTGTTCAAAATATGAGTTCTTTCATTTGCCCAAAGTGTGGCGAAATAACTCACATTTTTGGTCAGGATGGAGCTTCAAAACTAGCTTCTGAACTTGACATTGAAGTATTAGGTAAATGTTTTATCTTTCTAAATTGATATATAAAATTTATCTCTTCAATAAAATCAGAAATATTTAGAATAATCGTTACTAAATTTCAAATTTATGTTACACAAATTTATATTAAATTATTTTTTTAAGGTTATATAAGCAAATTTACTCAGTAATTGCTGTCTTTAAAGTTTTCAACACAATTGTAGCTCTTTATGCTTAGGAAAATGAAAGCACTGTGCTCTTGCATAGTTATCATTAAACAATTATCAACACAAACTAAATATTTGTGATCTTGAAAATGGTTTGTTTTTCAGTTAATAAATACTTCACACATTCAGTTATTAAATATAACCTTTTTTTCATTCTCTAATCCAATTGAAAAGCAGCTTTTTTTCGATAACCAAAAAATTATAGCTCATTCGTTATTTTATAGAATACTTAATGAGTCACTTATTTTCAGTTAAGTAAAAGAGCTCCTCTAAAATAAGTCGCTTGCAATTTTCAAATTCACCCCTTTAAAAAACAGATATATGTAGAAAGGGAAAAAAAAGAAGAAAAAATTTATAGTTTTTATATTAAAACGCTTTTTACAAATTAATCTGCAATTATAGGTCAGAAATCGGATATCTATGACCCATAAATCTTTCTGATGTTCTGTTCGGCTATTTTAAGTGTTAAATTGTGTGATGACTAAAAATTTTTGTCATTAGTTAAATGATTAAGTACCAAGATTCAAATTAATAAATGATAAACTGCTAAAATAAATTGTGCTCAAATTATAAGAATGTAGTTATTATAAAATGAATAATTTATATTGTAAAGCTATTTACATTATAAATTAATATTGCTTTTGAAAGAAAAAAAAAACGGAATTTTTTTACATTTTTCTTCATAAAGTAAGCCATAAACTTAACTCTTAACTAAAATTTAATTTTCAAATTAAGACAAAGCAAAAAAAAAAAATTCAGTGCCACTTTTAAAACGTTTATTTCTGATCTGTTTGTCTTTAATTTCTATATCTAGTGAAATCTACTGAAACCTCCAGGTAGCGACTTCCTCTATTTGCGACCATTTTTGGGAGGCACAGCATTTTTCCCATATACTTTGTGTTGAAGAAAACCTTTATGATAAACCTTTTAGCAACTGGGAAAACCTCTGCACTAAAAGCGGAAACGTTCAAATAAGGAATCTCGAAAAAAATTTGTTAAAAAAAGTTCAAAGTTAAATTTTTTAAAAATTAATTTAACAAAAAACTAAACATCTCAAACAAACAAACTTCTCATTTTTTAAAGCTAACTAATTTTTATGGCATAAAATTCAACTTAAACAAAAAACATAATTGTTCATTTATTTAAAATAGTTCCATCACTCATAATTGGTAAATTTGTTTATACTCATAATTATATCAGTAGGGATCATTTTTATTAACGCTAAATTTTATTCATAGATCCGGTTTTCATGACGCCACAGAAGTGGCATTTCTACACCAAGAAAATGACATTGACTAAAATTAAAATCATTTGCTAAAAATCATGTATTTTTGATAACATTTTGAAGTCTGTGGAGGTAACTTCTAACCATTTTGCTGTGGAACAAAGAATAGTCGCTCCTGGCAGGTCTCACCATATATCTGTAATAAAAAGTTATTAAAAAGTGTTTTTCTTTAAGCTGATGTGCCACTTAATGCTTCGATCCGCAAAACTAGTGATAATGGGCAGCCTATTGTTGTATCTGATCCTGATAATAGTGTGGTAAGTTTCATTTCACTTTTTTTCTTTCTTTTGATTTACTGCTTGAACTTTTTTTTTAAGTTATACTTGAATGAACCATTATTTTTGCATGGGGATATGCAAACGTATTTGATAATTTGAGATTTAAAATTTAAGTATCCTGTACTGATCCACAAAATTATATTTGAATGCTAATATTTGTAACCATTTAAAAGAAAAGCACTTATTTAAAAAATCAAAGCTCTGTCATTCTGCAAAAATGTATTTTTTAAGTCAAAAACTCTTTATCTAAGCTGTGAGGTTCTAATAAAACGAGTATTTTTCCCCTTGTATCTACAGTAATATTTGCTCGGACTAAATCAGTTAATAAATTTTTAGTGAAACTATTGCCTTTAATTTTATATATATTTGAGAAAATTACTTTAGATGAACTTAAAAATAAAAATGAATACATTGTGGTCTAATGATTTATACGTTGATTAAATTAATTCTTGAAAATAATGTAAAAAAAATATCTTGAATGTCAGTAAGCTTAAGCTTTTTTTTTAAAAGCATGGGCACTAGTTTGAAGTTCTTAGTGTTTATCTTTATTTTAGATTCCCTGTTGATTATAAGAAAACTTTTTCTATTTGTAAAAAATATTCCTACTTAAAAATTACGGAAAAAAATATTGATTCGAAGTTGAAAGATGTATTTCATGATTTAAAATAACTCTATTTTTAGAAAAATTTGTCTGAAATTTTTTAAAAAAATATTCTTTTTTTATAGGTACAAATATACAGAAGCCTTGCTGAAAAAGTGACACAAAAATTAAAACCTTGGGTTGATCCATTTCCTTCTAGAACATAGCAAATTTTAAATTATTTTTGTATATTAGATTTTATTAAATTAAATTATTTTATGGATCCTCTTAATATTCTTTTATTCTGTTAATTGCATTACTGTTTGATTTGTATATCTGTTAACTAACTATCGTTCCACATTTATGAAATCGTAATGTGCATTTTTATCACATTCATCACAATTCAAAGCTCAACAGAACCTCAGAGTCCCTGGTAATGATAGTGTTTTGTAGAATAGACTTCACTGTATCATCTGTATCGCCAATATCATCAGAAATCGAGAGATAAGACGCCAATTAACTATCTTCAATGATCCCCCTCACCCTTCTTTTATGGAAAAAAATTATAATAATTCCAAAAGTTTAATAGTGAATAAATCAATGCAGTTTGGTTAGTAACATAGAGGAATGTTGCATAAAGTTAAAAAAGATAGTAAACGTAAATTGTGTGAAAATGCAATATAAATAAAATGGTGCGTCGACTGAGTTTTGTCTTTGTATGTTACTTATAATTTGCTTTTCCTTCTACTGACTTTGGATGGTTTTCCTATGTGACTGCACCATTTGTAGATGGTGTAAAATAAATGAATAATAAAAATCATAACTTTACACCCAAAGATTGAATTTTCAAGTTAGGACATGAACCGAATTGTTCAAGGGTCTAACCTGAAACATGCTTATTAAATAGTGCAGACTGCGGAAGGTAATTTAAATTACGAAATCGGACACAAAACATATTTTTCTGAACATACTTTATTTCCGGTGGATTTAGATTCTTCACCTTCTTTTTTCGGGGGAAATATCACTATATTATATATATACTTTTATAAGTCTTAACACCTCTATTTATTTTCCTTTTAGATTTCTAAGTAACTGGAAAAAATTACAATAAATAACTTACTACAAGAAAAATATCTACGAAAAAAGGAAAAATATTAACTGAAAACAGTGTTTTTTTAAAAATAATTGTTTCAATTATAATCGCATCTAAGGTTAAATTTACATGTTAAAAATTATCGGAACTAAGATGCACTACTAATTCTTTTTCTCCTTTTTTGTAATCTGTAATAAAATAAAAGTTTTTAAAAAAATTAAAAACAGGTATTAAAAAAAGATAATTACATTTAAAAATAATTTGAAAAAAAAGGTAATTAAAAAAAAATAATAAGGACAAGAGCAATAATTTTCAAAAACTATTAAAAAGTTTTAAAAAAAACTACTTCTTAAAGGAATATTTTCAATACTTTTAACACTTAAACATCTATTGCAAAAATACATTTTTAATTAGTTTTTAGTAAAATAAATATAATTTTACATATACGACCTTCGAAAATAACTTAATAAATAAAATCATTTGTTATCAATAAATTTGGAGAACTTGCAGCTTTGTTTAATATACTTGACCTTTTGACAGTAAAATGGATTAAACGATTTATACCAACTTTCAAACTAACTAGGCAAACTTTACTCTTTCTTTGTAGTACCTTCGAAATAAGTACCGATATTATGTGAAGTATTTAATTATATTAGCTGATTATGAATGTGAAGTATAGTGATATTAGGGTACTTATCCCTTTCAGAAGGTGGTATAAAACCTATCACCACAGGTTTACTTCTTTACAAACTGTTTATAGTAAAGAGCAACTTTCAAGGAAAATGACGAAAATTCAAGTTTTTTTTAAATTCGTGTTATAGCAGGAACCTCTCCCCTTTTTCTTAAAATTGAGGAATGTTGTCGTCCCTCGCAGGTTTCTAAGGGGGAAAAAAGTAAGGCACGCGTTTCCGTACATGAAATGGACGAGCAGAAAGTCAGATGTTACATTGTTTCTGAATTTTTGTTTCTTCCTGAATAAGAAGAGAGACGTTTTTTGAAGTAAATTATAAACCTTCTCTCAAAATTGATATAATTTAATAGATAATTAACAAATAATAATTTTATTAAATATACTTATTATTATTTAAAAAATAAATAATAAGTATTACTTCTAAAAATCTTAAGGAAAAATTTATATTTCTATTAGAATAAAATTAAACATTTTGGGGGTAATTGAACCCCTATATTCCATCCCCTGGCTACAGCTGTACTTCAAACTATGGAGGTTAGTCACTGGCGGGAAAATATGGTCCCAGTGGTTTAGGTTGGAGAGCGAATCGTGACCAATAACGTCAGGAGAAAGTGGGTAGGAGATGTAATACATCTGAAGAAACATTAGTGAGTAATTAATTGAAAACATTTATAAAACATCATATAAGTACAGTGCCCGAAAAAAAAAATACACGCTAACAGTTACGCAACTTTTGATCTAAGACTCAATGGCACAAGGGTCTAACTAGCAATATGTCAATTAAATAATGAAAACGGTTTTGTTTCAGAATTAGATTTTATCTGGATAAACACACCTTTTTTAATAAATTGAATTTTAGACACTCACTTAGAAATAAGGGGTAGCCACAATCTGGAAAATGTCTTTAATTTCGTTTTTAAGTATTTCGCCATATCTTCAGAAATTTTGAAGGGAATCAAAACCAAAGATTATAATTATTTTTTATATAATTTAATGGACGAAAAATTTCGAATTGTAAGGTTTAAAAACTTTTACACAAATGTAATCAATCTAATTTTAAATGATAAAATCCAAAATTTGAGGAATATCGTCTGAATAATAGTTATATAGAAACTAAAACTTAAAAATTCAGCTTCTCTAAGTTCGCGAAATGAGCAGGAAGTGAAATTGCTTTCAAGTGTCCCTAACCTTCAGCCACTCTCCTACCTAAATTATGTCCCGCAGTGGACTGATCTTTAAGACACGGCTCCAAGCAGATCACCGAAGTCAAGCATCACTGTCTGCGGTCAGTGTGTTGGTGGGTGACCACTTATTTTAGTCTGCGTTGAGACCGAGGATGTGCGGTATTGGCCCTCGTTAAACTGTTCTACCGTAGAGTGCTCGATTTCGCGTGCAGGTCGTCGGGCTACCGAAGCGGGGATGCCATCCCCTCTGCAGAGGATCAAAATTGTGATGGCATGTCTTCGGATCATCCTCAGGGATGCTTCCCAGAGCGTCGCCAATAGCCCATTGTGCCACTCTAGTGCGACGTGAATGAACTTGAACAACCTACCTAAATTATTTGAACCATATTTTCCAGATTGCGGCTAACCTCCAGAACGTTTTAAGGATATCAAACTTTCAATCAATTATGTACTGTGCTCGTCTCCAGGATACTAAAAAGAAATAAATGTTTTTACTTATGCCAATACTTACTCAATATCAAACTTCAAATTTACGAAATCAAGTTAAAGATCTATAAAACAGTTATCAGGCTTATAGTTACGTATGGTAGTGGAACTTAGACTGTAACAAATAAAGAACGAATCTAATCTTCGAAAGGAGCATTTTGAGAAGAATTTTATACACAGTGGAGAAGCGCTGCTTTACGATGACGTAGGGCTCATCCACCAAAGCTCTAGAAGACTCATCGAGATCGAGCGAAGCAGCCCGAGCAACAGAACCGACGACAAGCAAAAGGCCGTCACAATGCACAAGTCCCCGAATCGAGAATGAGCACCACAAGTTATCCGGAGGGGCAGAGGAGGACGGCAAAGCNAATCATTTGTTATCAATGAATTTGGAGAATTTGCAGCTTTGTTTAATATACTTGACCTTTTGACAGTAAAATACTTGATAGATTAAACGATTTATACCAACTTTCAAACTAACTAGGCAAACTTTACACTTTCTTTACAAGCTGTTTATAGCAAAGAGCAACTTTCAAGCAAAACGACGAAAATTCTAGTAATTTGAAATTCGTGTTATAGCAAGAACCTCTCCACTTTTTCTTAAAATGGAGGAATGTCGTCCCCCCTCGCAGGTTTCTAAGGGGGGGAGGAAGTAAGGCACGCGTTTCCGTACATGAAATGGACGCACAGAAAGTCAAATGTTAGATTGTTTCTAATTTTTGTTTCTTCCTGAATAAAAGACGTTTTTTGAAGTAAATTATAAACCTTCTCTCAAAACTGATGTAATTTAAGAGATAATTAACAAATAATAATTTTATTAAATATACTTATTATTATTTAAAAAAATAAATAATAAGTATTACTTATAAAAATCTTAAGGAAAAATTTCTTTTTCTATTATAATAAAATTAGGCATTTTGGGGGTAATTGAATTGAACCCCTATATTCCACCCCCTGGTTACAGCTCTACCTCAAAATATGGAGGTTAGTCACTGTCTGGAAAATGTAGTTTAGGTTGGAAAGCACTGAAACATTATAAGGACTGCAGAGCGAATCGTGACCATTAACGTCCGGAGAAAGTGGGTAGAAGATGTAATACATCTGAAGAAACATTAGTGAGTAATTAATTGAAAACATTTATGAAACATCGTGTAAGTACAGTGCCCGACTGGTCGTTAAGACACGGTTCCTTACAGATCACCGAAGTCAAGCATCACTGGCTGCGGTCAGTTTGCTGGTGGGTGACCATTTATTTTAGTCTGCGTAGGGACCGAGGGTGTGCGGTATTGGTCCTCGTTAAACTGTTCTACCGTAAACTGCTCGACTTCGCGTGCAGGTGCTCGGGCTACCGAAGCGAGGGTGCTCTCTGCAAAGGATCAAAATTGTGATGGCATGTCTTCGGATTATCCTCAGGGATGCTTCCTATATCGTCGCCAATAGCCCATTGTGCAGCTCTAGTGCGACGTAAATGAACTACAACAACCTACCTAAATTATTTGGACCATATTTTCCAGATTGCGGCTAACATCCAGAACGTTTTAAGGGTATCAAACTTTCAACCAACTTTTTACTGTGCTCGTCTCCAGGATACAAAAAAGAAATAAATGTTTTTACTTATGCCAATACTTACTCAATATCAAACTTCGAATTAAGGAAATCAAGTTAAAGATCTATAAGACAGTTATCAGGCTTATAATAACTTATGGCAGTGGAACTTAGACTCTAACAAATAAAGGACGAATCTAACCAAAATCTTCGAAAGGAACATTTTGCGAAGAATTTTGTACACTGTGAAGAAGCGCAGCTTTACGATGACGTAGGGCTCATCGATCTAGAAGACTAATCGAGACAAGCATTCCGAGCAACAGAACCGACGTCAAGCAAAAGGCCGTCACACTGCACTAGTCCCCGAATCGAGAATGAGCACCACAAATTATCCCGAGGGGCAGAGGAGGACTGCAAAGTGCCTAGCCCAGGACCTGGAAGGTAATCAAACAGCGCTTTATTAACAACAAGAACATATTTATAATAGATCATTCAAAAACATAGAGTAATTCAATTCAAAATGCAGTAGATTGAATATGCCAGAATTACTTGTTCAGTACGCCATAGTTTGTTCTCAGTCTGGAGCCGAATCTAAGGTTCGACCTGAGGGGATTTAATTATCGACTATGTCAACCATCATCTATCAAAAATTACCTCAAGATAGAATCAAGTTAACATGTCTTATATACTAGTGATTTGGTATTTAATATTTATAGTGGTAGTTACGCCACAGTCCTATCATTCGCATGATGCCCTGACGCATCGCAATTTAAGCAGGTTTCTTCTTATGTGCAGTTTCTTGCCTTGCCATGTGTCCAAGCCTGTTGCACTTGTAGCATCCTAGTGCCCTTAAGTACTCTTTTAATTTATATGGGCCCCAACCACGATTAACGACGAACAATAGTGAATTTGACCATTTAATCAGACGAAAAAACATAATTCGATTTATTAAATCCAGACGTTTGGCATGGTTGAAGCACATTGAAAGATTAAAGGATAATGGAAATTTATAAAAACTTTTCAAATGGGGACCGTTTAATTTGAGACTAAGAGGAAGACCGAAAAGAAAGGCTGTTGGGCGATATCACCAAAGATCTAACTACCATGAAGATGAAAAACTGGAAGTCAAAAATACGAAGGTTTGGAACGATATTGTTCAACGGGCCAAGGTTCGCAGTGGGCTGTAGTGCTGTATTAAGTAAGTTAAGTATATACTATGTTAGTGGCAAGGTTTGTTTAGGGCGCAAGCCTGAGTGAGCAAAAATAACTCTTGAAATTCCGTAGTTTTCGTTTTGCTGACGTAAGTGCTAAAAGGAAGTTATGACAGTGCTGACGCAAAATATTCTCAGTGGTAGACGGATCATGGGTTAGAGCAGGGGTTTCTAACTGGCGGGCCGCATCCGGCCCTCGAAGCCTTTTTTTTGTGGCCCCCGAACTGAAATATATTAGTTTTCATTGCGGACAATTTTCGTAGAAAATCTATAAGGGCTTAAAATACTTTTCTTGTTAAAAAAAGACGAAAACAAAAAAAACCTAATTTTTTTGTTATCTGTGAAATTCAACATACCAACGGTGCAAAAAAATTTATTTCTCAGGTTTTGCATCCAAGAAAATATTTATTCAAATACAAAAATAATCGTGTATGTTGCTCTCTTTTTTTTTATTTCGTTTTTTTTATTTTGTGAATATAATTTAGCATGTGCGTATCAGAAATTCTCCAATTTAACTTTTTGAAACCACTCATTTCGGACGAAATTATTTACATTTGTAAATTTTAAATTACATAAAAGAGGGAATGAATATCATGTTTTATCTAAATTCCTTGAATTGAGTATCGCATGAGCGGAAAAGAAGGAAAAAAATTCATTTCAGATGCTCGAGAATTTTTTAGTTGTTGCTATAATTAGTTGTTGCCTAATAAGTCGAAAAAATGTTAATTTATCACAGAATTAAATTTGAAATTAAAAAAAAAATCTTGTCACTAAGTTTCAGATTAAGAGAAGATTCAAAATGATACGTAACAAGCATTGTTTGTAATGCTTGTTATTTTCTTTCTTTTTTTTTTTTTAATATTAAAAAACTTTTATAAAAATCTGACAGCAATATTTAATGTTCCTTCAAACATAAAAGAGTCCTATATAAAATTTTGATAAAACTGTGGCCCGCCACTTGACTGGTGTTTTTAAGCGGCCCTCGGCCTCATGTAAGTTGGAAACCCCTGGGTTAGAGTATCCTTGCCATCAGACTAACCGTTGGAGGTTTTCGTGGTCTTCCTCTCTATGTAATTCAAATGCGGGTTAGTTCCATCAAAAAGTTCACGAAGGCAAAAAACTTCCAATTCTTGATTCAGGAGTTCCCTTGTCTTCTGGATTGGGTTCAAAATTACAAGGCTAAGGAGTTGAACATTGATAGTCGTAAACTGAATATTGGGATTGCTGTTCAACGACTGTTATAAAATAAAATAAAATAACTAAATAATAATATCAACAACGTAAAAATAGTATCGACTTAATAATCTTATAAAAATATATTTGTTAAAAATTTTATTTATCAACTCAACATCGATAAGTTTTTAATTATAACATTTTTAAATGTTTACATCTAAATTTCTACAAGATTTTTAAAAAAAATTCCCTAAAAATTAATATTTTTAGTTTAAAACTTTTATATCTCAGTAACCATCAAATAAATTCAGTTTTGTAAATTTTGATTGGTGTTAAAATTGCGTAGTTTACAAGATAGAATAGTTTAGTTTCAAATTGTTATAGTACAATTTTTGTATTATCAATTCTAATCATAAAGAAGTAACTATTAAAACTTTTTTTTCAAAATTATCTTTTTTTAAAATGAGTTTTATCGAAAGATTGAGATTCGCTCAGTTAGTTACAGAGATATAGGGAAAGTAACAAATGGCATTGAGCTGTATAAGAAATGAGCATTACTTTTCTTATTTTCCTTGTTTAGTTTTGTAGTCTACTGAGATTAATAGCTTTGTTATTTTTAGTATAAGGTTAAGGTTAGTATAAGGTTATTTTTAGTATCAACCTAATTATCAAATAAATGTGATTTTGACGTCACCTATGCAGCATTTATTCTTTACATTAAAAGATTTTGTAAAAGCTTTTTTTTCCTCACTTAAGCAGTAATGGGTTTGGAAGGGTTGAGAAAAAAATATTTCCTAAATTTATTTTTAATGTCATTAAAGAAATATTGTATTTAAACTTCAAGCATATGAAAGATCAAAATTTGGACCACATTTTATAAAATTTTTAGCCTTGAGAACTGATTTAACGTCTTAAACTGATAGTGAAGTAGCTGAGGAATTGAATATTTAACAAAACAAAATTTAACAAAAAACTAATGCACAGATCTAATTGAAATTTTGCACACTTCTTCTAGGTTGAATTCAAATAAATAAAATAAGCGAAATAAATAAATGAAAAAAATTATTTTAGGTACAATTTCGACTTGTGGATTAAATTGCGCTCAAATAGAAAAAAGAAATGTTTTTCATATTTAGTCTATTCTTACCAGAAAAAGTGAGCTAAATTTTTACCGAATTAGATCATGTCTTTCGAGATAACTTTATTCTCTAATAAAGTTTTTGCGCGAAAACTTTATTTTTATTTTTTACTTCAGGCTTAACGGGATGTTTCCAACGGCTTTATTTTCAAAATTTTCATTCCATGGTGCACTGATGAAAAAGTTTGAAAAAAATATTCTTAATGTAATGCATAAACTTAAAATAAAAAATTTAAGAAAAGAAAAAATTTAAAACCTAAAACCAAAACTTAATTGATTAGGAAACGATTCTTAAGCAAGAAAAAGCAGGTTTCCTATTCTATTCCTAACCAATGTGGAATAGACAAATAGTCAAATTTTCCTTTTGTGATGTCGCTAGGTTAACTGTTTACAGAGCGTAAGGCCAAAACGTAAATATTTTCCTCATAAAGGTCTCATCTTTGCTCTGAATTTAAACAAAAACCGATTCTGAAGCACGCGAAGAGGTTTTCCATTTCTTAAACATGCCCAAAGCAGAGCTTGTTATATAGTAAGAACCTGGTGAATCTCTTTTATTACTTCGGCTTTGGAGATCTCATTATTACACTATTCGCGCACATTTAGATCGCCATTGAGTTTCGTTAGATATATGGATAGCTAATATTAACTTTACCTGTGTGGTGATTGTATCAGATAAATGATTCGTCAAATTTTGATAACGTTTCATTATTATTAAAGTATAAATTATAAATCACTATTATGTAGTTCTAATGGTGGTTTTATGTGTGACAGGGATGCTAAGCATATTAAAAGTGGTGATTTCAGAATACCCGTGTTTAATTAGATTTAATACATTTGAATAGAATTGTATGTGTTTTAAAATAGTATGTGCTTTTTTATACGTGTTTCCTATTTCTACAAGATTAAAATAAATTATATTAGCCTCTAATGCTTCCAACACAGTTTTTTTTTAATAAAAAGAAGAGCTTGCACTTTAAAACATCGACTTATGACTGAAATCGGAGATTAGATATCGGGATGCAAATTACTGAAGGATTTCCGAAGTCAAGCGTCACTGGCTCCGGGCTGTGTGCGAGTGGGTGACCACTCTGATCAGCCTGTACAGGAGCTAAGGGTAGGCAGCATCAGTCCTCGTTAAACTACCGTAAAATGCTTGACATTGCGTGAAGGTCACCAGGCTATCAAAGCGGGGAACCATCCCTTCTGAAGAGTATCAAAATTGTGATGGCATGTCTTTGGATAATCCTCAGGGATGCTTCCCAGACTGTCGCCAATAGCCCATTATGCTGCCCTTGTGCGACGTAAATACAGTACTATTACTACTACTTCAGGTACAGTTATTTAAGAGATTGACGGGGTCAAGGGCATGTCTCTAGTCTCCGTGGCCAAGGCGGTATCGCAACGACAGTAAAACGTATAGATAGCGGGTTCGAATTTCGCAGTAACCCTGAACGTATCTTTGTGCTTTCCTTTTCGATTTTGTATTATCTCTTCTTCAGTTGACAAGAATTTTTAAGCCGTTGTTGCCACGTTGTATGGGTCTACGGTACTGGATACCCAATAATATACTTGCCCTTTTTTACTTGCCCACATACAATAAATAAATAAAATAAAAGTTACGCATTGAAAAGGTAATGTTGAAGGATGTAGTGAGAGATTTTATTTTTAACGTTTTGTACGTGTAATAATTATTTGTTGATGCTGATGATGAAGTTTCATTATTGTTTCTAGAATTAATATAAAAAATATGGCAACGGCTCATAAAATTACCGAGATTGTAACGGCCATGTTGTACTATTCTGAATATATTTTTTTTTAATTTTTTAGTATTGGTATAGTGCTGTTTTTGTGCTATAATTTAATTAAATATCGTACATAAATCTTTAATTATTGGTCTTAGCTTGTATTATTTCTCCTTGAATGTTTTCAACCTTATCCTCACCGTATGCCTTACTACTGAACAGTATCAAAACAACTGGTTCACGACAGCATGGTGACTTGGTCAAAATAAATAGGTTGTGTTGAAATAGTGTTTGTGTTAAGATGTCTTTTTGTTTCTTAGATCTTTAATAATGGATTAACATTATGAAGACTAAACGGTATGTCAAATTATAGTTTTACTTTTCTTTTCTTTTTTAAATCTTATGTTTGTAAATGCAAATCTCATTATATTGGACTTATGATGTTTGTTTAGCGCCAAGTAAGCGAAAGGAAACAAGTTCCGCATATCAATTCTACACGGAAACCAGATGTCAGTGCATAATACATTTATTATTAAATGCTTTTACTAATATAAGTTATAGTTCTACATATATACATTTTCGATTTAAGAGACATAAAACTTTACTGCATTAGTCACTAATTAAAATATAACTGGATCTGGTAGATTATTTCATCATGTTGTTATTCAAGAATAATAGCACTTTGTTAAATAATTTATTGATTTAAATTATTTATTTATGCGTTTTAATTCTCTATATCATATATTTCAATTTTGTTCATTAATCTGTGTCATGATGTCACCTCTTAAATAGCACTAGTATTTTCACTTGATAGTATTGTTTTTTCCTCCTTTAGAAAAACAACAACCATTCTATTTGTATAAGTTTCTCAACTGTTCATTATTTTAATATTTGGCAGTTAATTGCGCAATATTTTATATTTAATTTTACTGTACAGCTGCCTATAGGTTAAGTGTCTGAGTAAATATGTAAATATTAGGAGTTAGCTCTTTATTTTTTAAGCAACATAAGCATTTTATTTGCATTAACTTTTCACCAAATTTTGGTTGGCAATTTGCAATTAATGGTGCTGGTTTATTTATTTTTACTTTTAATACTGAAGTCAATCTGTGTTTGGTCTTTCGAAATCAATAAATATCAAGAGTAAGTTATTAAGTTTAATTTTTTTTTGTTTGTATTTACTTTAATTAAATCAACATATTAAGTACTTCCATTGAGTTGTTTTTTTTATTACATATGATATTTATTGGGAAAATTTGCAAATTAAAAAAAAAAAAAACAAAGGAAAAACAAGTAGAGGTTTTCTTGGATGTGGCAACAAGTTACCCTTTCAGTTGGTCTGTGTTGTGTGATGTGATTGCCCATTTCTTGTATGCTACTGCATGAAAATTGTTATTAAAACTTTGCTGTAATTCCATCGTCTTCACGATAAATCTTTTTTTATATATTTTATTATATTTCCTCATTGCTATTTAATAACCTCTAATAGTTAATAGTGCCAAGATATGTATATTTTTCATTAAAAATGTTTGAAAAACTATCTGGTAGCCAATATAACTAAAATTATTTCTCAATTCGTTAACTATGTTGCGTAACTCGTTATGTATGTTGCGTAACCTTAAGTAATATTTCTCATTAAAATTTTTGTTTTTATTATTTAACGGTATATTTTGCTTGCATCAGTTGTATTTTGTATTTAAATTATATTTTTAAAAAAAATAAAATATAGGTAAAATGTCAGTCACTTGTCTTAGATACATATTTATGAACTTTTTAAGTAATTTTCTAAATAATTGCTTTTAAATAAAATATGACGATATTTCGAATTAAAAATCAATATTTTTAAGGTAATTTGTATATTTTGTCCTACACATTATTTTGTAAATGTCCAATTTTGAGTAATTGTAGTAATTGGTACGAAAAGAGCCAATAAGATATTATAGATGGATCTAGTTGCTTAAGATTTAACTTCCGGATTCACTCTTCTATACAGAACAGTAAAGTTAAATTTAAGTGCCATTTCTTAATGGCACTGAAATTTAAGTGTAATTTTACCTTAAATCTGTGGGAGACTTTATTAAATATAATTACTATTAGGAATGAAATTGAATTTTTGACCCTTTTGCCGAATAATCGGAAAAGTGTTATTTGGAAAAATATTTTTCAACAAAGTTTGTTTGGGAAAAGAGTTATTACATTAATTAAAGAATAATCAGAAGTTGTATTTTTTACTGTACTATTAGAAATAGTTTTTTCACGTATGAGGTCTAAAACTTGTTAATTTATGTTCTGAAAAACATGTGGAAAAGCGAAATTTGTAGAATTGAAACTTTATACTGATTACTTCATACTGAACCATTATTTTTTTCTTTTTTTGAAATTGTATTCAGGCAAGTCAATTTCATCGTTTTTTCAAAGCTTCGTATTTTATTTTAAATTTGTAAAATTGAAACTTTATACTGATTACTTTATGCTGAACCATTATTTTTTTCTTTCTTTGAAATTGTATTCAGGCAAGTCAATTTCATCGTTTTTTCAATGCTTCGTATTTTAAAAATTAAGCTTGTTTTGTTTAATTTTTTTTCTTTGCAGTTATAACTAAAACAAAGCATGTTAACACAGCGTTTCAAATGGACTTTATTTTTTTATTGTCACTTTTTTCTTGTATGATGAATTAGATAAATAGTAACATAGAATACTGTGATTTTCAATGTCAAAAGTTATATTTTAGAACTAAGCAATTTTTACTAATTTTTCTTTTAATTAGCATTTTTATTATGACAGCATTTTTTAAAGATTGTTTCAAATGAATGTTTTTCTTTTATGGTAATTATTTTCTAAAAATATGGCAATATTCAAAGTTAAATTTTTAGCAGTAAGTCTATCATTTAAGAGTCAAGAATGTTTTTTATTTTGGCTTCCACCTAACTTTTTATTTATTATTTTATTCAAGAAACTTATGTTTTTTAGACGTTTTTATTATGATGCGATGCATGCGGCAGTTAAGAGGGTCTCTATTAGGCTTTCATCTTCTTTTTTTTTGCCAGAAAAAACAGTAATTGGATAGCTGAAATATTTAGCCTTAACATTTTCTTTCATTTAAGAGCAAATTTTATTTTTTCTGTGTTGCTTTTGTAAAGGATGTTTTTTAAAAATTTTTTTTTAATAGATGCTATGATAGTGCTGCATATTTAAAAGTGTTTCTAATGTTTTATGTATAATTTTTTTTTCTGGAAAATAATATTAGCATTAAAGTTTGTTTTAAGAATTAAGAGGATGTTTTGTTTCTATTTCTTTTTTTTTTTTTCAACTTTACAACTTCAGTTTATTTATTATTTTTTTTATTAGCTGCTGTTAGTCAGTTTTTTTTATCTTAAATATTTTTCAGTATCTTATTTTTAATTATCTTTATATCTTATCCTAAGCATTTCTATTTTATTTATTATCATAAACATTTCTATTTCCCTTTACCCCGTACCAATAATACAGCTAAGTTTTGTGTAATTTTCAACAATGACTAAACTTATTTCTATATAAAAAATAATATTAATTGATTTATTTTTTTTAATGGTGCTCTTTGGGTAATTTTTTTGGCCAAATTTTTGGTACTCGCCTGTTTAGCCAAATCACTATTCGTTACATCCTTAACTACTATCCCCATACCAACATTTTATATAAATTTTGTAATTTTTTTCCTGTTTTTATTTCAAAAAGTGAGGCATAAATAAGAATTTGATTGCTTAAAAAAATAAAATTTTGTAAATTTTATGGAAGTTTGTAATTTTAGTTTTAATTATTTGCTAACATTTCTTAATTTTAGTTAACTTGTATAAATATAGGTGATAAAAGATCATGAATAAAATTTTTAATGAAGCATAAAGTTAACTGAAATTTTACTGGTCTGTCTGGATGAAAAGTTTTATTATTGTTTAAAAAGTAAAAAAGGATCAAAATGTTTAAAAAATAAAATGTGTCATTTAAAAAGTGCTACTAAGGTCATTTTTCTATCCATTTCTAAACCTTAAAACACTTCAGATAAAATATTCCAATTATATTTTAAGATGTAAAACAAACAATATCTGTTAAGTTTTTAAATTGTTAAATTAAATTGTGTAGTTAAGAGAAAAAAATGTCTTTACGAAATTTAAAATAAGTGTTGTTTATACAAACAATAGCTATATATTACAAACAATAGTTTTGATTTTAAATTATTATCTGTTAGCTTATAAATGTAGTCTTTTTTAAGGTAATAGGAAAATAAGATATTTTTGCAATTAAATTAAAGGGTAAAAATTCTTAATATTTCTTCAAAATTCTGCATACAATCTATTTTCTTAAAAAATATTAAATTTTCAATTAAGTATTATTTAAAATGTTTTTGCACGTTTATTAATTAATTCTTGATTCATAAAAAAATATATATATTAAATATGGTCTTCATAAGTAGTTTAAATGAGGAGATAGTAATTACTTTTTTTCCATTCAATTACATAGTTGCGGTTTTGATCTTGTCAAAAACTTACTTAAAATGTTGAAATTCTTCAAAAAGTGTCAAAAGCCAAGGCAATGTTCTTTTTTGACATAGGAGACAGTTTTTTAGATTTTAAGTCATGCTCAATGTTTTTCTTATATGTTACTATAATTATGATTTATATTTTCTATCACAAATAAAAAGTGTAGCCAAAATTATTGAAACTATCAATCGGTTTTGCTAATGGTACTTATTCATTTTATATTACAGGTAATAAATATGAGTTGTTAATTATTATCAATCTGAATATTGATTTCAGTTTTTTGTACGTTAGAATTTAGACAGATTTTTTAGATTAAGAAGAATTAAAATGCTTGCCAATAATTGTCTGATCTTGAGGAATGTTTTTTTTTTAATTGATTCTCAGTATTTGTTGTAAGGTCGACCTTTAGAGAGAGAGAGAGAGAGCACTGAATAAACAATTTTTTTGTGAGGAAACATTTTGTAATGTGATAATTTTTTTTACAATATAAAAATTTTTAGCGCTTTTTTTTTAATTTGACCAAAAATTTCCCTAGGAATACCGGAATTTCACGGAACCTTTGTCACACAATTAAATGTAGTCTGTGTCTGCTTTAGATTAGAATTTAATGGAGTGCAGTTGAATATATTATTTAGTAAATTTAATATTTTAAAACTTGCATAATAGTTAATTAGCCTTATATACTTTTTTTTAGGTAACACATCTTATCTATTTTTGACTATAGAAGGGATCTTCAAATAAATAATTCATAGCAAAACAGGTAAGTAAATATATATGTTATATATTTTAATTTTAAAAAATCATTTTAAAAGTGGGAAAAATATTCATGTTTTGTATGAATTGATTGAATCTGTAAAATTTTATTTTCCCCCTCAGTATTTCTTCAATGGAGAATAGCTATTTTAGTTTTTTTTCCCTCCAGTTTTAGAAAGTTTTGCTAGTATTGTACTAAAGTACCTATTTTTTATTTGCTGTTCAGTAATCTTAGCTGATTTTTAATTCTTGACATTCCATATGTTAATTTTTTTTAGGTTTCTCAGAGAATTTTAGAAGATTCTCTAGTTTGCTTTAGGTATTAAATTGTGGTCAACTTATAGCTTTTTCTAAAAATATCAAATATTATGCTTTAATGTACTAAGGTTCCTTAGTATGAGCTTCATGTAAAATTAGAATATACTGCAGTTTTCTAAAATCAGTTCTTCCTAGGAATAAAAAGGGCAGGGTGCTTTTTCACAGAAAAAGGCACTTTGAGTTTGTATTAAAAAGGCACTGTGAAAATTTATCAAAATATGTAATATTATTTAATCTTCAATTTTTATATTATCCTCTTATACTATTTTATGTGTATATTTGAAAAAGTAATTCTCACAGATTATCAAAATAACACAAAAATTAAAACCTTTTGAGAAAATAATAAAAGAAAGCTAAAAGACAATCTCTGTGTATAAATTTTCTTTGAAAAAAGTTAGCTAAAAATGATGAATTAATGAAAAACTTTAAAGCTTTTTCCAGTATCTAGAGAAAATAAGCATTTAAAGGTGAATTTTTAAATTAAGGATATATGTTTAAAATAAGAATGGTGAAATTTAAAATCATCAAAAAACTAATTGATATCCCCCAATAAAAGTGAATATCTCTGGGACAGAATATCATGCAAATTTTAACTAGACAACATAAAGAAAATCTTAGTAAATTGAAGGAAGAAGCTTAATTTGAGGTACCTAAAAGTTCAAAATTTTTCTGAAGAATTGGCACAAAATACATATTGTGAAAGATTTTTTTTAATGCTCAATTTTGGCTCATTTTATATCAATGAATAGTTATCTGCTGCTACAAATTTATTTTTCGTGTCTGATTATTGTAATTATATTATATTATTGTATTTAAAAAATTAAATAAAAGCTTCAATTTTCCAAAATATTTTAACAAAGAAATATTGAATTGTATTAAGAAATACTTTTAGAAAATGTTACATACACTCGAATAACTAAGAAAACAGTATATCATTATGATGACTATCAATTAATCCTCCTCACTGTGTTAACCACCGGTTACTCTTAGTTTCCTTTGATGTGTGTGTCATAAATAGCAGTAGCAAAGAAGAGAAAAAAAGTTTCCTTCAATTAAATGATCTCTTTATTGCTTTTTATTCAAATCTTTCACATTATGAGTTTCTAATATTAATCATTTAAAATGATTGTTTATCTTGAACTTCAATGACACATAAAAGTGTTTTGTAATATGTTTTATTATTAGGAACAAAATTTATTTTGTGATGTAAAAGATTCAGCATAAGTGATTTTGAAAATTTTTAGATCATATTTAAAAAGTGTCTTAATGTATGTGATCTGCAGTACTTAAAATTTGAAATCATTTGATTTAAATCATCATGAAACAATGAAACATCATGAACATGAAACATCAATCTTTAAATTTCTAAAAATAATCTAATTAAAAATTTAATTACTTTAAAAGCATTATTTGCTTGTTAACCAGTTAATAATATTGTTACTGTTATTGATAAACCTTTAACTGTTGAATTAATGTACTGATACAAATATTCATTATAACATAAAATGTTATTATTTTTCTATCACACAAAACACATATTCACTCACATATGTAGGCTTATAAGCTCTCGTCAAATAAGAGTAGTCAGCACAAATAAGAGAAAAGCAACACAAAGATACACCCAGAATTATAGCGGGATTCAAATTCACCACCTTAACGCTACACAGAGCTTTTAGCAGGACAAAATCCACCACGCGCCATTGCCCATTGCTGAATGAAATAATATCACCTTGTGATAAAAACTAACTCTGAAGGTCAATTTCATTAAAAGCAGACAAATGTCATATTTGTTACCATTTTTTTTTTTAAATTTTAGCAAATTAAATTTTTTGTACTGAAACTGAAATTTTTTTTTCTTTCAATTTCATGAAAAACTTAACATTAAAATAATTATATTTTTAATGAGTAGTTAAATCAGGCTAACTTTCTTTAACTGTCATGTTTGTCACGTTAGTAAATATTTTTTTAAAGAGTATAAAAAAGATACTTAAATTTTATAACTTGATTATTTCATATCTATGAATGTCTTGTTTTGTTTAACTGAAATTTCTAAACCTAAGTTCAAAATAAGTGCCATTTCAGAATAATTAGTCATATTGGTTAGACAGACACTCAATCCATTTCTGTTACGGCCTATTTTATTAATTAAAGTGTTTCTTACCTAAACTGAAAGTTTTGCATTATTTTTAATTTAAATATACACAGCTAAATTTGTGAAGATATCTTCATCGCTAATATTGTGCAAAAGAAAGTTGTCCCTGGTTATGTCTGTTACCATTGGATTGACCTGTGACATGTATTCCATAAATTTTTAATAGAATGTGACATTGAGGCCATCAATTCCCAACATTTTAATTGTAGGAGAAAAACAATTTTTTTTTTATTAATCTTTACTGTTCGTAAGTAGTACAGGGTGCATAGCGTTTTTAAAAAGTGCTTATTTTTGATTTTCGTTTTTTAAAAGCCCTTAAAGGTGATTTTTTCATTGGGTGTTTTTTAAAAGTGCTTAGTTTTCCCTTTTTTAAAATGAGATTTTTCCATGACCATGTTAATTTTCACTATGAATTATGCAAAAAAGATACATTGTTCTATTCAACGTTTTCACAATTAATTCAACCCCAATCTATTTCGGCGTATTGTCAGTTCGTAGTGTATGAAAACGCCATTCGTTTTGCATTATTCAAAATTTCATGATTTTTGACAATTGTCAAAAACAATACCAAAAGGGTTTTTTTTTTTATATGATGGTTAAAAATTATAAAACCGTCAGTTGTCAAAAACTTTCCAACCCAGCCTAATTATGATATTTTTTTAAAGTGCTTAAAAATATTTNGGATTTCTTTTGATATTCTTGTACATTAAGCTATTCTTTGTCAGATAACTTACAGTACTTGTGTGATATAAATTAATTTTAAAAGCCTAATGGCATTTTAGCATTTTGCTAAAACTTTTTTTCAGATTTTAGCTTTTTTGCTAAGGAATTTTTAGACTCAGCTTAAACCCTGACCCAGCCTAATTATGATATTTTTTTAAAGTGCTTAAAAATATTTCTTGAGTGCTTGAAAAGTGCTTATTTTTTGTTGAATAATTTGGCTACACACCCTGTTGTATGTTAGTAATTTTTATGAGTATTTCAATAGTAAACTTGGCGTAAATTTTTTTGTAGGTATATTTAAAGATTGTGAGAAGCTGACTAATATCCTAAGTGGTGACAGAAATCTGAGGCATATACAAAAAGCAGTACAATTTTATGATATAATTATTAAATTGTAAGTAGTAATTTTTATTTATTATAACTTTTATTTTTCAGAAGCCTTTAAAATATTTTTTTTCTGAATATTTAATTAATGTTGATGAAGATAAAATTACTTTTACCCACGATTATTGTAGTAAGCTACATTTAGATATGCCGCTGACCTTTATGTCTGAATCCCTAGTTAATTGAAGTTCAACAGATTCGAGTTAGCAAAAGTGCTTTTCAGAATTTATGACTGTTTGTCATTTTCATGTAGTTAGATCTTAAAAATTTCATATATTCATAATATTCACAAACGGTGTCGAGAAAAATTTGTCGCAACGACTGACATTTTTTAAAATATTAATTATTTAAAATGAATTATGTGGTCGAATTCCCCATATTCTACCTGGTATGTTTAATAATCAATTTAGAGTTATATAAAATTTAAAACAAAAAGTTTTTTTGAACAAATTCTGTCAAAATTAGCTGGCGAGACAGAGTTAACTAGTTACAAAATGTCAAATTGCTTGTAGAAAGTTTTATACTGAGAAAGTTTTTATGTTTGATGAAAGCTTTTCATTTTACCAAAGTCATTTCATTTTATCTGTGGTTCTATGGTTTTTTGAATTCCATATTTAAAAAAAATATTATCAAGGGAGCCACTTAGGAACACATTTAATGATGATTTATGGTGCATAATTCAGAGAAGTTTCATGTCAATGATGATTCTTCATCTTAATGATATCATTAACAATCTTAAATTAGGTTTCATGTCCAACAGTTGAATTCACAGTTTTAGAGCTGAATCTAGTCTAGATTTCAATTTGTGTTTAGTCTAGGAGTGCGCAACCTATGGTCTGCTGGCCACACGCGCCCCATCGACTGTTGATGTGCTGCCCGCAGAAACTTCTGAAAGCAATAAAAAATTTCTTTTAAGCTGGTTTTTGTATAAACATTATAAATTTTCTTTTATTAAAACATTAAATTAAAACTTATATTACTCTATAAAATGCGTTTTTTTTTTTTTTTTCATTTTTATTCTGTAAGCTCCTTTATGGTTAGAATTTATATCCTTCTTCCAATATATATATATATATATGTAATATATAAATTTAAATTAAATAAATTCCAATAATTAAAAGTATTTAATTTTTTGCAAATATGTTGATACTGATAAAAATATTTGCTCCTTAGAACACTAATGTTTAGATAAAAATTATCATATTTGCCATTAACATGACTAAATAAGCGTGTGACCCTTCATTAATCTACCTGCTGTGCAAGTGGCCCTTTACTCAAAAAAGTTGTGCACCCCTATTTAAGTCTATAAACATAATTCTAATCAACACTTTTTTTGTCTAATCATTTATATTAATGATAACAATATTCACAAAATAATGTTGTAAATGAATTAAATATCTGTTCCCATTACAATATATTGATGTCTTGTTTTTTTTTTCCAGGTGAAAATGCATCTTTATTGATTTTATGTAATCTTACCATCATGGACAGCTAACCCATGTGACACTCTTTTCTGTGTTGTAGAGATTAATAAGCATCAACTTCAGTTCCAAATGTAGGAACTGTTTTTAGATATCTTTTTAAATTGTCCACTCTAGTGGTCGTGATAAATCATCCAAGCTGATCGTATTTTCATTATTTTACTCGTTCATTCCTCACAAAAGCACAAGGTGGCGGCTGAATCCAGCTTAGCTAAAAGGCTTTTGACTGGGAAACCAGCAGGTAATATTTTCCCGTCTATTTATTATCTAATACATATTTTGTTGCAGTTCTGTTTTTGTTTATCAGTTTAAAATTTTGTTGTTTCCTTATTTCTTAGAGCCTAAAACTGTATTGTTTCCTTTTTTCGTAGAGAATAAAACTGTATAGTGACCTTTTTAGTGCTTAAAATTATATGTTGTCCTTCTTTCTTAAAACCTAAAATTGTGCTGTTTCCTTCATTCTTAGAGCCTATCATGGTTTTTGTTGGGTACATCCACTGATGGCGAATAAAAACCCTCCTGCACATGATTTTGCACCAGCGTGGCTCAAGATACCCACTTATAATAGTTATGTAAGTGAACTAAATTATTATTATTATTATATTTTGAATAAATTTTGAGAACAATCTGTAACAGAACTGGTCTGTTTAAGGGCCCTTCAGAAAAGAACTTTCACTGAATTCTTGAATCCTATTTTGATTGTTCTTTTGTGATTAGCATTCACACTTGTTTGCATTGTTGCAATTCAAAAATTAATTTTCATGCATGTAAACATGTGAATAATTGATAAAATAGAAAATAAAACATTATCATAAATTGATAAGATAGGATGAGTAATTGATAGACTCTTTCAAATGAACAAAAAAGAAAAAAAAAGCTGACTTAAGTTGAATGATGCAAGAATGAAGAATAGACCATTTAGTTTATTTTACATTTAAAATGTTCATTTAAATGATCTATATGAGAATGTTTTTATTTTTAAAAACTCATCTTATATAGTTGTTTTAATAGAAAATATGTATTTTGTAGAAGTGTTATTAATTATTCACAAATATTATTTTGGTACAATTCCAAGACAGTTGTTAAAAAATAATAACAAATAAAGATGAATTGAAATTGAAAATTTGACCTGAATTCTAATAAGTTTTTAAATTTAAAACTTGCTTTTTTAGTATTACTTTTCTCTCTATTTTTTTTTTCATTGCAGACTTTTTAAATGTTGTGAGGAATTTATTAGCTTTCAACTGAATTGTTTTTTGTTACTTTTTCATGAAACTGAAAATTGTAGGAAGACATAAGACTCTGCTTTGATTGGTTCAAAAGTTTCTTACAAAGACTGATTTTGTGTATTTTCATGACATTCAAGGGGTTAGAAGAAATATATAAAACTTTTTTTTCTTGTGTAATATGTATATAATATGGGGGGAAAAAACTTGCGCATTTAAATATGTAACCCCAAAGCAATAAAATATCCTAAAATTATGGTAGACTTTTAAATGTGCTTAAATATTTAGAACTGCCTATAAATTAAATTATAAACTAAGACAGCAACACAAAAACATACTTTCTCTGATAAAACCTATTGTTTTTTTCATTTTTCTAATTTTAGACTCAAAATAAGTTAGCTGCAGTCTGAAAAATCAGTTCAAATAGTTTTGTCAAGAAAGTATGCATCTCAATCCTTTAATGTTTACTTAATTTGTGCACATTTCCCCTTATTCCAGAATTTTTATGAAAATCCAAACTTTTTATTCACAAACTATAAGAGTTATTTATCCTAACATACATTGCCAAGATAGTTTTGCATTCTATAATATTTTGTATTCTATTTTTGAATAGCTTCAGTTTTGAATAGTTTAGAGTTTGAATAGTTTTAGAGGATGGCTTACAGTTTTTTGATAAGATCCAAAATTTGAATCAAGCTCATTGTGTGAAAAATTTTAAATCAACAGTTGTACTTTTAAAGTTTATTTAGCAGAAGTTATTTGATCAATTTTGTACAAATTTTTAATTTTTCTCATTTTATATTGCTAGAATTAAAATTATGTAAAAATTTATATCTTTTGATCATATTTAAATCCTTCAATCATATTTATCTACCCTTTGAACCATAAAGCTTTATTCTTAGTACTTGGATATCTCATTGTTAAATTAAAAGTTATTGACGGCAATGTTTTTTTAGGCTCACTATGCTCACTTGGTTCAACTTATTAGTTAGCTGTTGTAGGTTGAATAAGAACATAAAAACTAGTAGTTATATTTGTAGGCTGAATTTGAGTTTTAATATTTATCACAATTTTCAACTTACTATTTATATTTAAAGATTGTAAAATAATTATGGCTATGTGTAATGCATATAAATAAAAATCATAATATCTTTCTTTTAGAAGCCCTCTGGTGCATCCAGCGAGCGTGGCGGACATACTAGTCGTAGAGATGAACATAGCTTTGGTTTCACCCGCCACAAAGAAAGTGATCCTCTAGCTTATCACTCATATTTTAATGAATGCAGAAAAGATAGGGATGGTAAGTTTGTAAAGAGGATTTGTATTTATAAATTAAATATTCTTTCTTAAGCTATCTTCACAAAATGTTAAAAACCCTTAATTCTGTTTAATAATTTTTTCATTGGTCGATCCATGCGAAGATTGGAGCCATTTTGTTTATTCATAAAGTTCAAACTTTAAAAAATGGCCCCTTCACAAAATTCAAATTCGTAAAAGTGTCTTTATGAACTTTCACTTAATAAAAATGATCACTCAAAATTGTTCTATGGTGGATTTATCTTAAAAACTATCAGAAAACAGCAAGGTTTTACCACAGCACTGTCACAAATCAAACTCAAATTTGCAAGTTGTGTGATGGCATATTAAAAATAGCAGAGTTTGAAAAGCCTTGTGGAAAAGGCTGAAAAAAAGCTAAATAACTTCAGAAAAACTGTTATCCAATGACATGAAATTGCGATGGAATCCCCAGGAAGCATACACGACAGAAAGTGATAACTCTATTTCCAACCTCGTAGTAACATCTAAAGAATGCCAAAATTTAAAAAAACGTGTATAAGGGGTTGAAATAATGGTGAATGATTGCCAGAAAGAACTATCATCAAACTATGTAAAATTGTGATAAACTCATTACGAATGGAATGCTTTGAAAAAGATAACTTAAATTCAAATTTGCGTGTTGTAACAATGTATCAGAATTAATTTGACAACTGTCCGAGAAAGATCAGAAAACTGTGTGAATTTACAAGCTTCAAATTTTGACAAAAAATAATGTTGCTTAACTTCCTTAAATAATGTTTGTTCAGAATGTTTCTTAAACATTTTTCATAAAATCTTCTTAGTTTTATATTTTTGTATTCGATAGTTTGTAGGTTCAAAGAGGGAAAAGTTTGCACTACAAAATTTTTTTATCCCGGTGGTAGTGAGGAACTGTGGCAGTAACTTTTTTAATATTGAGAGATTTAAAATATTTTCTTTCTAAGAATTAGCACTAAATAGCTATAATGAAATATTCATATTTTAGTGGATTAGTCTATCTTAAGATAGGTATTGATAAAAATGCTCATAGTATTACATTCAGCTGTATGCTATGCTCATGAATAGAAAGAATATTCTTTGTACAGTGGAACATCGTTTATACGACGATCACTTATACGACGTTTACATTTATACGACGTTTACATTTATACGACGTTTTAGTGTGGTCCCAAATCATTCCTATTCCTTTCAATGTAAAAATATATTGTTTATACGACGCACAGAATCGGTTATACGTCGGTTTTTAGATTTTGCTCACGTTTATTTAATTTTTTATTTTTTCTTGTGTATTTTAAGAAAGGGCGGAATTTGCCAACATGAATGATACAGAAAAGGGTGCCAACAAGAATACGTGGATGACGACCGCAATCTTTACTAAATGACTGAAAAAACTAGACAATGCTATGAAGAATTTTGCAAAAACGAAACATTTTGCTATTCATCGACCAATGTCCAACGCACCCACCGATACTAATTANCAGCCAGCTAACTAAAACGCTATCGTTTATACGACGTTTTTCGGTGGTCCCTTCGGCGGCGTATAAACGATGCTCCACTGTATTTGGTTTTGTCTATAGCAATTGTGTGTTATTAAATCATTGTAATAAATTTCTCTTACAAAGTAATAAGCTTTTATAATACGTATACTAAAAATATATGTATTGAAAACCTACAGTTCTTTTAAAAGAATTTTTTCAACTCTGTTTGGGGCATCATTATTTATCATATTATGTCGTGTTTACTTTTTTCTGATCTTTTTAAAATTTTTACAGTATTTTTTAATTGATCTTTTGAAAGTTTCTTGTGTTAAATTTTTGTGACCTATTTAGAAAGTAATAAAATACTTTTTTTTAGACTACGAAGATGCATACCCTTCAGTCAACAATGTGCATTATTATGGTATGGATAATGGTTTCAACGGATGTAATAATCAAGCACTTCTCTCACGCAGACCGCATAGCAGGCATGACTTTCGTATTTCACTCTCATATGCAAAGGTAATTTTCATTTCATTCATATATATTAGAAGGGGGGGATATATTTGAAATGATAATTATTTTATCAAACATTAGTACACACTGATAAAATCTACATACTCACATATTACAAAAATGTTTTTATATTTATTTTGTCTGTTTTTATGTATATGTGTAAACTTTTCAATCGAGAATCTTTACAATTTTAACTTTATCTTCTTCCTTGTTAAATATTCAAAACTTGACGTTTTCTCAAAATTAATTATTCATTTCCTCTTATCTTTTTTTAAATTTAAATCTCAGGTATGTAAGAATTAAAATTTTATAATTTTCCCTTCTATCAACTGTAAAAGAAGCAGTATTTTCCCTCAATCTATTTAATAAACCAATTGTTATTACTAAGTTTTATTTCCTAAAATGAATAATTGTACCTATTTATTTTGTGAGATATCCCCTAATTTTTATATCGGAGCACTTTGTAATTTTTTTGTCACTAGGATGATTGTTCTCTCTTTAATGATAATTAAATAAATACTGTGCCCTCTTTCCCTGCCTAAATACCTGTTTTTATCCTTCCTCTCGGCTACGGCCCTTGCATATATGAAGAAAACACTAAAATTTAAAAAGAGAAAGTAATGAGCAGTCTATAACAACAGTCAGTTTATATTGTTAAAACAAAAATGGGTGTTAAATTTTCGAAAATTTCTCCTTTTAACTTCAGTTAATTTTTGAATTTATTCCTTTGCAGGCTGATGCTCCCAAACACATGACAAAGAATGGTAGTGGCTATTACCACAACAAAGGAAAGGGAAAATTGAATGACAATGGTTGTGTGAGTAACAATGGTATTGGTGATGGACGTGGTATGGGAGTGACCAGCAATAATTTCAATCAAGAATTTGTAAGTGTTTCTTTCATTATAACCATTACTCACTAATTCAAGATCAATATTTTAAGGATAAATGTTAATTTCTCTTCCCCTTAACTTTAGCCATCTCTGCAAGGAGACATCTCTGAAGAGCCAAGTACTGTTCCAGCTTTGAACGGCAGTGCTTGGGGTAAGTTGTCTTTATATTTGCCGTATTGTGAGATTGTATAAATCTAGTATTGTTTAAGGGGTTTTAGAGGTGATTCTAATTCTTCTGTCACCCATGTGACCTATGGTGAATTCTCTGAATGCAAGTTTTTTTAGTTCATTTGGTTATTGTAACTAATATTTAGAATTTTTATTTTATTCATTTAAATATCATTTATTGAATTTAGTTAAAAATGTTTGGTTTTTTTCAAACCTTAAAAATTAACACATTTTATATATTTCAGTGATTGAACAAAATGGAAAGAAAAAAAAACTCTTAATGCTAGTTTTATTGATTTAAACAAGAGGAAATTTATATTCGTTTAATTCTCCATATGTGTAATGTGGTAGATTGATGAGTTAGCAGTTAGCCTGATATTCCTGGTTGGAAAATGTTGTTCTAATTGTCCTATTTTTAACCTGGTGTCCTGGTTTTTTGTGTGTTTTTGCAACATCCTACTTTCTGTAAATATGTATTTTGATTTGAAGAATCGAACTATTATATTTGATCAAACCTTTTATTGCAAAAACCGACATTTCAAACAGAGGGACCATTCTCTAATAGTATTCAAGGTTCAAGAATGTAATCTCTACCTGCAGAATTAAATGTTTCAAGCTTTTTGGGAGTGCAGTAGTTATGAGTCAGAAGCTCTATTGACAAAATTTTCCATTACAAATTTTTATGGTAATGATTTTAGGAGTCGTACATATGTTTATTATTTTTAGCAAATGCAATAACAAATCCTGTAGGGTCGAGTTTTGTAGTTTCACGATTATTGATTTATCTCTTTTGCTTGAGTTAAAAAGGGAACCATTTCAAATAAACACATCATATCATAGAATTTTTAACTGGTGAATTGAGAGATCACATCCACTAAACTATTTTCATACAAAAATGTTAAGATATTTAATCTGTTTTAATTTCGAAATTATTGTAACCCTACTTTCAAATTATTTAATAAAATCTTGCACACTGCTACAAATTTTAATTAAATATTGGTATGAGGAAATATTAACTATTACATACTGGTTATTATAGTGAATAATAAACTTTATTTAAGAAAATAAGACATTTTAAATGTGCGAGAAAAGAATAAAATAAAGGGCTTTAAAACTTAAGATAGCAAAGTCATATTTAATAATCTAGATAGTCATATTTAATAATCTTAGAATCAAGTCTGAATTCTAAAATTAAAATCTGTTGTTGTTCATTTAATTGTTTTCTTCAGTTGAATCATAATTTTCATGTTTAAGGTTTTGTGTGCATTTGAATGTGTTTTTTTCCATTAAATCACACTATGGTAAATACATTTGTTATACATTTTAACATGTATGAGATTGTCAAATCGTTGAGTGTTAGCAAAGTTTTATGGTAGAAATATGGCTTTTGTTAGTAGCTGTAGCTTTTAACATTGAACATTGCTTGTTTAATAGTAGAATTGAGTGGAATAGTATCTTTTAAAATTGACCTCAATATAATTTCATTTATATTCAGTAATTTGTTTTCATAAAGTGCATTTACTTGAAAAATGGACTTTATGAAAACAAATCTAATCTTTCGCATATCTAAATAATGTTTCTCAGTAAGTTCTGATATATATGTCATGTTCTGATGACACTTTAATTATTGTGTATTCACTGTATTTTGAGCATCAATTCTATAGTTGGACTAATATTTCAAAAAAGAGATATTATTCCTAAAAGTTAATTTTCTAATTTTTTTCTTTCAGAAAAACCTAGAAATATCAAAATTAATAATACTGGAATTGGGAAAAAGATTCAACTTGTGAAAAAACCCGTTAAGGGAGAGAATTCTTGTGAGAGCTCCAGAAAAAGTCCAGGTAATTGTACAGTTTATTGTATTTTACTTTGATTTTGTTTTCTCATGATTATTGAAATTGTTTTTATTTGACTTATTTTATTTCTACTATTGTTATTCTGAGTGTACCATCAAGAATTTGTGTTCTGACTGACAAAATTTCAAAGAATATAAGAATTTCCATAATTTATTATTTTTACATGGTATTTTATTTTCTGGATACTAATTAGAAATTAATCTAGTTTTTCATAATGTTTTTGTAGTTTCTAAAATGTTACTCTGCAGACACTGTCAAATGCTTTTTCAAAGTATATAAAATTTAGGTAGCAGTGTTGTATGCTGTCATTCAATTGATTGTTCAACTATTGTTCTTGAAGTGTCAATTTGGTGGATGCATGCATTGTTGATTCTAAAGTTAGCCTGTTTTTTTTTTGTAATATACCTGGCCACCCTGACCTGAAGTTCAGAAGTTTTTATTTGACTTTAAATAAATAAATTTTCATTACATGTTGCATTTAAATTATTTTTTAATACATTTATTATTTCTGCTAATTTATTTTTTTCTCAAATTTTGAAGTCATTTAAACTATAAGTAACTTAGTTTTCATGTAATAGATTTATCCATAGTAGACTTGCATGTAATATTTTTTGTCCAAAATGTTGACTTTGCTCCCTGTCTGCTGGACTGTATCTGATGTTTTTAAAATCTGATATTTTTATCTGATGTTTTCTATTTTTTTAAAAAAATAATATTTTTTATTTACAGCATCTTCATCATCTGGACCTCTTACAAAATCCTCGAATACCATCTCTAGCATTACCAATCCGCACACTGTCATCGTCACTCCAGTTGCCAAAGGCAGCTCTCCAAATTGCAGAGCTCTCATCCCTGCCAAAAGTACTGTCATGAAAAAACCGATTAAGGAAACTCTGAAAATTACTAATAAGGTAGCATTTTCAATATTAAGTTTGTAATTACCATTATTATTCATGTAGGCTATCAAGCTCCATGGTTGCTTTTACAGCATCTTAATTCTTCTTTTACTTAAAAAGTTGATGTTTCTTCAAAAATTAGTCAATAAATAAAAACAAGGATCATTTTGTTTATGAAATAGGTTTTATAATTTTATGTAAGAACATTTTGTTATATGTAATAAAATGGGAGATTATTTAGATTTAAAAAATAATCAACTTTACTTAGGGAAAAAAAATAAACTTAGGAGTGCAAATTAAAATTGTGTGACTCAATAAGGAGAAATAAATGAGAAATAATTTTACCCATTTATGATATGAAACAATAACCCTACATCATTATAACGTCATTATATATTTAAAAAAATACATATTTAAAATTTATTATGCAAAATCGACTTAACAATATAAAAAAGAAAAAGAATATTTTCCGTTGTGTTAAATATAACACAAATGTTTTGTTTATTTGTTAGTTCGAAAATTTGTAGTTTAAATTCCTTAAGCTTATGAATGCAACTTTAAATTCAGTTTAATAAATTATTACATAATTATTTTGTAAATTTAAATTTCTAATTATTCCATATATTTTAATTTCTCTCTTTAGCACATATGCTACTTTATTCAAGAATTCTGTAAAAATTTAAAAATTTTGTTGCCATGTTAAGAAAAATTGTTATCAGAATTTTTTAACACTATGCAAACCTTGCTTTCTAAATATTTTGCCAAAGTTATTGTAACAAAAAAAAAAGAAGAAAAAAACTATAATTTTGGGGAAATTAAAAAAAAAAAAAAAAAAAAAAAAAAAAAAAAAANAAAAAAAAAAAAAAACAGGTTCTGGAGAAATATTAGGTTTTGAGAAGTTTCTGCACTCTTACTAGTATGCATTTTACAGTTTATTTTACTTGAAAAATTTTGTGGTTTTACATTACTTTGGATTTTTGAAATATAAATATTTATGAAAATGTTCACGTTTTGAAAGAATAATGCAGTGGGCACATTTTCTTCCATTTGAAAATCTTTTTTAATGATTTTGAATCTTTGCAATGTGGTTTTGACTGTTCCTTGTTTATACTCTGAATCTCTCACATTTCTGGCCCTCAAAGTCATCACTGTGTTCAAAATGCCTGTGATTTATGAAGCAGTCAACAGTTTTTTTTCCACATCTAAATAATAAAAGAGCATTCATAATCTGTTATTCTTCTATTGTTTGGCCTAATTTTATCACTCTATTCTAATAGTTTGTCTAGTATTAACTGTTTGGCTAAACTTGTCTTCTACCCTTTAACAGCATTATGCAGAAAATTCGCATTGTGAAGCTCAAATAGTTTTAAAAATTGTGGAAAGTGTAACACTTTGCAAATCCCACAATCAATTAAATTTTTTTTTTCACAGTTTACTTGTTAATGAAACAAAAAAATAAAATAATAAACAAAAATGTTAAATAAATAGCACTTTTGCTTACCAGTTGCAGGTTGTTATTCAATGTATTATATTTTTTATAATGTGTAATATGTGAATTTCTGTTAGTTCATTTGATGTCCTTCATAATTTATTCAAAAAAGCATGTGTATTTACACAGGAGTATGGATTTTAAAAATTGACTTTTAACTTTTTGTAAATTAGAATGTGATCTTCCAGAAGTCCTCCACTGCACCAGCTCCATCATCTCATTCCATGGAAATTTTAGTAAAACATCCAAAAGCACCAGGTAATAAATCTGAATTCTTAAAAGCCCTTCGCAATGAGACAAAAGAACAGGAAGAAAGTGAAAGAGATTTTTCTGAGAAAAATGACATCATCAAAAATAATAATGTAAGTAGCGATTTAAATTACTACTCTTATAAATTTTTGTGAAGAATTTTTTACTGGGAGTAATTTTTTTTTCCACATATAAATTTTGATAGTGCAAACCCTGATTTAACCAGATCCAGGGTTTTATGTAATGGTTGGTAAATCATTTAAGGGACTATAGATTTCAACCAAAATAAAAATAATTAGGTTTAATTTTAAAAAGCTTATATAAAACTGTTATCAGCTTAAATTGATTTAAACGGAAATGTGTTCTTTAACTTCTTATTAAAATTGTCAGTAAGAAAGTATTTGATTGCTCGTGATAATTTTATTCTCTTTAAAGTGTTTTAAAACCTTTTTTAATTCAAATCAATCAACAACAAAAAATTAATAAGTAATACGGAGTTACATTGTGAAGTTCCTCATCTTCATGAGTTGTGAAAACAATTAAAGGTAACCTCTTATTAAGTATTTTCCAGTGCAATTTTGTTCATATAGCTTTTTAGATAACTTTGGTTATCTCCAGTTTGTAGAGCCCCTTGATTTAACAGGGGAATAACTTTGTTTCCATAAGCAAGTTCTATTATAATATTGGATTTCAAACTTAAGTAACCTTAATTAAAAGCTTTTGTTTTCAATTCACCTTGGCCTATTCGCATTGTTTGTCATATTTATATTTTGTTAATATATTTCTTTTGAGAATGCTAGCTTGTATGAATTTTTAACAAAAATAAATAGGGTTGTAAATAGAAACAGATGAAAATATTTTCTTTAACATAATTTGCAATTTGTGTATTAAGCTTTAGTTTTCTTTTGTCTGTAGTTTTCTTATTAAAAAGACCAAGATTCTGAGTATATTTCAGATGCATTTTTTTTCCTTCAAAATTTAATTTTAAATAAGGGCAAAAAATAATGAGTAATGCATATGAAAAATAACAGAAGAAAGATGAAAAATTTTTGGTCTTTTAATGACTAAAACATAACACACTTTGTAACTATAAAAATTTTTGACAAGCAATTATTTCATAACTATAATTTCAAGATTGAAATAAGTATATTGTAAAAATCAAAATTTTAGCAGTGTGTATGAGGACAAATTATTTATATGATTATGCAAATAATTCGTATTATTAATTGATTATTAGTTACATTAACATTGCATTTATTTATTGAAAATTAATTAGTGAGTAACTAGCAATTCAGGGTTGAAACAGCTGCTCAAAAATGCTCTGAACCGAAATTTCTGCTCAAAACTATTCCAAAATTTTACTTCTTCCAAAAATTGCTCAAAATCTCTGATATAATTCATTGAGCAAAAAACACAAATTTAGCCCCTAATTTTAAAATTCATAAGAAATTTTGAGGTTGTTTGTTTCATAGAGACATTTGAGAAATGAAATTTTCTCATTAGTAAATACAGTCAAACCCCGCTATAGTGAACACGGTTTATATTGAACTCCCGGATATAGTGAACGAACGTTCGGTCCCGTGCCTTGCTATACTCGGATAATGTTATTTTTTGTGGATATAGTGAACCAAAAAAAGTGAGGAAGTTGGATATAGTGAACTTTTTTCTGTCTTCGATTGATTTTTTTAAAATTTTTTTTTAAATAATTTTGAAATTTCTACTTCAAATTAAATACATATACCGATTTTCAAAACCATCTATAGAGGGGAATGTAGCAATAAGCATTTTTTCTTGTTTGCTTCTTTTATCTCACTTTCCCATCCCTAAACAAACCAAGCAGATGTTTCCAACCCAGGCAGACGATGCACCTGTAAGGTGTCAGTGGGATCAATATGCATTTTTTTCAGAAGGAATGAGTAATTATTCATTATTGGTCAAAGAGTTGGACACTAATATGTGTTGATAAGGCCATCATTTCAACTCCTTTTTGCTCTCAGTTCAGTTAAAATAAATCCTGCAAACAAGTGTCTCCAATTTAACTATGGCTAGCAGTAAACGTAAAACGTTCTCCATTGATGATAAAATGGGCATAATCAGAAAAATTGAAAATGCATGCAATCAAGCTGATATTTGCAGGGAATATAAACTATCCAAATCTGCAGTTTGTAACATATGGAAAAATAGGCAATTAATAATTTCTGCTCATGAAAAAAATTTAGATGGCAGAAAAAAGTTGAGAAAAGCAGATCACAAGGATGTTGAAGAAGCATTACTGAAGTGGTTCAGCATTCAAAGAAGCCGCAATCTTCCAGTATCTGGACAAATGTCGATGAATTTGCTAAGCGATTTTATGAGATTACTTTTATGTGCTCGAATGGCAGGTTAGACAGGTTTAAAAAGCGGAATAACAGAAATTCAGGAAAAATTATCTGAGAGTCGGGAAGTGTTTCCATATCTGATGTTGAGGATTGCTCATCAGCTAAAGATTACTAATTTTTTTGTACGCAAGATGAAGAGTAATGAAAAATAACACATTTTTTGCCGCTACATAATATTTTTCCGTCATTTATTTGAATAATGTGTAATAAAAGGGAGGAGTTAAGGAACCATTAGTTAAATAGACTGTGTAACGGATATAGTGAACTCCCGGTTATAGTGAACCGAAACTTCGGTCCCTTGAAGGTTCACTATAGCGGGGTTTGACTGTATTATATATATTAATAAATTATTTAATATTATAGCTACCTGAAAGGCATCAAATAATAACTAAGCTTTATTAATTGTGTTTGCATATAACTTTCAGATTTGTGTACGATTTTGTTTAGTACTGATTTAGTGATTTTTTTTTCACACTTTACGAAGAACAGGCATTCAACTAGTATGGTATAAAATATTGATTTATGAGCTGAAATATGTGCAACACTCTAATTTTACAAGTGCAATTCTGCTCTGAATATAAAAACTATTTGTTCCAATCTATTCTAAGAACTAAATTTATCTCTGCAAAAATTCATTTTTTTCTGTTCCAAAATGATTATGATGCTGTTCCATCTGGTGATGCCTTATAATAGTAATGTGTGTATGTTCTTTCCTTTAGGAATCTATGGAGAGCCCTTCCGAAGAACCACATGTAAATGGCATTGATATTTCTAAATTATCATTTAATGACAGTGATGATAGGGAAAAGAGTTTTCTATCCAGCTCTCTTGAAGCAGAAGAAAGGTAACATATAATTTTGCTTTTAAAGAATCTTTTAATTAAGGATGTAACGAATATTCAGCTATTTTTGGTATTTGGCCCTTTTGCCTAATCGATTAGCCGAATATTTGGCCCAATATTCGTCAAAATATTTTACGACAGTTTTTCGGAGTTTCAATTTATTTAATAAAGAGTAATCTAGAATGGTACTGTTTACTATACAGTATTAAAAATAGCTTTTACGCATATTTGTTAAGTTCTTAAACTTGCAAATTTATTTCCTGAAAGACAAATGAAAAAGCAAAATTTGAAGAATTGAAAGTAGATTACTTAATATTGAACCACAAGTTTCGTACAGCTGATTTATTTTTTTTCTCTTTTAAATAATATTCAGGCAAGTCAACTTTGTCAGTTTTTCAAAATTTTTTGTTTGTTTTAAATATTGAGAATACTTTTGTTTTATTTTTGTTGCTTTTATTATTGCTCAGCATTTTATTAGAATTTCTAAAAGACTTGATTCTTTTGCTGTTACTTTTTTCCTGTACGGTACTATAGGTAAACGATATCATAAACTGTTATTGAGATGAATTAAGATTTATTTTTCTGTTCTGTATATAATCTTTTTTTAATGGGCATTTTATGATAGCGGGACATTTTAAAATGAGTTTCTGATAGACTATATTTCTTAACATTTTATGGATCCTTTTTTTTTTCTTCGAGAAAATTCATTTTTAGCATTAAAGTTTTATTTTAAGAATTAAAAGGATTTTTTTTTTCAACTTTCAATTTAAGTTTTTTTTTTTTTCAATAGATGAAAATTTTCTCTTACGGCATCAAACTAATGTTTTGAGAATAAACTTCAAGAAACACCCTTTATGTTGATTAATGAAAATTGTTTTTGTTTATTATTGCTTTTTCTTTATTCAATTTATAACTACATTGTTAATCGTTAGAAAAATATTTATAATCATTGTCTCTCGTTAATAAATATTTTCGTATTAAGTAATGCTCTTGTTAAAATTTCTAATTGTTGCTTAGGTTGTTGCGTGAAATGGGATGGAAAGAGGAAGTGTCAGATGATGAAAATTATGCTCCTTTAACTGAAGATGAATTGCGTGAATTTCAAGAGTTTCGTGTTAGATCTGAAACAGAGAAGAAATCAGATGCAGAAAAGGTAAACATTTGTTTTCGTTGTTTAGGCATAACGTTTTACTTTGAGACTTAACTATGAAAAATGTATCTACTAATTCTGAATTAAAGAAAATCAAAATCTTTTCCTTTTAAATAGTTAATTTTTTTTCCTTTCCCCTATTTCTTAATACAGTATACGTGTTTGTTTACTTCTTTAAAAATGTTGATTTACTTGTTTCTGAAAAGTTTAATATAAATTCAATATCTTCTCATACTTAATAATTTAACTACAATAGAATGAGAAGTAGAATTTAAAGAAAAATCATTATGCAGAATCAAAAAAAGGTTTAAAAAAAATAATATTTTTTTAATTTAAATTTAAAATTTAGTTTGATTTATAATAAGGCTGAGTGCTTTAACTAAAATAAACGATGGAGATGTGCTTCATTACTTTTTGACATCTCCTTAATTTATATAGACTTGATGTTTTATTTATCTTTCAATAATTATTGAGGTTCAGTCAGTAAATGACTGGGATACCTGAAAGTGACATGGTGTGGGTACCTCGATCCTTATATGTTGTTGAAATGTGGTTTTGGTTAGCAACTGTTCTTTTGTTTCTATTCTGAGTAAGCCAAGTATCAATTCTCTTAAGTGATACATTCTACATTCTTTCGCAAAGATTTCAACTATTTCACTATATATTTCTTACTTAAAACAAAGACTGGCATGAGGCCACATACAACATAAACTAATTATGTATCGATGTTGCCAGGTACAAATAACAAAAATATATCACAGTTACAATAAAATACATAAATAATAAATTTAAGTTAAGTAAAAGACGTAGATGGGAAAGAATTATATTTCAATGAATTCGATGTGTGATATGGCACTGTATTTAATTAACTTCACATTAATTAACATTCTAGCTTATGTGAAGAAACTTAACTCAATTTTAACTTGCCATTTAGCTTATAAATGATCGGCTGATGTTATAGGACACGTGTGTGGATATCTGTGATCTTGAAGTGCAAATACCCAATTGCTAATTTCCTTAATATTTTAATGAATTGACATTGACTATATTATTTTGAAGAACTAATTTCAGCTGTCACAATAAAAAGAGTTGAGTAACTGCTACATAATATACACAGTTTCTTTCGTAACTTATTATGTTTTTATGCCCCCCCCCTTTTATTTTATTTGAGAAACTTGAGTGAAAGGGTTTTAAAAGGTAACTTTTCATTGTAAATTTTACTATTGTTTATGAGTTATTTAATGGAAGTTTTTTAATATTTTGTATTAAGTTATTTCAGTTACTGTCTTTTAAAAATAAAAACTGCATTTATAAAATCTTAATTATAGAAAATTATTTTATTAAAAATTTTTTACTATCACTGTTTTAATAATTATTCGATATCTGACCACCAGACAAATAATTTTCAATTATGTCAATGTTAAAAAAAATATTTTTGTAATAAGCTTAATGAATTTGTTATATTAAACTTAATGAATTTGTTCTTAAACTTTGTTTAAATCCTTTCTTGTGTGTTAAATCATGCAAGTCAAGATGCTAAAAAATTCCCACTTGTGTAGAGTTTTGTCCCATTAATTTAATTTTTGAAACAGTTTTCTGTAAAATGACATGATCAAATTATTATGTACAATGAAAATAAAAAAATTTCTAGGGCAATTTTTTTTTCTGCTTTTTTTTATTCAAATGAAAAATTACTCATGAAAAATAAAATTGTTCACAATGACTATTTTTAAATAATTTTGCTTTATTTTATTATAGCTTTTTATTAATAATATTTCTGGACTGTGAAAAAATATATCTTAATCAGTTAGGCATATAAAGCAACAGTGACTTCACATTGTCTAATATCTTTTTTTACAAATTTGATAGCTTCAAAATGCTTTAGTGCTTATGATTTTTGTCATTGAGTACATGGTTTCACTATTAATATGACTTAAACCCGGATAAATCTGAGAATGTATTTTAACTTTCTCTGTATATGTGTAGCTTGTTATTTAGTGAAGAACGCATGTTTTGGTTGCTCTTGGAATACTTGTATATTTTAGTTTAGCTTGCTATTAATGCTGCTACTTTTTTTTATTTTTTTGAATAAATGCTTATAAATATGTTCATCTAGTGTACATTTGATTTATATGCATTTCAATCATACATGGAAATCACATTTGAAACAAGTAATTTTCCTGCATATAAAATGATAAATGTTAGGTTTTTTTTCTCGAAAATTTTATTCTAACATAAACTATAAAATGATTAATTAAAAAGATTATTGGCTGATCTTGTTGTTAAAACGTATATCTCTCCTGCATTAATTATGAAGCATAATTAAAACTGAAATATAATTCTAATTAATTATTGAATCTGCGTAAATTAATAAGCTTATTTAAAACAATAATATACAATAATTTATTAGTTGATATGAATTGTTCGCTTTTAATCTTTCGTTTTTGACCAACTTATAGCTCGTTTTTTTTTCCTTCAGCTTTTTGTTTATGTTTAGAAGAAAAAATTATATCAGAAATTTATTAACATGTACATTTATGATTTCATGGCAATGATTGCTCACTTGTTTGATATTTTATTACCAATGAAAATAAGAAATCTTTTTTTTTATAGACACATTAGTATTTTATTTAATATAATCATTGTAATTCAATGCAGTCTTTCTAAAAAAAAATTTCTTTTCAGGTTATAAATAAAAATGGTATTCGTCGTCCTCTTCTTGCTAACTTGAGCCCTCTCCGCCTTGCACCATTTCCAAGTGTGGCCCCACCGACAGAAAATACTTCTAGCTCTTCAGATTCAGAGGATGATTCTTAAAACACCCTAATAATAAACACATTGTAGCTGCGTTTAAATGGTCACTTAACAGAAATATTAGCCTTCTTTTTATTTTCTCTTTAAATCTCTAAATGTGTGTAAATTTTATCTTTTTTCTTATTGAATGTCAAAATATTTTGAATATGTTCCTTAACTATTTTATCTATCTCATTTTATTGTAACGGTCATGTGTTGGAATGAAATACTTCATTGCTAGATTCCACAAAGTAAAATTCCATAAAAATGTAAATTTGAATATTTTTGCTAGATTTCTCATGAATTGAAATTTCATAAAAGTTCTCTTCTAGAATTACACATGGCTTGTGCTGACTCTGTTTGCATTATATGCTACGACTGAAAGTTATAATATTTCAAAACATAATCTTTCAATAAAGATAATGTTAAATTTTTTTTCTGCTTAAAACACTTTTGAAAAGTGCAATTTTGCTTTTTGGCATTAAATTAAAACAACATGCATTTATTAATATATTTTTTTTTTACACTGTGCCAAAAAAAAAAAGGAAATTAAAGCTGAGCAATTATTTAAATCAAAAGCAATATGATAAATTAATATAGTTTTCATTCCAATCTTGACAAAAGGAGAAAAAAAATGTGTATTTTAGGAAGTATATATTTTTTTAAACGGATTATCTGATCGATATCTAAGATTGTGTTTGCTATGCCCTTTTTGAAGTGTTTCAATGCCTTATTTGAATTTTTTTCTTTTATATTTTTCCAATGATTTTGACAATGCTGTGTGGTGACTTGCTAGAGACTGAACTATGCACAAAAGTGTGGTTAATTTATGTATATATTATATAAAAAATTACATTCTCCTATAAGGCTGATGTGTCATCAAAAATTAGAGATGAGTTTCCAAAGATTCAGCCAATCTATGCAAAAGACAATATTATAAAAAATCCTGTCTAGCAGGTGTGAACTTTGTGCTAAGGAGTAAAAATTTAAAGATTGTACAGAAGTGTTTTTCTTTAAAATGTGAAAAAAAATAAAGCCTTTCCTATATGCTTGAAATGGCTCATAGCCTTTGTTGATAATTGAATAAAGCACGATTTTGCTACTGAATTTTGTTGTTTCTTTTATATCATGTGAAATATGTTTTTTATTACGCTTCATGTTTAAGCTTACGAATTTTAATTACCTCAAATGGTGTTAGATATATAAAAAATCTAAGTTGGTATTCAAAAGTTATAATTGCTCTACTTTCGGGCACTTGGAAGATCTCAATTAAATAGATCACAGTATACTCTTGATATCTCGAAAACCTTGTTTTGTCAAAAAAAACATTTTTCTGCTTGGCATTATATATACATCTAATGTTAATTTGAATTCCTATGTCGAAGAGTTTCTTCTCAAAACTTTAAAGTAAAATTAAACTTCTCAAAACTTTAAAGTGCTTTATAGTCTCTTTCGGAGGCTATTAATTTTGGATCAAATATGAATATATATTAGATCGTGTATTATTTTCGCCATCATCCCAGCCCGCTATAGGGAGTGCTCCCTTCAGCTAAATTTATGATCCTGTTCTGTGGTTGCTTGTGTCCGAATGATGAAACTCTCGAAAAATTAGTTACATATTTTAGATGTGTTATTCTGTTTTGTCACAAATTTTCAGTGGTATACTTAATCAAGTATTTAGCTATAAGCCTTTATATATTACGTTATCTATGTGCAAGAACTACATAAGTTTACCCCTCTGAATTCCCTGAATGATTGAATTATGTATGCAATCAAACAGTCGCGAACCTCTATCTCGAAAAGAAAAATCGCTTTCTCTACCATGCATTTGCATTTAGAGTTCTGTAATTATCTATAATTATAAAAAATCGAACGTGATAATTGAAGGCCATTAACCGGATCATAAATTAAAATATTTAAAAGTTTAATTTACTTCTTCATTTTTACCCGTTAATAAATAAGTTTAAATTAGTACATTTAACCTGATTTTTTTTTAAATAACATCTATATGTTTAATAAAATCAAATCGCTATGGTTTAAATTTTAAAGAAATTACTTCAGAATGATTAAGTATATCGAAAGAAGGAAATGATGGTTTGGGGTCACAACATAGACGTCTTCCCAGAGTCAGAATACTAGATGCTCTTTTATATAAAAATTAACTTCGAGTCCCCTTATTAAAATTATCTAACTCAAAATTTAAAAAATGCCCAAATATTTTTTTATTTCATCTGTCTCAAAACAATAAGGCTTCAAAAGTTATAATTTTATGTCGATTACATCGAAAAACCATCAATATAAGCTATTTAATAACTTCATAACTACATCGAAATTTAAGCAAAGTGAGACGGGGCAAACAAGTTGATGGTACTTGGTACAGACGTTCAAACTCAGAACTCTATCGGGCTTTTAGAGAGCCTGATGTTGTCAAGTATGTAAAAATCCAAAGAATTAAATGGGCTGGTCACATCGAATGAACAGAGAGCGTTTGACAAACATAATTTTTTCGGCTCAGCCCATCGAATCAAGGCCCAGAGGTCGACCAAAGCTGAGATGGGCCGACTGCGTGGAAAGAGACTTTTCAGTCTTAAAAGTCTCAAACTGGAAGACAACTGGCAGGCCTGGAGGAAGTTGATTGAGAAGGCCAGGGCCCTCCCGGGGCTGTCGTGCCATTGAGGAAGGAAGGAAGGAGACTCGTTAGACTCATTTTCAAATACATGGGTAAGCAGCAGTAAAAAAATAGATCAGAACCAATGCCAATGGTTTTTGCTAAACTGAACTACGCGATACAAAAAAAAAATCTTTAACTTTGAAATAAAATAAATTAAAAACTAATGGCCGCATCATTTATTATTATAACAGAATATTCTTTAAACATTTTTCTAATATAGTGCATAATTTCATTTCGTTTCAAATAGTTGTGGCAGTAAGAAGCACGCTTGGTGAAAATTTCCTAAGCTTTTGCATTTTTTTTCTTCCAAAAAAGAAAGTGTTACCTAAAGAAGATATCCTGAAGTGTCAAACATTTTAAACTATTTACGACAGCTTGATTCATAAAAAAACTGGCTCTTAATATTAATAAGTGAACGACTTAACTGCTGAGTACATATTTTTAGTATTAAAAACTTTGCAGATTTAATTACAGTAGAAGGATAAAATATTTCTAAAATTTTTGAATGCACCTCTAAGTACAAGAACTTTTATACCCCAGATTTGTTAAATGCATAATGGCAACTTGATGAATAACCTCCTAGTGTCGGATAATAAGTTTTAGTGTTGTGTAGTAAGTTATACTCGCATATTGAAATGTTGACGATAAACTACCATTTTTTTAAGATTTTTATTTTCATTTAACCTTACTGCTCTAAAGCAATTTTATTTAACAACAGAGACAAAATTCTTTAAAAAAAGATACTCGAATATTTTCCAATTTTGGGCCTTATCCAAACATCAATATTTTGTGTAGAAAAAGTTTCCAGCTATGGGCCCAAAAAGATCGAGGCTTTTGGCAAAATCATTGACACTGAATCTAGAACGTTTCTTCATGTCCATATAGGATGGGCTAAATATATATGAGCGTTGTTGATATACGATTAAAATATATCGATGAGGATCTGAAAGAGAATATAAGTGTTAAATAGTAGCGTAAAGAGAAAAAAAAACTACACATAAAACATTTATTAATTTTAAAATACTTATAAAATAATACCTTTGATTTGAACAACTTATTTCATTTAGGATTAAAAATAAAGTTTTTAAGGTTCATTTAAATTATAGATAGTAAACATTCCTTTAGATAGGTATGTCTGAGCTTGAATTCGTACAAAAATTAAGATAATTTAATTCGTGCTACAGTGCCGGCCTGTAAGGAAAAAAAATCGTTACACATGTTATTTGTATTAACTTTGTAAAGATTTTTACTTGGTCACTGTACTCATGATCACTGTATTATAACCCTTTGAATCAGAATATTTATAAAACATATTTTTCATACTTTTTTTAAATTGTTTTATATTAATTTTGGTAAAAAGAAGTAAAAATATTATATTTAGCAGTTTAATAATTTTTGGTTATAAAATACTGCATGTAACACCGTTGTATTTTGTCTGCATTAAGGATAAAATCTTCAAAACAATAATATTCAAATTAGTACTTATTTGCACTTGTTTAGATCTAAGAGAAACATTTATTACTCATTGAAATTTCGTTAATTCATGAAATTAATTATTGATACATTTTTGAATATGAATGAAAATAAATTTTCAAACTATTTTTTTTATCTATATATTTTAGTACTAATGTCATTCTGATAATCTAACAGACTTTTTTTAATAACTAACAGACTGTTTTCTCCTAATTAAAAAATATCAAAATGTATTTTTCTTGTAATTAGTGAGTCCGAAAAAAAATACATAAAAGGGACATGGTGTCCCATCTGCGTCAAAGTGTTATGCCAGTGGTCGGAAAAACTACATTTTCTTTGTAGTTAACTATAATTACAACTACTTTATTACAATTGTAGTTAACTACAACTACTTTTTTTTAATGTAGCGACTGAAAACTGCTTTCGAAATGTAGTCACTATTTCGTTGTTTTTAGAAGACAAACTTAACTGGAGATTATTTTCACCAATATTCAAAATGATTTTGAATAAAAAATTAGCTTGATTAAATAGGAGATATTAAGAAGTTTCATGTTTACATGAAATAGTTTTTTATTCTAAAGCACTTTTTACGAATTTGTTATTTAAACTTTCAAACTCTATGCTTTTCTCTACAATGATTTAAGAAATAGTAGGAATTTATCAAATATTTGTGATTTAAGTGATCAATGCTTTTTCATATACTCTACGAAATCAAGTACAGTGCGATGAATAAAAAACTGATTACTCCGAATAATAACTTCCGATAACTTTTGATCTAATGATCGGATCTTCAAGTTCTAGGACTCAATCTCAATGGTTTGAGGGGGTGACAGCAAATATGCTAATTAATTAATTCAAATGATATTTTAAATTACGAAATCAGAACGTACATGGACATCAGATATCACAATGCAGTTTATAGCTCTTGTGAAATCGAATTTTAAAAAAGTCAGAAAAATTCGATTTCTCAGGAACAACTTGACCGATTTTTCCGATCATCAGACGTAGATCTAATTAACGCTCTTCCGCAAAAGAGAAGCATTTTGATTGAGTACTTTGACGGGCCCGCGAAGGATTTGCATCAATCAAATTAGAAAACATTTTTTGCGTTTGAACTTTATTTAACTAACGTTAAAAGTAGTTGCCAGGAATCGCTACAAATTACTATTTTTTTCTTTTGTATCACACTCCTCGAATTTTGTACTATACTACTTCTTTTAAAAAATAGCTCACTACGCTACAAACTACGAAAAAAGTAGCTACTACGGAAGTTTCGCTACTTGTAGCGCACTACTTCCGACCACTGGGTTAAGCATAAGTTCGACTACCGAGGTACAATTATTAAGCATGTGGAATTTTATCAATATTTTTAATACTAAGCAAAAACATTAAAATTTTTTCGAAGTGAAAAGGTAAAAAAATTACCAGAATAAGGTGGAGGACTCGGCTTCATGTATTTAGTTAAAACCTTTCCTTCTTCTACTTTATTGCCTGGGATGTTGACGACTAACCAGTGAAGAAACTGTGCATACACTGGTTTGTATGGATCTGGAGCATCTGGATCTATAAATAAAATAAGATACTGCTTGTGCGAAGAGTTTGAAAGTTACATATAATAAAACACTATCACTCCCCAAAGAAGCTTAGAAAACTATGCCTGTTATTTTTTTAAAGTATCTAAAATGCAAATAATTAGTTCATAATCATCCTTTAAGAAGCATCAGAAGTTTGCTATTTGAACAAGTAAGATTTTATTTTCGACGTACTTATGTTTTCGCTAAATCGAGTAAACCAAATCAAATTTCACGGGACCAATAATTTAAAAACTATTACATTTTCGTATTAAAACAGCGCAAATTTTGAGTTACACTTGTTTACTTGTATACTTGTTACAAGGCAAGTGAGGTTTAGCATTGTTTTCTCCGTATTTTTTTAAACAATGAATCTAATGAAACCAAAACGAAGTCTAATACTTCAAAAATTATAAAAGTTTTATGTATAAAAATACAGTTTTAAAATAAAACCTTTTTACACGCTTGGAATTGCAGTGTAGATAAACAAAGTATTAGATCTTATGTATTTTTTAAGCCGTACTAAATAAGACCAAGTTTAGTCAGAAAGACTCATATTTAAGAAATTATGAAGTCTTGATAAAAATCATAGTTTTTGACTAAAACCTTTTTATGCTAAAAATCTCAACCTTAAAACTGATTGTTCAACGTCTAAAATTTGATTTCATTGGAGTTCGCGTAAAAAAAAAAAATAAAAAAAAAACATGTCCTGATTTTGTCTAGTCAGAATCCTTATAACATCAAAACTATTAGTTCCATCTTGCTCAAATCATTTCACTCTAATCATCCATTCCACCAATCAATTATTTTATTCTTGCGCTGCAACATATTAGTTACTAAATGTTGTGGTGGCAATCGAAAATTGGAACTCAGAAAACTTGAAAAAAAAAAAAATCACAAAAGGGGAAAACTTGATCGGCCTTCTTCGCCATCTCTTGGCAAGTTTATATAATAATGGCTTCCCCGGAATAGTACAACGTAATATTCCATTCGAGTTTGCCCCTTCCGGAAAGTGTTTCTTAGTTCGTTTTCTATATACTTTCTCCGTGGCCTTTTCCATTTATAACCAAAACTTGGCAACCAATTTGGTGCAGGATCCAAACGGATTTTATCTAGTAACCGGTTAGTGGATTATGAATTTCCTCAACAAGGCGATGTGAGCTAGGAGGATCATAGAGCTTAAGACTCCACAATTTCGTGGCCAACGGCATGACTGTGGTAATGTGGTCAGCATTGCTTACCGACAGCCTTTACTTTCAAGATAAATTAGTACCCACCCATCTGAAGGTGGGTTGGTTTCAAGTCGCCACCAGAGACAGAATCTCAGTTCCTTCGCAACGACACCTCAATGTCTTAACCAGGGCCGGATTTACGTATAAGCTAAATAAGCTGTAGCTTGGGGCCCCGAGATGGCAAGGGCCTCCAGATTCAACTTTTTCCTTTTTTTTTTTTTTAAAGTTTTATTAGGAGCTGGAGCCCTCTGAAGCCTAAAATACATTTTCTTTTCTTTATTATATTGGCGAACGCTTTTCAAAATCTAATAGAAGTGTTTACAAGTATAAAATAATTGTTACTTTTTTAACCAAAAGAGCAATAAAAAGGCCTTTTGACTGATGAAAATATCCTGTAGCTTTCGTAGCTACCAGTGATGGGAGTAGTCCATGGATCCTTAAAAGCGGTACTCCATGAAGTAGTCAAATAGCCGCCTCAATTTACACTGTGGGAGAGCTTCTAAGTTTTCAGCTTCTTTAAATTGCTGTGGGCTCTTTTGTCCTAGAAAATTTCTAGGGCTGTGGGAGAATCTTGTTTAGGGTCACTCTGTTTCGAGATTTCCGTTGTGTCTCATTGTCGTTAAGGAGCTTCTCGTTTAATTTTAGCTTTTCTTTTTTGCAAAATATATGTTTTCCAATTTATTACAAAAACTTTTTTTCCTTTTAATTATCCTAAATGTTTTAATTAGCTTAATTGTTTAATTTACTTAATTATTGTAATTGATTTTAATTTGTTATTTTCCAAATTAATTGTGCATGAATCCGTGAACTCCTTTCTTTATTTATTTAAATGGTGGGCCCCCATTCAATTCCCTCTTTGACAGGCGCATCTGCCAAAATTCTTGATTTGGTTTATTTTGGATGAAATTGAGACAACAGATGTGGTAATTTCATTTACTGCTAATAGACAGAAGCAACATGTGATATTGCTTGATAGAGCATTGAAATCAAGTGATCATCAGCTAAAAAAATGTTTAAATATATATGTAAAAAATATTGTTCAAACCTCCTGTCTGACCAAATTTTCCATGTATCCCCGAAATATGAATTATGTTTAATTTGTAAAATATGATATTTCGTACACAAAATTCATTTATTTAGTTAGCTTATGCTTTTATTGCTTATTGATCATACTTGTTTGTATTTTTAACTCCCTGATTTTTGTTGTTATTTTGTGCTTAAAGTTAATAGGGCATCCAAATTTTTAATTTATAAGGATTTCAAATTTTCAAAGTCGAAATAACTTCTTAAAATTGCAAATTGAACCAATTATAAAATTTTGGCAGATTTGTTTTTATTTTAAATCTGTGCATTTAATTTAATAAAATAAAAACAAATAAAAAATACGTTTAAAAAATATAAATAAATGGCTAGATAAAATATAAAACTGTGTTGTCAATGAAAAGGAACATATCTTTTAAACAATTTGAGTATTAATAAATTATTTAAAAATTAACAATTTTGGAAGGTAGAAAAGTTTTTTGATTTGTTTAAAAGGCAAATTTTGTCTCATCATTTGATCAAGAGATTATTTAATATCAGTTTCTAAGAAGCAGTAGGTCGCGTGTGGGTGTGTGGATGATGTAAGTAAAAGAGGTATACAAAGAAAGCCAATTTAACTTCAGTTAATGCCCTCGATATTATATTTTTAAACTCCTCGCAAAAATGTAGTAAAAAAGTTATACAAATTAATTGTCGCAAACAAATTAATATTAAGTAAGAACGAATCAAAAATGATATCGAAATATGCTGAATCACTAATGAGACAGGCGGGATGAAAGACATCGAAACCAATTTGATTAAATAGTAAAACTGGAAAGTGTTTCAAAAATCCGGACATGCATCAGGCTTCAATATTTTTTTTACTGCCACAAAATTTATCAGGGACAATTTGTTAGATTTTAATACGGGTTTTTCTTTAATTAAATACTAACTAACATTTGTCTTTCCAAGATTTTCATTCTGTAATAACGAATGTCAAGCACTTAAAGTATCCAGTTCAAGAATGTCAAGTATCCAAATAACTTCATTTATTAAATTTTAAAAAATAATAATAATAAATAAATATCCGCAAGGCAGGTGTGTATATTTGGGGCTGATGATTATGAAATCTAACACAAAACTGTGAGATCGCGGGTTCTATTCCAGCTGATGACAGTTTTTAATTATTATTTCTTAATACTGAAAAATGTATTTCTTATTTTTTTTAAAGTGTGCATGTTAAAAATTAATAATCTAACAAGTATTTAAAAAACTAGAAAGCTACACCCCCTGTTCATTTTGCGCACTAACCCTCATGGTTGCTTCTGATTAATCATTGCAGATTAAGAGGAAAAACGATTTATTTCCATCTTTTTTATTCTACAAAAATTACGATTGAATTTCTATTTACATTTTGAAAATGACTAAAATTTGGCAAATCAATAAAATTGGTACCTCCTTCAGAGTTATTACCCAGTGAAGATGGACTCAAGGGCACTGAGTTCGAATCCCAGTGTTGGCTGGTCGATCCAAATTCTACACCCGGCTTACACCAGCCACTGTGCCGAAGTAAAATATCCTCAGTGGTAGATGGATCATAGGTCCCCTTGTTGTCAGACTGACAGTGGAAAGCTTTTGTGGTTTTCCTCATCATGTAACTTAAATGCTGGTCAGTTTCATCAAAACGTCCCCCTCCAAGACGAAAATTTCTTCTAATACTTGATCCTGGAGTTCCCTTGTGTTCTGAATTGAGTTTAAAATTAGAAGTCTAATAAGTTGAACATTAGTAGTCGTAAACTCGAAATTGGGTTAGCTGTTCAATGACTATTATAAAATAAACTAATAATTTGGCCGGGATAGCCTGGTTGGCAGGGCGTTGATTTCGAATTCAGCCGGCCGAAGAATACCCATGTATAAAATAGTGACTGGTGCATGTTAAATCTGCCGTGGTCACAAAGTCCTCTAAGTTCTCACAACAAATCAATACCTCTGGGTACTGATCCAATTCTCTTCTCTTCTGGATTGAGTTCAAAATTATAAGGTGATTATTCAATATTATACGGAGTTAAACATTTGTAATCGTAAACTCAAATTAAGTCGGTTGTTCAACGGCGGTTATTAAAAAAAATAAAACTAATAATCAAATTGTATTTTCTTGTGTTCTTTCTAACTCCTTGCTTTTTTTTGACACACCTTCATAATTTCATGTTTCTAAGTCATAGAGCAGCAAAGCGAAATGTAACGTTTAAAAAAGAAACAATTTAGAAAAAAAGAATTCGAAAAAAAAAAAAAATCATTTAAAATTCCAAATAACATAGATTCAGAATTTCAAGGGAAAAAAACTCTGTTAAACATATAATGGTTCTTCTGACATACCAAATCTTTACTCTGTGCTTATGATGTTCTTAAAAATATGTGTAATAAATATGTGTTCCTCGTTCAAAAAATATGTGTAATAATAGAAAGGCTCTATATTATAGTCCCATCACAATCAATATATTTAACAATCAAGCAATATTATCAAATTTTTAATAATATAATGTTAATATTCAGCAATAAAAAATACGACAGTTTACTTCAGGTGTATGGAAATAGAATTGAACTTAAAAGGCCCCCTCATTTTCAGTAGCATAGGGCCCCGCCAAGCTTAAATCCGGCCCTGGTCTTAACGACTGTGCTGTTAGACATTGGGGTTCATTTTTTATTAAATGGCTGTAATCACTTAAAGATAAAAATGCATGATTCATTGCTTTCTCACTTTCCACATAGCATTTAATGACTTAATGATTCCTTCTTAAAGTGTTTGCTAAGTTATAAGACGAAAACATTTTTACATTTAGAAATGTTGCTACTTTATGCGCGACAATAGTGATCTTTTCTCACTGTTTGAGTGCACTTGCTCTCAAATTTTGAACTATGTTAAATCTTACCAATCATAACAATGGTATAAAATAAATTGTTCTTCGCAGTATAAGTTAAGCCGGGAGAGTATTCTGTTTCAATCCGGTCGATATTTTCAGCGCAGCTTACATTGTGAGGGCCATACATTACCTACAAAACAATAAAACAAGCAGTTATTTTATTGAAAGAAAACGATTCAATCGTAATTAAATTAATTTGTACTTTTATAAATATTTTTGTTTATCTTAATCCGCATGTAAGTGTATGGAAAGGGGAAAGAGAAATTATTAGATGAAAATAAGATATAGGTAGTAACAAACACTTTTCAGGAACACCTTACATCTGATGCAAAAATGCTTAATGGTTTGTATTTTTTTTCCCTTTCTATCTTAACAACACCAATAATGTACCATTTGCCGAGGAGATTGTTACATTAGTAATTAAAGTTCTGGAAAACAAGTAAACATGTAGTAAATAATTAATGCATAGTGGTTTATCCACAGAGCTTTGTTTCCAGAACTTGTGTACAATTTTTTTGGCGTAAGTGCTTTTAAAAAGTTTCTTTTTTCTTTTGATAAATGTTACAAAAACCGTATTTGTATATTTATTCTTGATAAGGTGAAATCTATTTACTTGTTAAAACATTTATATCATGTTGAATTTATTTATCAAGACCCAAGTTGCGAATTATATTTTAATTTGACCATATTTGAAATATTGTCTCTGCTTTAGTTTCGTTGATAAGTTGATTTTATGTTAAATTTAACCACTTTTATTTAAATAGCACTGTTTTCATTCGAGTCCATTGAAAAAAAAAGTAATATGTTGGAGTAAATCAAATGTAATAAAGCTTGGAAAACTGCTTATCAGACTTAACACTTATTTGATCGCCAAACATCAATAGTACATCTGAATTTACTGAATGGGTTTATTAAAAGTAGTGCCGGAATTAGAAGACAATATCGAAGAGAGAAAGAAATAACATGAAAATAAGCCTAAATGCCAAATGCTATGAAAACATTGAATACAAATTCAAATTTCATTATTTACAGAGTTATATTATTTAACAATTCTTCAGATTTATCAAGCATATATCAGTTCATAATTAATTATAAATAGTCTTAATTATTAAATTACCTTAAATAAGCAAGAAGTTTAATTGTAAAGCAGAATCTTACTTGCAATTGCTCCTTTGGAACATCAGGTATGATATTTGGCACGATCTTATCCTGTCTAAATTTGTTGAAATCACATTGTTCTCCTTTAACATTTAATGTTATTAAAAAATTTACAAAATAGGTTAACAATATTTTTTCTTTGTGAGCCATTTGGAAGCAAATGGATTTATAGAAACAACAACGATCAAGTTTATCCTAAGTTAAAAACTCTCTCACAACGCTAAACATCTACTTGTGAGATTTTTCAGGAGTTTTCAATCGTTTTTGCTAATCAAGACAGATCTAGATCACAATTTTAACTCAGACAAACAGTGACAGTTAAGATCAAATTAGCAAAATAATTTTAAATTTTATTTTCAATTCCATTTTAAAAATTATTTCTTTTAATTATATAATTCTTTTAATTATATAATTCTTTTAATTACATAATTCCTTTAATTATATATTTCTATTAATTATATATCACATATGATATTATTATCATGTATTATGTATCAATTAGCAAAACTCTCTTTACCATAGAGGAGAAATATAAATAGAACGGGGACATCACGATAATTTTCGTACTCAGGATGAAACCACATGAGTGGAGGGCCGATAAAGAGAGAAATTTTCTACCACCCGTTTCTCCTTGTCCTTGCAATGGAAGAAAATCGATGCGGGAATTTTAATGTTAAAAATCTTAAAATAAGGTGGTTTACTGTACGGCATTTAGTTGTACAGAAAAATTTGTCGAAGAAGGATCTTTTACATTTCATAGGTAAGGATATTTATTTATTTTTGAAATTACATTTGTTTTATTTATTATATAAATGAACTTTTAGCAAGTGCATCTTTTCCTTAAAACTTCATGTAAATCCCGATTATAGCATTTTATTCATTCTAAACTCGGAATTTCTGCTTTTAAAACTATTTAACAAGTAAATATAGACAGATAAGAACACAACTTAATCATAAAATAATAAGTACACAGAATTATTCATTATTAATACATAATTTTTCGAACTAAAATGTAGCAGGCGAAGTTTCAGAGACACTGTTTCTTTGCCTTTTCGTTTATTTACGTTGTATTTTTTACTCTCTGTAATGCTTTTAAAAGAATAAAATCTTAAACATTTTTTTTTAATTTTGCATTTAAAATGCATTTGCTCACAGCGAAAATGGGTTAAGAAAGATTATAACAAAAGTGTTTGATAAATAGGGCAAAGTTTTTTTTTTTAACACTTAATGAATTCTGTGAAGAAATCCTCAGATCTTTTAAAATTGAAATCGTCTGCTCTTTTTTAAACGTTAAAAATCTGGTTATGTTTATACAAGAAAAAAATTGAGAATACAAGCAGCGGTAGTGAAGCTGGTTAATCGATTAATTAATCGGAAAGTTTAAAAGTGAGTAACAGCTTATTTAAGAAACGTTTAAAAGTGATGCACTTCTTTTTTATTCCCAATTTTAATTTTATTTTTCAACTCCTTGGCATAAAGTTATTCGTTGTAAAAAGTTTTAAAAAATTCCAAATGCTAGAAAAGATATCCGTGATTTTACAAAATACAACACTGTTGTAAAATATATGATAGATTTAAATTTAAGCTGTATTCAGATCAATTCACTTTTTTCTGATGCTTAATTTATTTTATTTATTTATTTAATTTATTTATTTTACTTATTTATTTTATTTATTTATTTCATTTATTTATTTTATTTACTTATTTTATTTGTTTATTTCATTTATTTATTTATTTATATTTGCTTTTATTTCCCGGGCTGTTCTTCACGTCCTTTTTTCTTTTACCTGTGAGAATACCAATTCTCAAACATGACGAAAACTGTTTTTAATAAATTAAACTTTTTTTAGTACCCTTTCCGCAGAACATCTTGTAACAGTTAATGTTGTTAATCTATATATATATTTCTCTTACACGGCGACAAAAAAGCCTCATTACAACTCCCCGAGTGGCAACACTAGAAAATCGACCAATGATTGCCGCTAAAAATGTCACATGCCAAATCTAGCTGAGGTGGCTCAACATATAGCACTTTTAAAAACGGAAACTGAAATAACCAGAGAGCATTCTCACCAAATGTGATCTCTTCCGAAATTCACCCTATCAGCTGCGGCAATCTCATACTATTAAGCTAGGAAGAAGTGAGTAGTCTTTGTCGATAGATCTCTATTTTAGTATTTTGTGGAAAACGCTTTTTTTTTCACGAATTTATGTATTACGAATTTATTTGAAGATTTTTGATTTATATCACGAATTTATTTGTTTTATTATTATTAGTTATTCATTGAAAAATGAATCTCATTCAATGAGTCTTTATTTGAATTCAAATTTATTTTATTGACTTAGTATTTACTAAAAAGATGTAATTTAAAAAAAAGAAAAAGTTTTTTTTATGGATTTGAATAATTGTTTTGAATTCTTAGAATTTTGTGCATTTGCAATGTACCTAAGTTAGTAGCGAGCGAAGCAAACCATATAAGATTGCGTAGCAATTTTCGGGGGTTGGCGAGAGTTAGCGATCAGGTGGCGCAGCCCACTAGTAGTTCATAATTGTTGATAGTCGGTAAACAAAGGATTTGGTTGATTAAGCGAAGGGGTTACGTATAACTTTTTCAAAATTCACAGATCAATCTGTTTTGCTTCTAACTCTCTCTCTCTCTTCAGTATATTCGGGAAAATATTTTTCTTCTGTCCTATTAAGATCCCTCTTTCCGTCATCAATTTGGGCATTACATTCCGATTCTTAGAAAACTGGTACCAAGGAATTTAAAATTCTTTTACCAAAGTTAAAGAGTTTATCTACTAATGAACTCAAATATATATATCAGGTTCATCTTCCTGGAAAGGACGTTTGTTAACACTCTTGTCACAAAAAATAAAGATTTGTTGCGTAAAAACTCCAACATCTTTTCTGGGTATAATAAAGATTTATTAAAAATTATCAAAATAATAACTCCTCCTCCCCTTTCCCCCCAAAAAAAATATTTTAAAGGTTTTAAAAAAAGTTTTTCTTAAAAAGATTTTTTTAGAAGGTTTTAAAAAAGTTTTTTTTAAAAGATTTGAAAAAAAGGTTAAATGTTAAAAAAATTAATGCTCTCCCCCCGAAAAAAAATAATTAAAACTAATGTCTTAGTTCAACAAATCCACTGGTTATAAATGTAATTTTTTAGTTGTAATTTTGAGTTGAAATTGTAATGAACTTGGTAAAAAAAATAATCCCCACTGAAAATAATAAAAAAATTAAAGAAAAAAATATTATATTAAGTAAGCTTCACTAAAATTATTTTTAAACCTCACCAACCACCCCTAAAATTTCCATTTCTCTTCAAACTAAACCACTGGCTGTAAATTTGCTTCACTTATTTCTTATATTGTGAAGTTACATACTGATGATATACTAAATTTTCCAGGAAAAATATCTCCTATTAAAAAGATTTTAAAAGTTACCTTCCTTCCAAATATTAAAATACGCTCCCTTAAATGATTGAAGATATTACTTATATCAAATTTTCACTTTTAAAGACGCACATTTATATGAAGGCATTAAAAAAAATATCTCTCCTTGGAAGAGCTATGATAACTTGCCCTCCTGTTGTAGGGAACTGAATCTGTGAAGCCAAATCTGCGTCAATAGAGATTAAAAGCTTTGGGGACTTTCAATTGAATACTTTTTAATTTAGATGTAACCATCTGGTTATCATAAAAAAAAAAAAAATTATTTAACCCATTGTGGGGGTTGGTGGGCGAAGCGAACTATTAATTGCAGAGTCCCGAATAGACTCTAATTTAATTTTTTTTATTTAAAGTTAAATTCTAGTTGAGGTTAAACTTTATTTTATGTGTTTATTCGTAATTTTTAGTTTTCAACTTTCATATATAATTAAGAATAATAATAAAAAAATTGCGTTTACAAAAAAAATTATTGTATCCCCGTAACAACCCGTTGTGAAGAGCCAGCGAGGTCATGGTGGTTGGGGCTCCATAATTGTGAGAAAAACGGCATTATTGTGGTAATATGGTCAGCATTACGCACTCGCCACCTTCACTTCCCAAACAAGCTGGTGCCCATCGATCTTATTCTGGTTCGGCTTCAAGCCTCCACTGTGGATTGAACCTCAGTGGTCGCGGCTTTTAAAAGTTATTAAATTGAAATTTATTAAGTTAAAGTTAACAAAATATTAAATTTAACTGATAGTGAGCGTATAATGCATATAAATTTTTTTATTTATTTCCGATTACTTCTGGTACTAACTTTTATGTATAAGAAATGAAAATAAATTTAAAATACTAATTTTAAATTAAAAGGAACATAATAATTAGCTATTTGTAATTTTTTTTATCTCTAATTTTTATACATGAATAACAGAAATGAAAATTAAAAGAAGTTAATTTAAATTGAGAACGAATGAAATTCATAGTTAGATGTAATTTTTACCATTCTAGGTTTTAATCATAAATAACAGCAATGAATCTAAAAAGAAATGGTTAATTTTAATAAAGAAGAAGCGTAATTGCAATTATTAGTAATTTTTTCCTTATTTCCAATTTTTTTCTTCTTCTTAAAATGTATCTAATCAACGCAGACTTACTTCATTTATTTTTTTTAAAGGTGTGACTCTTATCTTAATTTAGAAAAAGAAATGAGTGTGGTTTTAAAGAATTTAGTCTTAACCTTAATGAGCCTGTTATTGACCCTTTATGTCTGCCATTTTGTCGCCATAGTGACGAGTGCAACTTGCTATTTTTCATTTGAAGTCGATGACCCAACAGCACGAGAATTTCTAAGACAATATTTATCTTATTGAAATTATTTCTTTAAAAGGCTTTTTTATTTTGAAACTTTATAGTTATATCTGTGGTGTAATGTAGAGTTGGACAAAAATGTAATCTATTACACGCGTCGATTATAGTAATCAATTACAAGTAATCATAATTACAACGTATCATAACTTTGATTACAGCTGCAATCGTGATTACAACAATCAATTCCAGAAATCAATTACTTGTAATCATGATTACAGCTTTGATTACAATGGTCATCGAGATTGCAAAAATCGATTACATTAAATAATTACTTGTAATCTGGATTATAATTCGCCATATTTTCATTACAACTGTAATCGTGGCTCCAAGTAATCATAATAACTTGTAATCACAACAAGAAGCGATTACGGGTAATTATGATTACAACTAATCAAAATGTATGATTACAAGTATACATGTCAAATCATGTTCATCAATCAAAGTTTCGTCAAATC